AAATTTTAAAGCAGCAATTTATGAAAAGCCTTTGCAGCTGGAGACAAATATTTCTGCGGGGAGGCATATAAACTATGCACTCGAAATTTCCCGCCTGATTACAGCCCCAAAAACAATGGAATGCCGTAAAGGGAACGAGCAGGGTGAACATACAAATACACTCAAAGAACCCAGAGTCTGTCTGGCCGTAAAATGCAGAAAGTAACACAAAGTAAAAGGAGTCGGCATCTCTCGGGGTCCTAGTTCGTGTCTGTTGGCATTGCAAGTCGCAGGTTGCCTCCTCCCGGCTTTTACGATCCTTGTAATTAATGCATACCTTAAGGATATATCACGAGACATGGTCTGGTCTCAGTCTGGCTATAAGAAAATTAGTAGAGATAAACTGAAGTCGAAAGCTGCAACAAAGAAAATCAAAACGGAGCTCGGAAGCGGTAAGAAAAACAGTGTGACTGACATTTTAATAACTTGCAACAGTTTATGAATTATTTTTCTATAGCAAAGAAAACGAGAACTGCGGGGCTTTTCATTTCGGGTGTGAGCATGAAAATGAAAGAGGCAACACTCGACTGCTGCCAAAAAGTCAACGAACAATAAGTCTTAAAGTCCTGCCAGGACTACCAAATGCCCCGACTTCCTTTTTTTTTTTGTTGTTCCTGCCCCTCCGGCAACTGACTGACTTATGCAGTATGCATGCAGTTCGGTTGCCAACTCCGACCGCCTTTCTCTCCATGTCAGTTCCTATCTCCTTTCCCAGGAACTGGCACAAAACAAATGTAGCTGCGAAATTTAACTAACATTTTTGTACTCTGACAAGCACAGCGGCTTCCTTTCACAGCAGGCAAAGGCCTTCGAGTCAAGAAGGCAGGACTTTCAGGCCAAGTCGTCCTTGTAGGAAGTGCTTCCGACATAGAAAACATTTTTTTTGCAAATGGATGTATGGAGATTTCAAGGTCTTTATTCTGCTCAAGAGTATTTGCTGTTCGTTAGGGGCTTAGCTTTTTTTCCTGCCTATTCGCTTTTGTGCTCAGTACTTGTGGAATCATGGGATATAATGTATGCATGCAAATGCAGTTTTGTTTTAAGGGACAAGAAAGTTTTGAATTTAAAGAAAAAAGTAGAAATGGAAATAGTTAAGGGGTTTGATTTACATTTTTATTTAAATGCTAAGAAGTGCGTCTTAGTATTTTATATTATATTTTAAACTGGGTATTTTTCAGTCGAGATTTCTATTTAATCCTTTGTAGCTGTTTCAATTCATGTACTGTTGCTGTTGTCCTTCACACTTGGCTGCATCTGGGCTGAGTAACTTTTGTTGCCCTCGACACTGCAGCACAGTTTTTATTTTACTTTTTTAGTTTTTATTTTGCAAAACACTCTGACTGCGACTGCAAGGGAGCAGGGCAAAGCCGCCCGAATACGCTTTAATGCAATGACATTAATTTATGAGCCAGAGTCGAAGTTAAGCTCCGTTTCAGCCATTTGAGTCACTCTCTAACTCATTTATTCAGTCGGGACTGGGGACACTGGTTCGGCATTCACACGCCTCGTCGCGCTGGCACTTAAGTAATTTCAACTTGCAAACAAACACCCCGGAACTCTGCTGAGCTCCCAGTGCCGTGGCAAATGTCAAAGTAGTTGTTAACATTTCCGCTTTCTCGCACGGCTTTTCTCTTTCCCGACTTTTCGCATTTCGCCATTTAGATGCGGAGGAGGGTCGGCGAAAAGTTCACCAGCGAGCAGCAACCAAATTGCAAGCCACAAGGAATGCAGTCAAGTAAAGCTGCAAGCGAAAAAGTTTCCCTCGCCCGACACTCTTAAATTACTGACTTAATTATAAAACATGAACGCCGGGAGTTAAGGGGCCTCGTTCTGGCCAACAGCTTCCTCCGTAGCAGTTGGCATTGCAGTTGCCAGTAATTTACATAAATAACTTGGCCCGGAGTATTAACATGAAGGTTACAAATCGCTATCCCCTTCCTCTCTCCCGCGCCATAAAATGTTAAATGGCATTTAAACTGTTGACTTTTAGATAAGAACCGGGTCAAATGTGGCCTGACCTGGAAAGGCGGGGAGTCCGGAAAATCGGGGAATCGGGGAATCGGAATGCAAGGACTTCGTCTGGGGAGCACTGCAAATGCATATGGGGAGCTTTAATTGTTACGCCAGGACCTGGTGAACTATCCACCTCGCCTCCCATTGCGACTTACTGTCGCTTCATGTTGACAAGCTTAACAACCGTCAGCTGCAAGCTGCAGCTATTCCTCATCACTGGCTCACACACAGGACCTCCTCCTACACGGGTCCTCGGAGGTCCTCCCACCCCTCCCATCTCCCTTTTCTAGTGGCTTGACTGCTGAGGTTCTTGAGGTTTGAGGTCCCTGCCAGTCTCATGTGCAACTGACATTTTTCAACATGCTGTGGGACTTTGCCCGCAACCAGCACATCACATCTGCAAACATTGACTTTGACTTGTTTTCTGTTAATTTTTGGGGGCAGGGAGGCAGAAAGATTTACTTATACACTGAGGGAAAATAAGATTGTAAAGTGAAAGTTTATGGTAAAGAAATTTGCATGGCTAAATAAACAGTTTAGAAACCATTATCCGAAAGTTTATTTTAAACTTAAGTTTTGATTTATTGAATAACGAATATAAAATAATCTTTAAGATCTTAGTGGTGTGGTTCCATTTATTTCAAGTATCCTTGATAATAGCTAAGCTTTTACATACGATAGAATGGCTATCATTAATTTACAGATTTTATTTTTAACTCAACACTTTATCGATTTGTTTCTATTTTTGTTTGCAGTAGCCCCGCCTGACAACTCATCAAGTTTTCATATCCTTGCCGGGCATGTCAGTGAAGCGTTTTTAATGTGTTTATAAATATGCCGGCCAGACAGAGTCCTTCGGCAACTACTCCTTCCTCTCCATCCCCTCCATTCTTTCCCTTGGGCTTTCTTCGGTCTAAGCTGGCAGAACTGTAGTTTATAAAACTGTTGTCCCTTTTTGATACGCTCCAAATTGACCCCTTGACTGCTGGGATGTCCTCCCAATCTACCTCCGAGATCCAGGACATCCTGTGTGTCCTGTGCAGGACGAGGCTGGGGGGATTTGTTATGAGTCGAGAGCTGGCAGACTGAACGGAAGCTCTGCTGCGGCTGTTTATCAACAAGGACACGCCTCCTGCGGCTTGTGGGCTAAATGTGAGAATTAATGCGAGCTCCTGGAGTCGGTGGCTGATATTGAAATTAGTTGGCCAGACCACAGGGGCAGTTGGGCGATAAGGCGTGGCCGGTCCTGGCATTTAATGAAATCGTTAACCCGGACAAATTTGCATAATCGGTTTGGGGAGTGGGTATTTCAACTCGGTGTCACCGCCAGCATCGAAATTCTGGTAAATATTTGAACTATGGGCGGGAATAATTGCCGTTTGATTGCCGAGAGCGAAAGGCGAAGGTGTTTGCAAGGCCAAATGAAATCCCCGATAAATCGTTAGGTTGTATGGAAAGTTTTCCGAGAATTCATTCGCGTGAGTAGTTTCCCCAGTTTCACCTCATCATCATCACCGCCACCATCATCATCACCATCATCATCTAGTTCTCCGTCCAATCAGACTAACATATTCCTCCCCCCTTCAGATTTTCCCCGAATTTCCCTTTGTTACATTTTCAATTTCATGCCTAAGCCTGCTGGGAAGAGAAAGAAGATGAAACCATATTAGTTTCGGGCCTGTCGTTTTATTGAAGCAACAAAAATGATAATTTCGTCAATAGAATGCTTTCGGGCAGAGGATATTCCATCTCGTAAGCCCCGTGGCTTTAACAAAGGCACAGCAGAGCCCTCTAAATGCGCATGAATTTCAATTTGTGTTCTTCGTTTTTTTTTTTTTTTTTTTGCCAGGATTTGCAGTCTTACACCCCCGGACTTTGGTTGGTTAATAATCAAACGCATTCGTTTGGCGAGTCGGGGTTGATGATGTATGGTAAATGTGCCTGTGGCTTTGGCTTTCCGCACTCCTTTTCCTGGCCATTGATACTTTGCGATTGCCCTGGGTTATTTAACTTTCCTGTAGACATGTGATATCCGACATGTTTGGGGACTCGTCCATTAGCGCCCTGCCGAAAATCCTTTGCTCCTTGCTCCTTCCTTGTTTGCCAGTGTTGAGTAATTGGATTAGATTACATTTTTTTTCAACCTACCTGCCACCCAGTCCACTCGCCTGTGGATACATTTTTGCGGCTGCCACAGCTGCTGTCAAGCCTGATTGATTGATTGATGGATGGGATGGCTGGGACGGCTTGATCTTGTGGCATTGTCAATATGCTTTTTACGGCCCTCGTCATTTTGCGCTAAGTTTATATTAAATTTGCTTTTAATGGCCGCCGAAAAAGCACACAGACTCCCGGCAACTGATGTGGGTAAAGTATATATATTGCAATATAAAGTAGCTTCTGTTCCTTTTCTTTATCGCCCTCCTTCAGCGAAACTTGGGGTGTTGGCTGGGTGTAATAATTTTCTGCATCATATCTGCAAGGCTATTAAATACACATAAAATTTCGTGCGGTACGCGAGCACTTTTCCCACGCCTTTGCCGCCCACACAACTTGCCACGCCCTTCCCCCGCCCACACTTTCCACACTCTTGCCCCGGGTTGCAGCCAATGGGAAAATCATAAAAATTTATGATTGCAATAATCTGGCTTTTGCACGAAACTTGTTTTTCATGCGGAAGTGCAATCGATGCGGATCCTAAAGAAGCCGCCATCGTTTCAGCGGAATTGACACGAAAATTATGAAATAAAAATGTTTTAACGATTGTACAGCTCCCAATGGATAAGCATTCAGATAAGATGTGAATTTCAAAAATGCTTGTACCATATGCTCGTTGAAAAATCGATTAATGATGCGTATTCAAGGGCAAGACCATTATATAAATAAACCATACTTACATTTTCACCAATTGTATTGCTAGTAACCTTTTTCGTTTAATACACATATTATTTGATTCTTACAATTTTGTTAAATTTTTAATCAAATATAAAGCATGTAGAAAACACTTTGGAATTTAAAAACGTAAAAATCATATTACAATGGATCGTTAAAAGGGCTTAAGACGCTCGAGTCGTATTTAAAAATAATTTGACATGCAATGGAGCGAACTTCGAAGTCTTCATGGAATTGAAGCGTTTTGATTTTTTCTATTCCCTGGTTCATTCGAATGACTTCGGTTAGCTCCTCCGCTAAAGTACCGGACATACCGAGCATATACCTGAGGCAATCGAGGATATTCCTGATGACACCAGAATCCTGGCAGGAGAGCAGAGTGCAGAACTTGGGAATTATGCCCTGTCTGATTAGGTAAAGGGACAAATCCAAGTTGTTGCCGATAATGAGGTTGCTTATTACCAAAACTGCAGCTGATTTCAGCGTGGCTTTTCCGACTTTCATGATTTCCAACAATGGTGGCAGTAGGCCAGCATCGACGATTGCTTGCTTTTGATCCTTATTTCCGCTGCTTATGCTAAAAAGGATCGAAAGCGTCTTCATCCGAATACTCTCTTTGGAGTGAGAAAGCAAGGCGGGTAAATATAAAAGCAAGTGCAAATCTAGCAACACCCTATGTTGATCTTTGGGTCCACTTAAAATACAATCAATGGCATAAAGAGCGGCTTTCTGTACTTCAAATTCATTGTTGAGCAGAAAAAATAAGATCTTGGACATCAGCCCTTCGTGAGCGCTTAAAATTCGATTATGAGTATAGTGGTGGGCGATATTACCGATGGCCAGCAAGGTGTCCCTTCGAATTTCTTTGCCGGTTTGATTAAGAAGCTGGTCAAGTGTTTGAATGACACTATTGATAAGTTCAACCGGCGAATACATGCGAAGACAACCGCAAAGATTTCTGGTTACCTTTGCCACAGTTCCCAAAAATGAAGACTGCTTGACGAAAATGCTCAACTTCTCGACCAAATTCGGTTCAATCGAAAAAGGGGTATACGATGGACCATAACCTATAATATTTCCAACAGCAGCCAATGCCTGTTCGCAAACTTCTGGATCCTGCGAGTTGAGAAGATCCATTAAAAGAGGAACAGCTCCTAAATTTAAAATCTAAAAAGGATCAAATTATATATTAATGAATAGAAGAGCTGCAAAGGAAGTGGAAATATCACCTGGGAAGCGTGGCCTGAGGAGGCACAGGCCACTTTGCACAGAGCATTTGCGGCCTGCTTCTGCAGGAACGGGAGACTGACCTCCTTTAAGAACTCAACAACCATCTTCAGAACTTTCGATTGCGAAAGAAGCCTTGCATCCGGAACATCGTCGGTACAAAGTAGGCTGCAAGCGGCAACAGCTGCAGCTTTTTGTTCCTCCTGATTCCCGGCCCTATATACCGCCTTCACTAAATTTTTCAGCCTATCCAAGCTTGGCTTCTTCGACACTGCATCGGCTCTCTTTTGTAATTGGAATTGAATGCTGTTTGCTTGGCGGATCCACCGCAACTGGGGCTTCGTAATGCCCTTTTGCAAAAACTTACGTCGATGATTATCCATTTTTTCTAAAAAAAAAGGTTTTTTTTGGGTAACTAAGCGATTTATATGTGTTTCAACAGAATGTGCTTGAACAATGATCAAATTCTATTGACAAATTTGTTAGGACCTACTAACTCGATTTCTGTGCTAACATGATTTAAATTTTGACCAAAGTTTATATCTATTATAATTCATGATTTCGGTATTTATTACATTAAAAGCTACATAACTAGTTTGTTTTGTTCAGTGCTGAAATGAAAATACCCTAAATTAAGGTCTGCCAATAAGCCCAAAAAAGAAGGCCAGCCAGGACTAAGAACTTGTCCTTATCGCATCCTGTCCGATCTGCGTCGAGTTATCAGCGATATGCTTAATTTAGTTACCCCGGCAGGACCTCCTCCCTCTTCCTCCTTGTTTCCCCACCACCACTATGCAACAAGGGTCCCTCGGCAAGTGTAATAATTTGTTGTTATTATCTCTCCGGCGGAGGCGACCCAAAAGACAATGCCAGTCACATTGGCCCAGTTCCAAAGGCAGCGAGCGGTAGGCATCCTTTGGCTGTGCCATCCATCTATATGTATATAGTATCTGGCATACTGTACGCAGATATGCTCGTGTATACGTGTAGGAAGAGCAGCATAATGAGCGCATTACACGCCATGTGGCACTTGTGCCTATCTCCGATGTTCTCAACACTTGGCGCTTCGCCTGCGTCGAACGCATAAATTTCAAGGACGCAAAACCACGCGCTGGAGAATCGGAAAAACATGGCCCAAGAACATGCGAAGCGCGAAAAATAAATTGACAGCCCGGAGGTACGCAGTGCGCTTCTGCTCAGCCAGTTTTGACCTACATGTGAGTAAGGTAATGGCCGGGGGCGGAGTGGCAGTGGCAGAGGAAGAGGGGGAGGGGATGGGGCAGGCCATTGGGAGACGGCGAAGTTGCCACGGCAAAATTTACCCGCCAAGAGCTACATCATTCCACTAATTATTAAAGCGTTCTTGAGCAACCCTTACGGAAAATTAAAAAAAAAAAATTGGGAAAATCTTTAAAGATTCTGCTGAAGGCAAACTTGGAAGTTGGAATTTAGCAAATAGCTTCTCTACTTTTTCTGCTTTAAAATCGTAACCAATATTAAGATTTATACTTTTCATTTTGTTATTTTAAAAATAATATTCCATAGTCGTGACGTTTTCAACGCGTACATTATGATTAAATATTAAATTTAACGCGCGTTAATTTAATACTCGGCATTATCGAGCACTCTTCGTGTTGCTTAATAACGATAATGACTATAATTTATTGAACAAAAAACCCCTCGTCCCGGTCAAGAGCTCCGGTAATGTCATTAATTGCACACGCATGAATTTTTGATGCATTCGGTTACGAAAATCAATTAAACGCGAATATAAGCGCTGCAGAAACACACAAGGGTTAAACACGGCAGGCATTGAAGTATTTAAAACAAATATATAATTAATGGAAACTGCAACGCTATAAAATTGTTAAGTAAGAGAAATGAAATCAAGTGACAGCATGTGTTCCTTTTCTTGTGCTGTTTATAATAAAATAATTTTTTAATCAGCTGAAACATTGAAATTCTCGTATAGCAAAAATACTAATAGAAAGCAAACTTTTGTTTCTCATTTTGAAGGCAAGGTAATATGCATTCAGCTTTTCCTCAATTCTATTCCAGTTTTTAGCAGAGGAGGAGAAAAATGGCAAACGGTTATATGAAAATTGCCGCCCTGTGACGTGTGCGCAATTTCCGCTGGCCGAGGTTTTCCGATGGGAAGTAAGGGGGGTTTGGGGGGTGGCTCGGCTGGATTGGATGGTGGAGAAGTGGCAGCCACTATGCCGGGGTCATTCATCCTGCAAAGTGGCGACACACCAAGCCGTAGTCTCCGGCGAAACTCGCCCGGCACCGAAATGACTAATGGGCCAAAGGGGCAAAGAAACCGGCGAAACGGCAGAGTGAAAAGGCCGAAGAAAGGCAATATGCAAAATTCGTAATTTGCCCTGGCAGACAGGATCCCATTCCCCCCTCCCCCTTCTCCCCCTCGGGGGATTTTCCCCCTTGGGGCAGTTGTCGCATTCAGTTTGGCCCCTGCAACGTTCGACTATTTTTATGACCAAATGGCGTTTTATTGCCGTCGACTTCAGTCGATTTCTGGTCCACATATATATGGTAGTATAGACTACTATCCTACTACAGATGCTTTGCTCTGAAATGTGGGCCAGGATATCTGGTATCCTTGGGCCCGACTAGCCGAGTAGTTGAAAACAAGTTGACATTCCTTGGCATCCCTTATCGATTTTCTGTTGTTCGCTGGGGCTAACCAAATCGCCGCCTTAAGCCGTCCAGGAATCCATTCCCTGCCCTTCGATTTATTTTTGGGGGGTGGATTCACTCTGGGGGTGTGAGGCTTTGGCAAAACGTTTCAATTGATTTGAACATTTATTGCTTTCGAGCTGGGGGGAAGGACATCATGGGACATTGCCCAGACGTTGGACGAAAGGTAGTCGAATTATTCCGTTCTATGTACATATATATATAAAATAGTTTTCCTTGTCCTTTTAAAGCAAGGTAGAGAAATCCTGGTGGATTGACATTTTCTCTTCCTTATTGCCATCTTGGCCTGGTTTGTGTTTCTCCGTGTTTGAAGCAGGAAAATTCTTTGGCATAAGCCAATTCGATTTGGATTTCTCAAATCAATTCGCTTTGCCAAGAATATTTAGTTGCCGTTTTTATTTTGCAAATCATTTTAGCATTTAACCGATTGTGCATAGCAAACATTTTTGCTATATAGGGAATTTTAAATGCCGCATAGCTGAGACTAATAATTGTTTGGTTTATTGCTCCTGCTGCCTTTGGCTTTAATTGCACCGAAAAACATTCCGAAAACTAATTAAAATTCTTTTCGTTCGCTTTGTTTGGCGCGCTTTGCATATTCAAATCATTAAAGAAAAATGCAGAGAAACAACAGGAGCAATTTTTTGTAATTTGGCTCAACTCAACACCTTTTTGAGGGGTTGCTCAGCCAAACCAACGTGTTGGCATTTGTTTTTTACTCTCTTTTTTTGTTTTTGTGCCCCGCAGCAAAAAACACAAAGAAACAGGAGCGAGGTGGATAAAAAAAACAATTTCAAAATTCACATAATGAACTGGGGACCGAAATGGGGAGCTCGGGGCAAGTGGGTGACGGGTGGTGGGGGATTGGCGGTCGAAAATGACCGAAAGCGATCCTTAAAGCCCTTGCCAAATAGCATGCCAGTTGGCAGTAAGCGAGAAATAATTATTTGCCGTGCTAAGCGAACATTATTCACTCGAATTCGGCCAGGAAAAGGCGTAACAGCCACAGCAAAACAGAAATATGTTAAACAACTCGGCCTGATACCACGAAAAAATGGGCAGAGAATGTAGAAAAAGCGCCCTAAGTAAAAGTGTTTTCACAAATTTATAACCGAAACAAAAAATGAATTACAAAGCTAAAGCTTAATGATAAAATATTAAAACCATTTTGCTGGTTATAGTAAAGCATCAACAAGCTTATACCTTAAACCAATTTACGGTCTAAATAATTTGCATTATCATATTTTAAAAAAGGAATCCTTTTACAAATGTAGTTCTTTTTTTTCCCCGTGTCCATTTAAGAGTACATAACAAAACCTGCCTGCTTTTAATGTTGTCATTTTCGGAGCCGCCTTGTGATTTACCTTTTGCCTGCGCGTTGTTCCCATTTTGCTGGGAAATTTGTTGTCTAATTTATGTAAACCTGCCGCTCATCCACACCTCCTTTCCCCTTTCCCCTTCACCTTTACCCCTGCCCCAAAAACCGTCTGTAATTTATGAAATTGCCATCGGCTCGTGCTCTCACGTCTTTCACTCGCTTCTCAGGCGGTCTCTTAGCTCCGCCATTGACATTATGAATGTTTTTCAATTTTATTTATGACGCAAATTGTTAATAAATGCAGCCGACTTCGGTACGTGACTCATTCGATGTCTTATCGCGCACTTGCCGGAATGATTAATGTCTGGCATAAACGAATTGCATTTTAAATAAATTATTACGCATACGCAGCGTGGACCGAGGAGTCTCTCTAATGAAGCTGCCGGCTATTTGGCGGCCAGGAATAAAAAAAAGGAGGAAAATCCCTTTAAAGGAGCCGCAGCAAAGGAGTGCGGCATGTGTACTCGCCAAACTTGGTCGGCAAACTCTTTTTCGCTTGCAGCTTGATTAAAATTTCATTAACAAAGAGCGGCAAAAACTTGCGGCATACTTTAAGGCTGCGGCTGGCATGTGTGTGTGTGTGTGTGTATGTTGGCTATATGAGTGGGTGAGAAAAATCTGTGGTGGCACACACTCACACACACTAGCACACCGATGTCGGCATATAAAACGCTTTGCTTGTTTCGAGGCTGCCCGAGTTTTTTTTTCCTTCTCCGCTGGCTTTTTTCGCCTGAACGCTTCGTTTGTTTGCCAACTGGCGACGGATCCTTAAGGATGTGCGTCTCTGTATGTGTGTGTGTGTACGGGCGGAGTGGGAGAGTGTGTGAGTGCCTGTTAAATTGCTTGTTTATGTTGGCCCGCGCTTCCTGGCTGCGCAAAAAAAGGCGAACAAGGACTCATGCGGCAATCACTTGAAAATTCTCATATGATTTTGATTTCTTTTAATTTGCGAACAACCCCGCTCCTTTCTCCCCAGATGTTTGCCTGCTTTCGCGGTCTTTCCTCTTATTTCGCAAGCAGACAAATATTTTTGTTTAGGCTTGTTGATTTTATTACGGCTTTGTTGGGCCACTATGCTCACTTAAGCAAATTGAGAACTTGTAAATATTTAATGAGGCAGGAGGAGAAGCCAGTGGAGCAACAGGATGCCATTCCCGCAATAATAAACTGTTAATTATAGTCTGTCAAGTTTAATACACAAATGATCTTTTCACTACAGTTTATATTAAACCAGATTTAACCTATATCCTGCAAAAATCTTTTTCCCTTTTACATAAGAATGAAATTCATACATTTATTTATCTTAATCCCTTTGGTTCATTCCATTGACAGCTGCATCTCAACAATCCCCTTAACTACATGCCATAATAATAATGCCGGCTTCAGCGTTAATTTACCGCCAGCCTGCACTGCGCGAAACCAGTGGCAAGAATTTATGAATTCCTCCCTCATTAATTGTTAACTTCTGCTGTCGGTTGTGTTGGGGATTTTCGCTCCGTCGAGACATCCTCTTAGTGGCGCTAATCCAGGGCTGGCAAACCTCTCACCCAAAGGCATGTCAAGCATTTAATTACTGGCCATCAGCAGGGCTTAAAAGTGACCCCCCATCCACTGATCCTGCTCCGCGGGAATCCGCTTCGTTAAAATAATATTAAGCCAGTAAAAGGATAAAGGATTCATCACTCCGCTCGCCCAACCTTTTTGCTAACTGCTTTTTAATTTTTTTTTTTTCAGCCCTGCTTTCTGAATTGCTACGCAAAATATTTTCATTAAAATGTCAAAAAATATCTGAAAATATTTTGCGCAGACACGCAGCATTCTGCTGGGCAGTTGGGCGAAAAAGGGGTGGTGATAAAAATTAATGGCAAACGCAAATGCAAGAGGCGGCAAAAGGGATTCAAGATTTGTTTAACCAGGATCCGTTTGCCGTCTGTCCTCTGCTCCGGCGAATTGTCGGGAGAGTCGTTAAATTGTTTTCATTATCCTTGTAAGCCCTGCCAGCGAACCGTACAGACCAGGGCCAGAGGTAATAGCCCACTCTCGCTGCTCCTTTCTCTCAACACTCTGTGCCAATTAAAACCGCAATGCAAATGAGCTGTGCTTAATGCGTGTGTCGATGTGTGCGTGTGCTCACTATGTGCGTACATATACACTTTAGAAAAATATATCTATTCTGTGACTAGTAAATGATTTTAATTACAAAGTACAAAAGATTGAAATTTCCAAACTTTTTCTTAAATGAAGGAAATCAGAACTTGTTAAAAATGCATATTGACTAATGAATAGCTGTATGGAAAACCGCTCCTCTTGAATTATAAATATAACTAACTAAGACAGAACCTTTTCCCTCAGTGCATCCTAACATCGAATAGTTTGCGGTCCTAGAGCGCAGAAAAATTTAATTGCTCTGCTGGGAGGTCTGGTCCCTTAATTTTTCCGCTGTTGTTTTGGAAAACGCTTAGGCCGCTCCCCAGTCAGCCCATATGCAAAAAAAAAAAAAAATGGGGAAAAACTGAATTGGGTTGGGTCGCACTTGTTGTTGTTTGTTGTTTTGGCGGGGTTGCTCATCTCATCCCATTAAGCAAACAATCGACACACGATGCATTCTGTAAGGATATCGTCGACTGGCCTTCGCCTTCGCCATCGTTTCGCTCGTGTTTCCGTTTCATTTGTAATTAATTAAATTACTTCCGCTTAAACTGCGCTGCAGACGCAGGAAACCGAGAGCAGGACCCGAAGAGCGGACCCATCCCATCCCAATTCCGAGTCCCAGCCCGGCGACTTCTCAATTACGACTCAGTCGTCCACCCACCAGGCGGGTCCTTTTCCCTGCAGAACTCCACCATCGCAGGCTTGTTTATCCTTCGCAGTCTCAGCCCCCGGACTCGGCGAAGTAATTAAGAAGACATTTCACCCGGGCATCCTTTAATCTGTGCGTTTTATTTGCGGCATCGTCTTCGTGTTTACTTCATTGCCGTCCAGCGATGAGTGCACGCAGAGAAACCAAACACTTCTTTTTTAATTACCAAAAACAAATATTGTTATCTGCTCATAAGCAAGCTTATGAAAAATCAATTGAATTTGTTTATGTACTTAAAATTATACTCTTCTAAATTTGTTAAATATCCAAGATATTTTACAGTACAAATATGACGCTCTCAAATATATTTCGAAACCATTAAATAATTTTTCTTTGCTATATAAATATCGAAATTATTTTCATATTCTCTAGGATATTTTTTCCCCATGCAGTAACTTATTTTCGTGCTTGTCCCTGACTCTTGGGGCTAAAACGCTCTCATCTCTAGCTGGAATTTCGCCCCACCTCCCACTGCAATCTCGATGATTTGCTTTGGTTTTGTTTAGTGTCTGTGGCTTGGCGCCTTGTTCCGTGTTCCTCTTTCGGGCGCTCCTCCTTCTCCTTCTGATCCTGGGGCCTCCTGCTGGCCTCCTGGCATCGTGGTCTCCTTTAATCTGTTGCCAGTGGACTGAACTGGCTGTTATTTCGTGCCCAGCGCACGCTTGATTAGTCGCCTAATGAGGTGTTGACTATGAACGTCTAATGATTGCCATAGAACAGCCTCGAACACACACACATGTTTACACTTGAGCGCCGCTTTAAGATGATTTTAATTAAATCAAAGCGTTCCTCTTCTACTCGCAGCTGATGTACGAATTTAACTTTCATCTGTGAACGTGGCCCACTGGAGGAAAGCCCAATGAAAAGTCTGGTTGCCCCCGAACCAATGTGAGTAAATCAATACGTAAAAACTAGAACAAAAAACGGACACGAAAAAATGTGAAAAACTAGCCACGGATTTGCATTGGAAATTCGCTTTCGGATTGCCCCCAAAAAAAGAAAGGGATGCCAAAATATCGATTCGGCAATATTGCTTTCGCTTTCCCCAGCAGTTTTCAATGCAAATTTTAAAATAGCAAAAACAAAAACTTTCTACAAAATTGGCATATTTTTTCTCCATTTTTATTTACATGAAATTCGGCTTTAAAACATGAAAACCCCAAAACGAATCGAAATTGGCTTCGAACTTATGCGCAAAAATTGGCAACTAATTGGCGAAAAAAATAAAATACATTTTCAACTGCGAACTGTGGAAAATCGTTCTGTAATCGATAATCGCATAAAATGGAAAATGCGAACCAAAACATAACAAAAAATAAAAACAACAACCACAACAAAACGGAAAAACCATGTATTCCCTTACAATCACAACAACCACCGAACAAAAAAAAAACATTTCAACAACACCATCATCATCATCATGAACATCCTGCGAATCCTGCTATTTATGCGCTTTATGGTGTGACGTCATGGCTGCGACCCTTGGCTGCTAAATCCCCCTTGTAATACACCACCCCCTTGCTAACCACCACCCCCCCTGACTTTTCCTATTCCTATTTATGTGCATTTTTGTGGCTTTCCCCCCAATATTTCTCTTTGCTATGCGTTTTCATTTGCGTTTTCACTTGTCATTTTTGTTTATGCTTCACGCTTTCGATTTTTGTTTTGGTTTTTGTGTGTCCTCCCCCAAACACCGATATCCCCACTCCTGCGTTGCCAATTTCCGCTTGAATTAATTCTGTGTTTAAATCTGCGAATCGTCGTTCTCATCGTCCTCGTTGTCGTCGTCCTTCGTCCTTCGTCCTTACTGCAGTTAGTCGGAGTGGAGCAAGTGAACCCCTGCGGCTAGCCACCATCCACCAGCCACCCCGAGCCACCCACTCTAGTCAAATTTAATAAAAGGACGCACGGAGCTTCTCTGGTGGTGACTCCCCGTCTCTTTCACTCCCACGACCCCTCGTCGATGTCCTGAATTGTCCTGGCGGGCTCACGCAGTGCGACAAAAGCCGCCCGCAGCGTTTTTATATGCGCACATAATTCAGAGCGTCGGCCAGTAACACCCGCTGCCAAAAGTTAATGCCCAAAAGCGAGGCCGCCACAATGATAACCAACAATAATTTGGATTATGACCAGGCCAGCGCCAGCAGCAATACAATGGCAGCAGCAGCAGCAGCAGCGGCAGCGGCAGTGGCAGTAACATCGACCACAAGCTCGGCGGCAACATCGGTGGCAATGAGCAACAGGAACGGGAGCACAAGCAGCAGCAACAACTCATCGCCCACGGCAGACAATTCCAACTCGAACTCGAATGCAAACTCAAATATAAATCCAAATTCAAATCAGAACTCAAACTCCAATTCGAATTCGTACTTTAATCGATTCGATAATCGAATTGCTGCCAATTTGGCTGCCGTTCTAACCGGAGCAGGAGCTCGTTTTCGATCCTCGTCCTGCAGTAATCGTCAGTCAACTGGGTCGCCAAACCCGGCCATCTTGAGATCCCCCTTGGCCACTATAAGCCGTGGTAAGACCAGTCTGGCCACGCCCTCTTCGCCTGCGAGTCTCGGACGCCGCCGCCCACTGCAACTCTTCACGCACGCGAACCTCAAGTGAGTAGCCCACAAGGCGATTCGTAGCAGATCCCTCCAACCAATGCTTAATCACATTCATTAAAAAGCACACAACACCCAATTACACTTGTAGACCTTAAAGAATTAAATCTAAATATAGAAGGAAAGCAATGATAGAAAGATAAATATTAAAAAAAATAGAATCTCTTTATCAGAGCATAGAATGTTCCTCTAATATTACCTACAACTAATAAAAATATTTATTTAAATTTGCTTAGTTGCAATGACAACGAGAAGGTGGCCCAAACACCGAGCTCTGATGAGGATAACTCGCCCACCGAACTAAACAGTTGCAAAAGGCTAGCGGACAAACCTCCTTTGGTAAGTTAATACAATAAGAAATAAAACTTTAAACATGTAAAACAAAATAGTTTATAAGTAATGCAGACTAAGGTCCAGATTAAAAGATTTGTACACTTACTATATTTTTAAACTAAAATATGAAAAATGATTTCCCCATTTTTGCGTATTTTCAATGGCCATTCTAAATCTTAAAGCGGCCACTTCTTCAACTGTGAGGATTATTCAAGAGCTTTTCGTGCCAAAGTATGGCAAATATTTTGGCCTGCGTTAGGCGATCAAACATATTTGATGGGCTTGACTTTGATAAGGGTGCGCCAACACTTGGACCTCGTTTATTGGTTTTCCATTTCTGCCAAGCTCGAGGAGCGGCCCAAGTATTTGCCGAATTTTCAACGCTTTGTTATGAATTATTGGCAGAAAGTATTCCCGCGTGGGGGAGCTAAGCTTCCTTCTTCAAGGCAAAAAACTTTAGACAACTAAGCCCCCACAACCCTTACGGTCCTTACGGACCATTTGCTGGATTGCCTGCTGGATTTTTTCGGCTCTTTCGTTTCAACTTTTTTTCGTCTTTGTCATAACACGTAGAAGTCGAAGGGCTGCTGCTGCTGCCCACATGCGAAATGTTTATCAAATGCTTCGCCCGTGTTCTTTGTCACGTGATGGCGGAAGAAGTTTTGCAATGCAAAACTTTAGCCTTTCCTTCGACTTGCGGCACGTTGTTTTCATAAATTCAACGCCTTAAATATTCATGCTTGTGTGTAAGAGGAGCTCCTCTTCTATATATATTTGTATATGTATAGGGAGTATAGAGATATGGAGTCGAGGCAGCTGTGCTCAGTCGAGCATGGTCTATGCGATAAGTACGTGCGAGTTTATTCATACGAAAGAGACTCGCTGGCACTCGACCACGCGGCGTATACGTTATGTGTTTGTCTTATTTATGGCAGCAATGCGACTCGATTGCGCATTATGGTGATTACGTCTGTAAACTAATGGCCTCCACCGCCTCGAGGAAAGGGGATTCAAGTGTACTAAAAGCCCGATGCAACTGAAATCAAATCGAATCAAGGCCGAGTCACACACCGAAACTGAAACATCAATGGGAATCGGGCACACGACAGCAAAAACACTCTGAGAAATTGAAATCGTATCGAAAGCGAAAAGCAATCAGTTGCCCCTAATGGCAAACCATAAATATTGTCAATACAAGGACTATATACAATCCACCTCCCCCCTTTTCCTCCTTTTTTCCCCCGACTGACATTCCGCATATGCCGAGGTTTGAAAACAAAGAAACAGAGAAAAAAAGGGTTCGTGCTTTCGCTTTTGGTATTTGGCATTTTTCATATTCCCGTGCAGCGCGAGCTTCCCTTGTTTTGTCAATAAATCAATTTCGGCTATAAACATTTTTCGACGGCAACAGCAAATAACACGCATACGCCGCTTGGTACGGCTTCTATATCCTTTTGTTTTGCATAGTTTCTTTTTTTAGTCCCGCTCCTGTTGTTTTTTTTGTGTGGTTCGACATGCTGCTGCCTGTCAATAACATCATTCCGTTGCAGGGTGCGGCCCGATAAGCAAATTAATTTTTGCTTCCCCCATGGGCGGGACAAAAAAGGGGCAGGGGAAGGGGGAGGCGAAGAGGGAGAGGGGAGGAGTTTACAGAGGGGCGTGATGCTTCCCTAATTGTGCCCAACAGGCAACTTGCCATCGCTGTCGTCGTCGTCGTCGTCTGCTCGGCTGGCTGATTCAATTTCAGATAAGCAAAATAAAGCAGCAGGCAACTGCAGCACATGCGACCCCCGAACATGGGCGGCCAAAAGGGGGGAAAGAGGGGATTCAGGGGGTGTGGTTGTGGTGTCCTGGCAGGAGTCAAAGACAAATGCGTTGCCACATTATGCAGTTTGCTGTCGGTTGTCTGAGTCGGAGTCTGAGTCTGAGTGGCACGTCACCCGCATATCCTTGTCCCGGCAGCACTCGTCCTCTTCCTTTCACTTCTCCTTCCCCTCCTTATCCTCCATAGCCCGCCCCTCTTGCTACGCCACTGCCGTCAGACTTAGACGGAAATGACGCACTGTCTGTCATGGCGCTCTGCTCTCAGCTGGCGTTGATGCATCGATGCTGTTGACTCGTCGCCGCTAAATGTTTGTTTAGCAACTGCAACTGCAACGGCAAACGAGAGCTGCCCCTCACAACCCCTGCCACTTACACTGAGAACAGTAGCACATATGGTGTTTACAAAATAAGATATTAGGGAATGTCTAATTTAATGAATATAAACGTCAAAGGAAAACTATATTAAATTAAAAATATTAAAATAAAAATATATCCTTTATATATATATATATATATATATATATATATTTATATTATATATATTATTACAATTAATTTAAAGGCATCTCCTTCAGCATTTTTTGATTTCAATGATTCAATTAATTATTTATTATTAAGAACATTTTTTCGTTAGTGGATCGATTTCCCACATTGAGCGACAGCCACCATATCAGCCACCGCATGTGGCTCGTTGCCTGCGTTTGGCTCGGCTTGACTCGCTTTTCCGATCCGGCTGCGTCACGCCTACCCATGTATCATGTGTGCACGGAATATATTTCCAGCTCGAATGTCATAAATAATATTTTGTGGGCCACGCCCACTGCCCCGAAATCCACATCCACACCCACACACAACAAACACAGCCACTGTCAGTGTTGTGTATTTGATTTAAACTCGCTCGACTTTCGCTTTGCCCTTTTTATTTAGCCTCGTTTTGGCTTCTTATCCTTTGCCAAAAGGCAGTTTATTAAATTTGCATAAATGTTGAGCATTTTGCGGCAAGTGTTCGTTGTTGCCTTTTTTTGGGGGGCTGGGTCGTAGGAGTCGAGCACGTGCCGCCTCTTTAGCTTTGCAACAGCTGCCACTAATGTCCAGCTAGCTGGCAGTTCATTAAACGAGCAGGGCAATTAGTGTTTTCGGGGAGCAAAAAGGCCAAGTTCTGTATTTATTCAGAAATTGAGGAAAGAATCGAGCAAAAGCCAAAAAGTAAATAAACAAAAAATAGGGGAGGAGAACAAACAGGAGCTCCACGGAATGCAAACACCTGAAAACAGGCCCCATTTCTTTATCCGGCAAATACGGGAAAGAAATGAACTCCACCAATACAAAAACCCAGCGAAAACATGGGGGAAAATCAGTGTGCAATGCGCCGTGAAATATGCAAACAATGGCGTCTCCTTTTCTCTCTCAAGGAGCACACTTTTTCCGGGATTATGCAGCAATGGGCAAACAATTGCTGTCAGAGTGAAAAAAGCAGGTGGGATAACCCAACCGCCGTCTCATTGTCAATGTCGCCTTAAATTATGCCCCAAAAAACGGGGCCGAGGGCGGTGGCAACTAGGCGAGGTTACCAACTATACGACGTTCTAGTCTAGTTTGGGGCAGACAACTATTGTACAAGCGCCGGCAGACTTTTTCAAAGCCACTGACCCCGAAAACAGGACAAAGGTGGTGGGAAAGGGAGGGGAAGGGGGTAACACGATCTCAACATGGGCGCACAAGTGCATCTGAATTATTGCCGGCCGGTTTTTTCGCTACTAGCCTGCTTACCCATTAAAACGAGGGTGTATTCTGGAGGGATTTAGACATCTCTAGAGATAAAAGAAATAATTATGATGATGGAAAGGAAAGTGTTTGTTCAGAAAGAAATTTATGGAGTGTAAGAAGTTCCAATTTTAAACAAAAAAAATGTACTATTCAATTCAATTTTTTTGCGAATTTCCAAGGGAATTTCCCCGTCGATTGTTATTTTAGCAACCGCAACTCAACACTGGCTCTACATACTACAGCAAGCGATTCTTTTTTCTGCTACTGGTCCTTAGTCGCGAGTCCTGCGGCACATTTCCGTCTAGAATGCCACAGCCGCCATTTGCTATGCAACATTTTAGACGGTGGCAATGTACCAAAGAAGGGTTTGGATTGGGGGCAGAGTGGCCGACACGAGAGTCTGCCACGAATTTATGCGCCTTTTTCTGTTCCTTGTGCACTTTGCACTCTTTCTTCGTGTTGTAGCTTCCCCCATCCCTCCTTTACCCAACCCCACTTCCACCCACCCACCACCGGTAATGCCTAGTCCAAGCATCCGTTTCCTGTTTAAGTGCACACCCGAAAAAAGTTTCGCCTGCATTTTGCCAGCCGTTTGCCTTTCGCCTTTTGTGGCGCGGCGCATTTTGCCAGCATTTTGTCTCGCTGCGGTTCTTGGTAATAAATTCTTTCCTTTTTTCTGCTCCGCCTCCGTCTGTGGCTGTGGGCCACGCCCCCTTGACGGCACAGCCCACCCATGTAGCCACCCACCCACCCGCTGCCCTTGACTGCAGCATCCTTTGCTGATCCTTGTCGGCTTACAAGGTGTTTAAATTGTAGTTAATTTTGTTGCCACTTGAACGCTTTGCCTTCGCCTTTGATCCCTTTTTTCGGGGGATTTTCTTAAACTTAGATTTGGGTCTACAGTCAGCGAAGTTCTGTATTTGCCTTTATTGAAATCTTTAAAATTCTAAGACGTTCCTTATGTTTATTTCAGGTGAAACGCTTGACAATGGGTCTTCTGCGTCACAATGAAGAATCACGGCCACTGGTGGGCGACATGACCCCCTTGAGTGCGCCCCTGGATATCCAGCCAGTGTATTCGAATGGCTATATCAACGAGGACTCATATATCGACAGCAAGTTCGGTGACTCGTGTCGCCAATCCTTGACAGCCATTCCAATGTTAGATAATGTGAACCTGAACGACAACAACGAGTTTAACATGAAGAAGCGGTATTTGAGGGAGACCAGCAGCGGTAAGAATTTAACTTAAAAAATATAACATTAAATTATATAAAAGATAAGGCTTATTTTTAAAGACCACTGCTTTATGAAATGACCCTGTACTTTTCTAGCCAACTCCAGTCCCAAAATCTTTGCGAATCGCCTGCGCATGAACCAGGGAGCCAATGCCCAGAGATGCAGTAGCCTGGCCAACGCATTTGGAAATGTGGGGGCCGAGGAGGAGGATCTGGACCTGAAGGATGCGTGCTGGTACCAGGCGGGCATTTCCCGGGACATAGCCGTTGAGGTCCTGCAAAGCAAGAGCCCAGGTGCGTTTCTGGTGCGCAAGAGCAGCTCCAAGCCAGGATGCTATGCACTAACGCTGCGCGTACCGTCGCCACCTGGGCCGAAAATAGCTAACTACATTATCCTGAGATCCCCGAGGGGCTACAAAATTAAGGTGGGTTAAGCAGAATGATTAATTTACCATTCACTTAAAATTTAACTAGAAAAATAAGAAAAAATATGCAATTGTAATTATGCTAATATTAAACTTTCTACTTGATCTACTTTTAAATATATTTAGGGCTTTCGCAAGGAGTTCTCGAGCCTGAAAGCCCTGATCACCCACCACTCGGTGATGCCCGAACTCCTGCCCGTCCCGCTGGCCATGCCCCGTCCCACCAACATGTCGTCCTCGCGAAGGAACCTCGACGACTTCGATACCTACGACTCGCTGCAGATGCTGCTGAAGTATCTGCGCGCCAAGAACATGGAGACGGAGCAGCAGCAGTAGCTAATGGAGGAAATCGATCAACTGGTAGCACAAAATTACATTTAAGTTCTGGTGCGGCAAAATAGTTTTGCTTGAATCGAACCGATATACCGAGAAAATGTGATACTCTATGAAAAAGAAAAACACAGTCACTGCAAATGAAACGCCTAGCTGATAAATGGTGAAAGTATCTATAGTTTAGTTTAGTTTGGGTTTTTTGTTGTTCCCAGCTTTTTATTTTGTGCGTTTAGAGCGTAGGAAAGTGTGAAAATGTGAGTGCAAAGTCAGGGACTTTGCCAAAAACTAAGGAAGTTAAGAAGATATCATCCCCAGCTTTCAATGTTAACTCAAATTAGGTGAACATGTTGTATTTGTGCTTTCGAATTTGTGTCATTGTTATGCAAAAGGTCAAAGCATTTAAATTATTCAATTGATCAGCGAGGAATGTTTATTTTTTAATTTCTTTTAGGCATTTTCAACTTACAGAAATAAATTCAAAATACAAATATATATATCAAGAACGGAAAAACTCTATGTTAAATGTTGTTGCTGCTTTCCACTGTTAAGCATAAATAAATATATACTAAATTGAAATGCATATTTTAAATGTAAGCAAAACAGACACGAGCCGAGAATCGACCCGAGAATGTAAATAATTCACTACCATAACATAATTGAGTAAATAAAGTTGTTTAATTTATAATACAAAAAATTCAAGAGAAACAATAAAAAAGGAAAACACAGAACACGAGAAATAACAATCAATTTCTCTTCTCTCACTCATTATGCAAATTTTGTGCATGGACAGCTGCGAGTGAAATGAATTTTCACACGTTCATTATTTGTTTGCGACACAATTTCGCAGCCGAAAGGCTCTTTAAAGTGCCATTCAACGCGATTGTGGCACATTTTGCTGCATCCTGTGTTTGTTGGCCTAATCACTGTCATTATACAATTTTAATTTGCTAAACTTTTAATCGAAAAGCGAAAAGAAAATCAAGGCCGGAAGGATGGAAACCAGCTGGCGGGGAAGGAAAGGAGCAAATCGAAAGTCTGGCCGGGATCGTAATCCCTTTTTTAATTGCAGCTATCCCGAACACATTTTTTTCTCTCTCTGCTTCAGTTGTGGCAAAATCTTTTCAATGGAAAACTTTCTGGCCAGCGGCGATTTTCCCCCATTTTACCCACGCTTCACATCCTCGTGTTCGTTGTCAAAGTGTTGTCTACTTTTCTGGTGGAAAACTTTTCCTTTGTTGCAATTATCGGCATCGCTACACACGAAGGCGTGCGCAAATGAAATAAAAGTAAAGGCCAAATAAAAAAGAAATGGCTGCCATTTAAATAATTCGAAAATTGCCAAAGAACTTGTCACCAATCCCCGCCCCCAAGACGGCCTAAAGAATTCATGAGGGAAAGACTTGGAGAACTTTTCCCTGCTTTTTCACTTTATTTGTCAATTATTGTGGCACAAACAAACGGGCAGCAGAAATGGAGAAGAAGATCTGCGGGGACGGCCTGTCATTCAGTTGGATGTTTTTGACAATTTGCCTCTTAAATATTTAATAAGCCAAAGTGGTCGAGTGGAACAACAAACAGAAAACGTCGGAAATCAATTATATATAGCAGTGAACTGTTTGTAGGGGGACGACGCTTATAATTTGTAAGTGGCTTAAGCATTCGTCTGCCGCCTTCGAATGTAAAAAGTTTTTTAATTGAACATTCTCAATGGCAAATAAGGCGGACGGCAGACAAAAACATTTTTCAATTGCAGTATGGCAACGTCCCCATATTTACCCTGGATTTTTGCTCTCTTTTACAACGCTTTTCATTAGTCGCGATTCTTTGTTCCACAGCTTGTGGAAACCCCATTTTTACTCCTCAACTTCAGATGCACAATGGCAGAAATTATTGCTTTGCTTATTTGCGCTGCGTTTTCTTCATTTGTCAGCGGAATGTCTTTTGTTATAAAACCACCGAACCCACAGGAGGTATTGTAATAAAAGTATGAAAGGAGATTTTCTTTTCTTCTGAACTTTTTCATTAGGCTAATTAAAAATGTTTGTGACACCGCCATGAGAGTGAGAGTGTTTGCCGACGTCTTGAAAGTTTTATGTTTTTCCCCTGGAAAGTGTAACACATGGCGTATGAGCAATAAGTGCTTTATGACTCCGAGGTAAACGAACTTTGCGGAGATTACCCACTCAAATGGATTTCAGTGCCTGCAGCGAAGCTCGGAAATAAAAACCATTTTCCCCAATCCCGTCCAAAACTTGTTAGGCTTGCATTTTAAGTAACTTTGGCAGTCGGACCCAGAGATTCGCATAAAAATGTAAACTTAAAAAAGTCGGGCTAAGAGTTTTGTACATCCCGTGTCTACGCTGTCGCCTTGGCTGACATTAAGGCGACAATTGCCAGTCCTGCTCGTCATTAAAACTCCGACAATGCCAGCCAGCGAAAAATTACGGAAAACAATAAAAAAGAAGTAGCAGCGACAGAAAGTTTTTACCCACCCTTAGCCCCTTTTTTTTTGGCAAGAATATGTTTAAGTGTCAGTAACAGTTTTCATGCAAATATTGTCTGGGGACTGTCGGGAATGAAAAGAGACTACATGAAATGCTTAACATAATGCGATGTCGGGATTAAAGTGCAGTTTTACTGACGAGTTCTTTTTTTTTAGTACCTAAATTGAGTTCAACATGAAAAAAGAAGGATGTTCTTGTTGCGAATTTAAATTAGTCGATACAAAAAATATACTATCTAGGTAAATTTTTTGATTTGATAAGAAAGGAAGTAGCTTACTTTTCGAAAACGATATTTCCAAAATATTTTCAGCAACCTGATAGCTATTCGTTTTATCCTAAAACCTCTAAACCTAAATTTTTGCGTGCATTTTAAAGCCTTGCTTAATTAAGCCCGTGAGGTATCTGTGCAAATTTCAACACTTGGGGGAGAATATCCTGCACCGCCCACAACTGACAGGCTCAATTACAAAACTGCAGCCGAGGGCCTGGAGTCCTAGTTCGATTATGCACAGAGTAGATGGCCAAACAGGACACCTCATTAATTTGCCGGGCTGCGGCAATAACAATAACAGTCATTTGGGCTATTTGGCTCATTGACTGCCTGATTTTATGGCCCAAACGACGAGCGGAGTTAGCTGCAGCTGGCTCTATGTCCAAAATCAACATCAACATTGACCCAGGAGCAGTTTGTCCTGCTGCCGACGTTGCAGCATTGCCAAATATGTTTTTGTGGCATTTTTGGCCAATTTGCAGACATTGGGAGCCCAGTGCCGTTGGCCAATTGAATGCAGCAGACGCGGACGTGGACATGGCTTTCGCAGTAACGCTGCCTGTGGACGAGTTCCCTGCTGATTATGCCATAATGTTTGGCCACACCAGAGTCGAACCAAAATCCACCCCCCATCCACCCACCCAGTTTTTGCCTGTTTGCTGTTTGCCTAACCCAAATTGCATGCTATTGACCAGGACTCTACATATTTCAAGTGCTGCGGGGGCTGCAGGGGATTCTGCAGTTGCCAGAGTTGTGACGGCTGCCCTGCCACTTGAAACTTTTCCAAATCACACACTTTGCCGGCACAGTTCGATCAACTACGTATACAAGTGCCGCCGAGGAAACGCCACTAAAAAGTGCAAAAAGTGAAAAATAAAACAAAGGACATAAAGTGGGAGAAAAAAAGCAGGAAAATCGAAAGAAGCAGTACCCTGTTTTTACATTCTGTGGATCAAATATTTCATGTTTTTTGATTTAAGTGTGTTTACAACAAGTTAAAGACTTCACGACTTACCAATGATCTACAATTAATATATTGAATGAATTTTTCCGACTCGTGTAAAACTGAAATCTACTTGTCCGAAATTAACTGACACTGCACAATTTTTAATTCAACTGAAGTTTGTTGGAAATTTGGCTTTCGGTGCTCAAAAAGTTTGCGATACGATACCACTGAACGGCAAAACAATAATGAATAAATTCTAGATAAGTGTAGATTTAGGTTGACACGACGAACCGGATGACTATGATTAAAAATTTAAAACTTGGAGAGCTACAAAATCATTATAGTTCTTACAAATTTCTTTTTTCTTAGATTTCCGAGCTAAGAAATCCAAATGATTCCCATCGATTTCCCATTTGGCTCGCCGGTATTCACAGCAGAATTCGTGTCCTGATCAAATCCTGTTTAGCATGCCCGACATTTATTTTCAAGTCGTAAGCCAAGTGAAGCCAACCCATCTCGAGTCGTACTCACATGCTCAGCTTGCAACATTAATGCACTATGGCTGCTAATGCAGCAGCAACAAAGGAAAAGGGGGCGAGGGGGTGCCAAAGGGAGGCGTGGCAGGTCGGAGGTGGCGGTGCAAACAAAAGCCAGTAAAAGCAACAGTAGAGGGTTTCGGCGTGCCTGCTCCGCTTTCTCTTGGATTCGCACTCGCATTCATTTTTGCTGTTCGCCATTGTTGCAGCTGGTGCCTTTCTGCTTATTGTTGTAGAGCACATATACACCCACAAACGGTGCCGCACACTCAGAGAAAATGTATTATAAAATATGGTACATAAACGTAGATCACAAAACTCACTACATAAATTTCATCAATTTTAAAACTTAGGCAAAACAAACAGCCATCATCCGATTTAAAAAAAGGGTTTGTGTTTAACTAATTTTGATATAATATTAAACATTTTGTTGGCTTATATCTTGGAAAATTCACTTATGAAACTATCACAATTGTCAATACATTTTTGTTTTCAATTTTTTCAAGTGCACATAAAAACATATACTTATGTGAATGCCGCCGCTGGCCTGGCTTTTTTGTTTAATTCGTTTTTCTATTGTTCACAGCCAAGAACTTTAGTCCGAGGGGCTTTGGCAACATTGTAAAATGCATGAATGTGTTTAGCCAACTCACTATCTGTCCCCCGTTTCCTCCTCCTCCGACTGCAGATTTTTGCATTTTGCGAGCATAAAAGTTGAAAGCGACATTATTGAATATGCGTTGTCGTTGTCGCTTTCCCATTGTTTGGCTCACACCAACACACTAACACACAGTCACACACATGCCGCCCCTGATGGGTGGGCGTGGCAGATGGCTGCAAAGCCAAGTGGCTTAGCAGATTCTTACGCCCATTGAAATTTATATGCCACTTTGGCACACATTAAAGCCGAAATGGCCAAAACCGAATCGAATGTTTAAGGTCAGACGACGGATGGCAACGGAACGGAATGGAACTACAGATACACCATCACCAAACCCGGGGCTTATTTATGCTTTGTTTGTCGCTTTGGCTAATAAATTAGCAGCTTTACCTTTTGGCCCGACTGCAAACCAATAGCAATTTATCGCAGCCGCAAAGAAAGGCACGTAGCCAGAGCGGGAAATCCCCGGATCGAAGGGGTTCGTCCCTCCAAATGTGCTCGCCTTATCGCCGGCTTAGGCGACACGCACAGGTGGGCTAACTCAGGAGAAAACGCCACAGGACGAGGTAGAGGAGCAGCTGGCGAGCTCCTCCCAACGAGACAGCAATAGTTGTTACCGACTTTAGCCTTTGACTAACGACGGGCGACAATAAAAATGGCCCTGGCAATTGGCACATTGCGGTTGCGAGTTAAAAGGATTTTCGATTTCAAATGATGGCCAAAAGGACCAAGAGTTGAGGGAAGTGGGGAGAGATTTAGAAAGTCTGGCGAAAGCTGTAGACTGAAACATTTTAATGAAAGTCAAAATAGAGGCTTGCTTGAATAAAATTGCTTGGTTACTAAACAATGTAATTCCTTATTTCACGATAACTTTATTTTAAATATAATAAAAACGTCTTTCATTTAACATCCAATTAGACCATTTTCTAAAAAGCCATTTTTCGGATTTTTGACAGGGGTAACATCATAATAATTTGAAAAAAAAAAATCAAACGAAATAAAAACCAAACGAAGGGTGCAGTTTCGTAGCAGACTAAATTCAAACTTTAAGACTAGAAAAATTTAATAAAATTCTTCCTGGGAAAAGCAACAAGCAGCAAGAAAGGAAAATCTAAAAAATATATATTTCGATTGCGTGCCGCGTGAGGAAAGTCTGGGAGATTCGGAAACGCTTGCCAGGATTTATCGTGCGTCCATTACAAGCGGAAATTAAGCGCGGCAGGTCGCCAGCTGGACAAGGGGGGCGTGGCAGGGGCAGGGGCAGGGAAGGGGCGGGCGTGCGTGAAAGCGTTTTGCCGGCTGGCCATAAAGTAACGAGCGGGCCAAACATTCCGACGGACCAAAGCAGAGCTATTGTTTTCGGCTCCTGCAAAAGACCAGAGTCCTTTTGGCCGCTTTGTATGCCAGTCACGTGGCACGCAACGACAACTTGGGATTTGTTAAGTGGCGCGTCGTTTTTGATGTGCGGAATGTTTAGCACAGGTCCCCAGTTCTCCTTCTTTTGTTTCTCTTCTCCTCTTTTTTTCTCCCCGGTAAGGAAAAGTCCATCACGTGTCCCGGACATTTTGCACATAACTTGTTTCAGCGTTTTTATTGCCAACTTCCGCTTCCGCTTTTGAATGCACTGCGAATGTCTTTTGTTTTTGCCCACCTTGCGGTTAACGGTACTTCTGGAAGAGCAGGCAAAAAAAAAGAACGAGGTAACCACCACTCGAGAAACTCCATCAGCCGTGGCTGATTCGATTTTCCGATGTGTACCTTTGCTTTTAGTGATTGAAATCGCACATTTTAAGTGAAAAAGCGCACACAGAAGTGCACTCAATCATTCGTCACGTGATTCAGTCGCCGATGGAGTGAATACCTCTTTCCCTTTTCCCGGCTTTTCCGGAGTTTTCCGCCTTCCACTTACCGCTTCCCCGTTTTTTTTTTTTTTAACGCGCGCTCCTTGTGCAAATGTTTTTCTTAGTTGGACATCGGGTGGCAAGTGTTGGAGCACCACGGCTGTGTTTATATAAAAGATTACGCCACCAGATGAGAAATGGAGACACAATTGTTCATGTTGTTTATTGTTGTGCGGGTGTGCGGAAATGAAAAGCCCAGCGATAATGCCACGTAAATGTTGTGAATGCGAAATCAATAGGGGAAGGCAGTTTAAAGCCGGTTGGAAATTCAATAGCAGCAAAATCGCAGAGCGAACTTCAAGCGAAAAACTTTTCTAATTTGCGCATTATGAAAATTGGGTCGCTACAAGGAAATCCGACAGTTTTCCCCCGAAGCAGAATTAAGTGAAAAGCAATTTTTGAGCCTAGCCAAAGAGGAGGAAACGAATGAATGAAAAGAACCGAAAAAAAGTTTTCCATTAAGAAAATTAACTGAGATTAAGTGGGGCCCTATGCTCTTGGCCCGGCGAAAAGTTTACCCAAAAGGGATGAATCCGAAATTGCAACAATTTCAAGGCATTTAAACAGTTGTCACACACTCACTCAAACACTCACGCACACACACATGCATACACAGACAAGGCGCGCCGGAAGTGAGCCTGAAAACGGAAGCAGGCCACAACACATGAAATTGGTTTAAGGCAGGAAGCGGAAGCAGAGGAAGGGACTTTATTTGTTGCCTGCCACACTTCGGTTGCTTGTTTGTCGCCTCCACCACCAATCTCTCGTCATCCTCGTCCTCGTCGTCGCCGATACTAATCTAATTTTATTGATATTGACACAATTTCTGCAGATTTCCGCATAAACATAAAAACAGAGCTCGAACCTCGAAGGTTCGAGGGCTCAAGTAGCAAAACAGCCATGGCACGCAAACAAATGGTATCTAATAAAAATTGAACAAAAAGCAAACAAAAGTTCGATGATGCGGCTGCCATTCGATGGAAGTCAAACAATACTGAAGTACTCGGCGGGAATTTCCTGCAGCAAATCGGGATGGCAAAAAAATATCAGTTTGGGCCATTCGGTGTTTTAGAACAAAGAAGTTTAAACAACAATTCAAAACAAACTATAACTTACACAGTAAAATCGTATTTATTGCCTTACTCAGCATTGTTGGGTTTAAAAATGTAGTACAAGTACTTGCTCCAAAGTAAGCACTGCATTCAGAAATAAAAATCAACGTATGGCTTTACACACTTTATCAACGTAGACAGTACAATTAAAGTTATATCAAATCATAAATCTAAGTTCAATGGGAATTTCCAAAAGATTGGATTTAGACATGTTAAGATAACAATTAACTGGGTTTAACCCGTTTATAGAAATTCCCGCTAAAAGTTAAAATTCCCAATTTGTTTGCTGATAAGAAAAATCCAGATTTCCACAGATACAGAAGTTGGCTTTCTACAAGATTAGCCGCCGAGTTCCGAAAACCTTATCTTATTTGCGCTATTTCAGGGAAGTCACCGATTTATATTAAAGAGTTTTATAATCGATTAAAAAACTGATAGAAATTCATTCAATTGTGCAATAATGATTTATGTTTAGGAGTTTTATAACCGTCTATTTAACTGATAAAAATGCGTTCAGTTGTGTAATAATGTAACTGAATAATGCCCTTATTGATTTTCAATCATATGTGACTATTTTTTGCTACTTATTTGACAATAAACAATTTCAGATCTTTAAATCTGCGGCAAAATAAATGCTTTCTTTGTAATACTTGGAAACAAACCTTAGGACACAATTCTTAGGATTTAAAACTATAATAACTAAATAATTAACCAGTAAATAAGTAGAAGTGAAAATTTTCAGAATGTTCTGGTTTTATTTAGAAAAGAAAGTTACAAAAGTTTCAAAAGTATGTGGCTCTCAAGCCGAAACTCCGGAGTTCTCCTTGATCCAGTCCAGGTAGCTGGTCACCCGGGTGAAGGCGGCAGGCTCTCCCACCTCGCAACCGTCAGGAGATCCGAAGGAGGTGATGCCGATGAGGGTGCCATCCAGGGCCAGAGGACCACCAGAGTCTCCCTGGCAGGTGGAGGTGCCCTTGGGAGTGGCTACGCAGATCACCCGGCTGGTCACGATCAGGCTGCTAAAGGACTTTTGGCAAACGGAGTTCTCTATGACGGTGAGGTCGGTGTACTGGAGGTTCCTGGCCACGGCGGTGGCGGAGTCGGAGGTGAGTCCCCATCCAGAAGCCACGGCGGTCTGTCCCACGTACGAGGAGTAGCTGCTGGCGATGGCGGGCAGGGCGATCTTGTTAACGGAGGCCGAGAAGGTCACGGACGGAGTTTTGATCAGGGAGATGTCGTTGCGAACGGTCAGCGAGATGTAGTTGGCGTGCTGGATGAAGCTCGAGCTGGACAGAGTTTGGGTGAACTGGGGACTGGTGCGCACGGTGGCTCCATAGTAGATCGTCACGGAGGAGGCACTGAAATGCAAGAAAATTCTCTATCGATATCCCTCTAAACAGAAGTTTTGCTTTCTTACCCGCTGGTGCAGTGGGCAGCTGTCAGCACCCAGGAATTGTCGATGATGGATCCACCGCACCACCAGCTGCCCTCGGAGCCGGTGAAGCTGAGTCCCACCTGGTAGGGAAACTGGTCGGCCACGGCGTTTCTGCCATTGGTTATGCGACCATTGATGGAGGCAACCGGAGTCCTGTCACGGGGATGCACAGGAGCAATCTGGGGAAAGATCCCAGCGGAAGCGGAGGCGATGGCCAGAAGCAAGACAGCAAAGACCTTCATACTGGTGGATGGTTGATTGAACAGTGAATGATTACTCCTACTAGCCAAGTCTGTTATATACCCGTCCTGAATGGTCTTATCTGGGGAATCTTTGGGCAAGTCCCCATCTATACTTTCCGATAGTCTAAAGTTTCAAGGGAAAAAACCAAACCCTTTTGCAGTAATAAGATAATGAGCTGGGTGTTGGGCAAAATGAATAATTTTTTATTTTTATTTTTTGTAACATTTAAAAATCTCCTAATAAAATATATTAAAAGGTTAAATTCGTTTTAATATTAAGGAAAACTTTGTTGACATGTTTCATATGAAGTTAATATAAGGCCAATAATTAAATAAATTTTTAAAATTACCATTACCAACTACCAAAATACTTTCTAAAAAAAATACTTAATTAAGATCGAAGAAGTGCAACTTTTTGAAATCGATTTATACATAATATAATTTTTTTTCTTAAATCAGCTTAAAAGCAAAAACAATTAAATAACATATTAATATTATGGTTATTTCACAATTCAATGGTCTAAGGCAATAACTCAAAATCTTGCTAACGTTTTTGGGATTCGCCCATTGTGCCAAGATAAGCCCACCATGGTGGTATATAAACCCATAAGTTGGCACAAGAAAGTCATTCACTGAAAGTACAACCATCGACATGAAGGTGTTCTTAGTTTTGGTTCTGGCCATCGCCTCCGCCTCTGCAGGTCTTCTGCCCCAGTTGACTCCTGTGCATCCTCGTGACAGGACCTCTTCCCCTTCCATCAATGGTCGCATCACCAACGGCAAGAACGCCGTTGCCGACCAGTTCCCCTACCAGGTGGGACTCAGCTTCCTCAGCTCGTCGGGCAGCTGGTGGTGCGGTGGGTCCATCATCGACAACTCCTATGTGCTGACCGCAGCCCACTGCACCAGCGGGTAAGTTGACTATTCTTGTTTACTGAAAAGGATCAGTAAAAATACGAGTATTTCTTATTTAGAGCTTCCTATGTGACCATCTACTATGGAGCCACCGTTCGTACCAGCCCTCAGTTCACCCACACGGTCTCCAGCGCGAACTTCATCCAGCATGCCAACTATGTATCGCTTACTCTCCGCAACGACATCTCCCTGATCAAGACTCCCTCCGTCACCTTCTCCTCTTCCGTCAACAAGATCGACCTCCCAGCCATCGCCAGTAGCTACTCCACCTACGCCGGACAAGTGGCCGTGGCCTCCGGATGGGGACTGACCTCCGACACCTCCTCCTCCGTGGCCCGCGATCTCCAGTACGCCGATCTGACCGTCATTGCCAACTCCGTGTGCCAAGCAGCCTACGGCAGTCTGGTGGTTACCAGCCGGGTGATCTGTGTGGACGGTGTCAACCGCACCTCCATCTGCAGTGGAGACTCCGGCGGCCCCTTGGCTTTGGATGGAATCCTGATTGGAGTCACCTCCTTCGGATCCATCGACGGTTGCGAGGTGGGAGCCCCAGCCGGTTTCTCCCGCGTGACCAGCTACCTGGACTGGATCAAGGAGAACTCCGGAGTTTCGGCTTAAGGAGAACTGCCCGATTTGTGACTTGATTAAAAATAAATAAAATGAGAGCATTCTAAAATGTATGGTGTATGCATGAAAAGGATAACACATTCCGCAAGAAAATTGTTAGGAAGTGATTCAGCCAAAACGGGTAATCGGAAACACAAAAACCGAAAAGATTGTAAAAGTGTACAGTATTGTGCATAAAATGAACTAGGATCAGAAAAAAAAATTAAAATTGCAAAAGTTATTAGCTTTTGAAAAAAAATTGATTTTATCGCGTTTTTTTTCTCACTAATTATTTCCTCAAATAAACAGTTTTCAATATTTTTGGATAATCCTAATTTATTAGTTAAAAGAAACAACTAGGAACATTAAAAAAAAAAATTTTATGGCGACTGGTTAACCCCAACGCTCCATGTAAGGGCCTGTAACTCTTGTAATTTTTTAAATTTGGATCTGAAATTTGTTGAGAACATTTTCGGAACAAATATTTATATAATAAGCCAAAAAAAACAAATTTTTGGTCGCCACAAGGTGATAACCAGCCTTAAGAAAAGTTTCAGCAAAACAGCTTTAAAACTGAGAGACTGGCTTACAAATAAATAGTCAGACGAACAGACGTACACGTCTAGTGCGATTCAGATCGTGATGCTGATCAAGAATATATATATATTTTATGGGGTCTGAGGTGTCTCCTACACTGAGGTGCAAAGATTTGACTGAAATAATTACACCCTTTCCAAGGATATAAGAAACTTCAGCTTACACAGTAAAATCGTTTTTATTGCCTTACTCAGCAGTGTTGGATTTAAAAATCTAGTGCAAGTACTCAATAAATAACAAAAATCAACTTATAGAAGTCTTTACACAATTAAATTAATATCAAATCATAAATTTATTTCAATGGGAATTTCCAAAAAAAAAAAAAAAATAAGTTCGACGTGTTAAGATAGTAATTAATTGGGTTTTGCCCTATTATAGAAACTCGCGCTAAATCTCAAAGTTACCAATTTGTTAGCTGATAAGATAAATCCAGATTTTCACAGATACAGAAAGTGACTTCCTACAAGATTAGCCTCCAAGTTCTGTAAACCTTATTTTATATATACTGTATTTTCATACTGTAACAAAGGAATTACCGATTTATATTAAGGAGTTTTAGATCTGACTAGTAAACTGATAGAAAGGCATTGAATTGTGTAATAATGTAAACGATTAATGCCCTAATGGATACATCGCACCACACTGTCCTTTAATCATATGAAACTATTATAAGCTAGTTGTTTGACAAGATGTAGTTTAAGATCTTTAAATAGGCGGCAATTATAAACTATATATAATTTTTAGAATGTTCTGGTTTTATTTAGAAAAGAAAGTTACAAATGTTTCAAAAGTATGTGGCTCTCAAGCAGAAACTCCGGAGTTCTCCTTGATCCAGTCCAGGTAGCTGGTCACCCGGGTGAAGGCGGCAGGCTCTCCCACCTCGCAACCGTCAGGAGATCCGAAGGAGGTGATGCCGATGAGGGTGCCATCCAGGGCCAGAGGACCACCAGAGTCTCCCTGGCAGGTGGAGGTGCCCTTGGGAGTGGCAACGCAGATCACCCGGCTGGTAACGATCAGGCTGCTAAAGGACTTTTGGCAAACGGAGTTCTCGATGACGGTAAGGTCGGTGTACTGGAGGTTCCTGGCCACGGCGGTGGCGGAGTCGGAGGTGAGTCCCCATCCAGAAGCCACGGCGGTCTGTCCCACGTACGAAGAGTAGCTGCTGGCGATGGCGGGCAGGGCGATCTTGTTCACGGAGGCCGAGAAGGTCACAGACGGAGTTTTGATCAGGGAGATGTCGTTGCGAACGGTCAGCGAGATGTAGTTGGCGTGCTGGATGAAGCTCGAGCTGGAGAGAGTTTGGGTGAACTGGGGACTGGTGCGCACGGTGGCTCCATAGTAGATCGTCACGGAGGAGGCACTGAAATGCAAGAAAATTCTTTATCGATATCCCTCTAAACAGAAGTTTTGCTTTCTTACCCGCTGGTGCAGTGGGCAGCTGTCAGCACCCAGGAATTGTCGATGATGGATCCACCGCACCACCAGCTGCCCTCGGAGCCGGTGAAGCTGAGTCCCACCTGGTAGGGAAACTGGTCGGCCACGGCGTTTCTGCCATTGGTTATGCGACCATTGATGGAGGCAACCGGAGTCCTGTCACGGGGATGCACAGGAGCAATCTGGGGAAAGATCCCAGCGGAAGCGGAGGCGATGGCCAGAAGCAAGACAGCAAAGACCTTCATACTGGTGGATGGTTGATTGAACAGTGAATGATTACTCCTACTAGCCAAGTCTGTTATATACCCGTCCTGAATGGTCTTATCTGGGGAATCTTTGGGCAAGTCCCCATCTATACTTTCAGATAGTCTAAAGTTTCAAGGGAAAAAACCAAACCCTTTTACTGTAAAAAGATAATCAGCTGGGAGTCGTGCAAAATAAATTAATTTTCTAATTTGGAGTAGTTTTTAACATTTAAAAATCTCTTAATGAAATGTATTAAAAATATAAATTCAATTTCTTATCAATAAAATCTTTTAATGTTTTAATCATGTAATGAAACAAATTATTATAAAGCCAATAATTAAATAAACGTATTAAAGTAACCTGAACAAATACCAAAATACTTTCTATAAAAAATTCTTAGCAAACATACAATATAGTTTTTTTCTTAAGAAATCTATAAAAGCAAATCAATTTAATAGAGTTTCACTAGCATGGGTTTTTCACAACGCAGTGAAACTCAAAATCTTACTAACGGATTTGGGATTCGCCCATTAGGCCAAGATAAGCCCACCACGGTGGTATATAAACCCATAAGTTGGCACAAGAAAATCATTCACTGAAAGTACAACCATCGACATGAAGGTGTTCTTAGTTTTGGTTCTGGCCATCGCCTCCGCCTCTGCAGGTCTTCTGCCCCAGTTGACTCCTGTGCATCCTCGTGACATGACCTCTTCCCCTTCCATCAATGGTCGCATCACCAACGGCAAGAACGCCGTGGCCGACCAGTTCCCCTACCAGGTGGGACTCAGCTTCCTCAGCTCGTCGGGCAGCTGGTGGTGCGGTGGATCCATCATCGACAACTCCTATGTGCTGACCGCTGCCCACTGCACCAGCGGGTAAGACCAAAAATTCTATTAAGAGGGTTCTCGCTAAATAATTTCCTTGCATATCAGTGCCTCTTCAGTGACCATCTACTATGGAGCCACCGTGCGCACCAGCCCGCAGTTCACCCAAAGAGTCACCAGCGCGAACTTCATCCAGCATGCCAACTATGTATCGCGTACTCTCAACAACGACATCTCCCTGATCAAGACCCCTTCCGTGAGCTTCTCCTCCTCCGTGAACAAGATCGCCCTCCCAGCCATCGCCAGTAGCTACTCCACCTACGCCGGACAAGTGGCCGTGGCCTCCGGATGGGGTCTGACTTCCGACACCTCCTCCTCGGTGGCCCGCGATCTCCAGTACGCCGATCTCACCGTCATCGCCAACTCCGTGTGCCAAGCAGCCTACGGCAGCCAGGTGGTTACCAGCCGGGTGATCTGTGTGGACGGAGTCAACCGTACCTCCATCTGCAGTGGAGACTCTGGCGGCCCCTTGGCTTTGGATAGAACCCTGATCGGAGTCACCTCCTTCGGATCCATCGACGGTTGCGAGGTGGGAGCCCCGGCCGGATTCTCTCGCGTGACCAGCTACCTGGACTGGATCAAGGAGAACTCCGGAGTTTCGGCTTGAGAGCCACAAACTTTTGAAACATTTGTAACTTTCTTATAATAAAAGCAGAGCATTTCATTCAAAATTAATTTATTTTTCTTAGTTGCTGGGATAAAGGAAAAACTATATTATTTTTTGGGAGTTTTAAAAATAATACATATCCCCTAATAGGAAACACCGGAATTGCTCTTAATCCAGATCAGGTAACTGGTAACGCGGGTGAAACCAGCTGGCTTATTTTTCTCGCACCCATTCGAGGACACAAACGAGGTCACTCCAATCAACTGACTGTTCAAGGCCAGAGGACCTCCAGAATCGCCCTGACAAGTAGATACTTTGTTGGTGGAGGCCACGCAGATCACTCCGCTGGTAACCACCGAGCTTCCATAAGTCTGCTGGCACACGGCATTGGTAATAACCTTTAGTTGGGCATATTGGAGGGTGGAGGCCGAAGCGCTGACGGAATCCGAGGTTCTTCCCCATCCGGAGGCTATGGCTGTTTGTCCGGCGTAAGATGAATAGCTACTGGCGATCGCTGGGAGGTTTATCTTCTTTATCGAAGCCGTAAAAGTTACGGATGGGGTTTTAATCAGGGATATATCGTTATTCAGAGTAACCGAATTATAGCTAGCGTGCTGCACAAATTTTGAGCTGGATACTTTTTTAGTCACTGTGCCCACTGCGCGAGTGGTGGAACCATAATAAATGGTAACGGAAGAGGCACTACAAAACGGATATATTATATAATTATTTATTTTTATTTATGTATGAGTGCTAATAAAATACTTACCCTTTTGTGCAATGAGCAGCGGTTAGAACCCAAGTATTTGCGATAATTGAACCACCGCACCACCAACTTCCAGAGGAACTCTTAAATGCGAGACCCACTTGATAGGGGAACTGGTTTGTGGCTGCCTTATTTCCATTGGTAATACGACCTTCGATTGATGGAGAACCAATGTCACGGAGATGAACTGGAGTATCCTGTGGAAGGACCCTAGCAGAAACAAAAGCAATTCCCAAAACAATTAATACGAAGACCTTCATGCTGATCAATTACACTTTGATGAGTGGAAATTGCATTTTAGTGGCGGTTACTTTATACTGCATTTTTATCAACAAAGAGACAATAAGTTGTAAATTTTAATAATCCCTAAGTCTTAGGGAATTCCATGTAAGGGTAGCGCAACTACATATTACAAGAAATAAATCAATAAATAAGCCTAAGCAAATGTTTGCTAATAGATTACTATTAATTATTGTTTACTTGTAAGATTAAAAAGTAAGTAGTAGCCAGTGTTGGTAAATTACTAAAGAGATAATAAATATCCAGCATAAAATAAATGCCTATCACCCACATAAGTTAAAAGTCCGTTATAATTGATAAACAGATATGAAAGTAAGTAGCGCACTTTAGAATCTTATCAGTCTGGGAATAAATTATATTACAAAACCGCCAAATAAGTAGCTGATATAAATTTCTGCGAAATGTAATCAAATCATCAAGGCGTTCTATTCAGATAAGAGCTGCTAGTTCGGGTATATAAGGAGCTCGATGGGAAAGGTGAAATCACTCATAGTTTCGATCATGAAGGTTTTCGTTGTTTTGGTTCTGGCTCTGGCCTCCGCCTCCGCTGGGCTCCTGCCCCAGACCGCTCCGGTGCATCCTCGTGACAGGATCTCGGTGCCGTCCATCAATGGTCGCATCACCAACGGCAAGGACGCCGTCGCCGGCCAGTTCCCCTACCAGGTGGGACTCAGCTTCAGCAGCTCCAAGGGCAGCTGGTGGTGCGGTGGATCCATCATCGGCAACGAGTGGGTGGTGACTGCTGCTCACTGCACGGATGGGTAAGACTTGTTTTCACAAATATATAGGAAAGGATCCTGACCAATGGTATTTTTTATAATGCAGTGCCACCTCGGTGACCATCAACTACGGAGCCACCGTGCGCACCAGCCCGCAGTTCACCCAGAAGGTCTCCAGCTCGGACTTCATCCAGCACGAGAGCTACCTTTCGCTGACCGTCCGCAACGACATCTCCCTGATCAAGACTCCCTCCGTCAGCTTTTCGGCCAACGTGAACAAGATCGCCCTGCCCGCCATCTCCAGCAGCTACTCCACCTACACCGGCAAGACCGCCGTCGCCTCCGGATGGGGACTCACCTCCGACTCCGCCACCGCCGTCGCCTCCCACCTGCAGTACACCGACCTCACCGTCATCGAGAACTCCGTGTGCCAGCAGACCTTCGGCAGCCTGATCGTGACCAGCCGCGTGATCTGCGTGGCCACTCCCAAGGGCACCTCCACCTGCCAGGGTGACTCCGGCGGCCCGCTGAACCTCGATGGAACCCTCATCGGCATCACCTCCTTCGGATCCGCCGACGGATGCGAGGCCGGTGCCCCCGCCGCCTTCACCCGCGTGACCAGCTACGTCGACTGGATCAAGGCCAACTCCGGAATCTAAACTATGAGACATATTCGAAAACAATTCTAATAAATATAAAGTACATGTAACAAAAATCAGTCATTTTAATAGCAGAAGGGTGTAAAAATTTTATGGAACATAGGTTGAACAGAAGACGAAGCATTAAACTATTTAAGCTAGTTTTAAAATAAAAATGGAAAATGAGCAGAACCGAAGTTATACCTACCTTATAATATGCTTATAAGCAATTAATCTTATCTAACCGCACAATTTTTGAGGAATTTATTGAAAATACACCAACATATTAAGCCAATCAATTAAAACCACGAGTAAATAATCACTCATACGAGTAAAATAGAAAACTTATCTGACATTAAACGTTTTACGCATTAGCTTGGCCAATTTTTCCACCACTAATATAACAAATAAACAACCCTATACCCCTTAATCTAACTTTAATGCTTTATGATCATTATAAAACTAAACGCCTTGGATTGTAATACCTTAAAACCAGTTAAATCCCGGAACACTATCAACGACCTTTTCACATGTCGAAATGCAGGCGACGGCGTGCAGTAAATTAAACAAATAATAAACTTGCTGCTGATAAAGGCGGCAGTCAATAAATATAAAGACCCCGACCCAGACATTATGGCCAGCGTTGGGGGCCAAGAGCAGAAATCATGCAATTGAAAGCCCGGCCATTGAATGAGTCGAAAGCAATTAAGGCAACTGCACAGTGGGCCAAAAGGGAAGCGAAGGCCTAAGCAACATAATCGCCAAAACGTGCGGCAATTACACGGCAGCTTGAGGAATTGAATGCCAAACATCTGCTGCTCCTCCCGAGGTATAATTTCCACTGGCCCAGGGAAATTCAATTAACAGACGGAGCGGACACGTGCCGCACCAAGACGTTGACGCAATTTTGATGCCACAATCGCTGGCTATAAAAACACCGGCTAAAAACAACAACAAGCCCAGTACTTCACGTGGAGTACCCACTCAGAACTGAACTTGGATTGCTCCTTACAACCGACAACGAATATCAGATATCAGCTTTTAATATATAATATCACTGGTAAAATAGAAGGGAAGATTTCATTCATGAATCTCATTCAACATAAAGTGGTTTACATGAAAAGATTGAGATTATAAAAAAATTCAATAAATTCTTTTAATAATAATAATAATAAACCCCCAAATATTTTATTTCATATTTTTTAGTGCTAAGATGACGCATTGCCAATTAATGACTGCATATCTCTTCCTACTGATCCCCTTATTGGTTATATCAAGTCAATCCTGGCGGGAACATTACGAAGACACCACAGAAGAATCCTCTGCTGATGAAGAATCTCTGATGGAGAAACGCTGGCAGTTGGGCTATGAAAACTGGCGTCTTCGCTGCGAAAAATTCGAGAGGGAAATGAATAAGACATCTCCTGTAAACACTCGAATTGCAGGTGGAGAACTGGCCACAAGTGGCATGTTTCCCCATCAAGTGGGTCTGGTTGTTCAGCTGAGTGGTGGCGAATTCTTAAAATGCGGGGGTTCCCTCATCACTCTTCAGTTTGTTGTGACTGCAGCCCACTGCTTAACGGATGCCATTGCAGCAAGGATTTACACAGGAGCCACAAGATTCGCGGATGCCACAGATTCCGCCGAAGTGTTGTTGGTTACATATCGAGATTTCATAGTCCACCCAGGATACTTGGGTTTTGGTGGCTACAATGACTTGGCTTTGATTCGGCTCCCTAAAAAGGTTATTACCTCAGATCGAGTGCAACCCATTGAGTTAGCTGGTGAATTTATGAATCAACACTTTCTGTCGGGTAAAGTGGTGACCCTTTCGGGTTGGGGCAGCCTGGGTGATTCGAAGGGCATCCAGAACCGACTGCTTCAGTACCTGGATGAGGAGGTGATCGACCAGGAGCGCTGCCTCTGCCAATACTTGCCAGGATTGGTCAGCCAACGACGGCACATTTGCACCGATGGAAGCAATGGAAAAGGTGCCTGCAATGGCGACTCCGGTGGCCCGTTGACCTTCCACTTTCGCAATGCCAGCTACCTGATTGGGGTCACCTCATTCGGGAGCATCGAGGGATGCGAGGTGGGGGCACCGACTGTCTACGCCAGGATAACCGCATATTTGCCATGGATCCGACAGCAAACGGCAACGAGCAACTAAATGCAATTAACGCCTAATTGCAGCCCATTAATTGCTAAACAATATAGTCGGGCCAGACAATAAAACCAATTTGAGCAGTGAAATTGAGATGGGTGGTCCTGCCGACAAAGGGCAGGTGAAAATGGTCCATTTTATGGGTGGTTGTTTTCCCCCGAATGGAAATTGCTGCCGATAAATAACAATAAACATTTCGGCATTACAACGAAGCAAGTCAATTTGGGCAGCTCAATAAAAAGAGCGAAAGGAAAAAGCTTTTCCCTTGAATTATCAGGTCGGGTTGAGTGTCTATTTCTGGTGGGTGTTGAATTTGAGAGCCCTCCCTTCCCCTTCTCAGCTAATCGTCTTTAATTGGCCATCTGAATTGGCCATTCACCGCAGCGATGTGGTCAGCGAAACGCGTCATCAAATCACGCGGCAATCGCAGATAAAGAACCGCTGCGGTTGCGAAAACAACCGAACTCTGTTTGTTTATAATCGTAAATCGAAAAGAGCGACTATCTATCAATGGGTAAATATTGTGAAATTGCGATTTGCAGCCGTCAAAACGTAAAAACGGGGTTCATAAATCAGAGAAGTCTGAAACCGCAGTCTTGACCAACTAAACACCCTCTTCTTGACCTTTTTCGATGGTAAACAAATCAAACCCACTAAATCGTAAGTCTTAAGGTTGTTCTCCCTGCAGACGGACAGTTGATAAGATAGTAACGAATACTATTGGCAGTAAAAAAAAGATACGTCACGCGCTGAAGAGGAAGGCAAACGTTTGCCAATTTTTGAAACCTAATCAAATTAATTAGCAAGCTCATGCTCTTTTTATCTCGATCTGGAAATCCACCTGCGCCCAGATTAGATCCGTATCGGGATTAAAAACTTTGAATTGGGAAAGTAATTTTGGCGGCCGTGTGTCTGAAGTTCACCAGTACCAATCTTCAGCTCAAATCACGGAAGATAAGGTGACTTCGAGGCGACTTTTGGTGGCCCAATCTAATCGCGACAGCTTTGTGGGAGATTTACGATAGTGCAGTTTGGCAAGTATAAAAGACCCTGGCCGGGTCTTGGCTAACCAGTTGAGTTCCTTCACTGAACACGCAACAAATCCCCAAGATGAAGTTCCTGATCATCCTTGCCCTGGCCGTGGCCGCCTCCGCTTTCCCGGAAGCCGAGCTGCACCACCGTAGCCGCGAGATGCCCGTGGTTGGAGACATCCAGGGTCGCATCACCGGAGGATCGACCGCCGCCGTCGGCCAGTTCCCCTACCAGGTGGGACTCTCCCTCAAGCTGAGCGCTCTGTCCAGCGCCTGGTGCGGTGGCTCCCTGATCGGCAGCCAATGGGTTCTGACCGCTGCCCACTGTACCGATGGGTAAGTGTCCCTCAAGGATACCTAATCTGTTTCTCCCACTAAGGAACTATATTTTCTAAACAGAGTTCAGTCCGTGTCCGTCTACCTGGGCGCCACCGTGCGCACCGCCCCCGAGATTACCGTCACCGCCTCGTCCATCATCATCCACTCCGGCTGGAACAGCGCCAACCTGCGCAACGACATCTCCCTGCTCAAGATCCCCGCCGTCTCGTACAGCACCAAAATCCAGCCCGTCACCCTGCCCTCCGTCGCCAGCAGCTACTCCACCTACGCCGGTGAGACCGCCGTCGCCTCCGGATGGGGACGCACCAGCGACTCCTCCTCCTCGGTGGCCAGCAACCTGCAGTACGTCGACCTGACCGTCATCACCAACACCGTGTGCGCCAACACCTACGGCTCCTCGATCGTGACCGCCTCGAACATCTGCGTGTCCACCACCAACGGCAGGTCCACCTGCAACGGCGACTCCGGCGGCCCCCTGGTCCTCAAGAGCAACAGCGTCCAGATCGGTCTGACCTCCTTCGGTGCCTCCGCCGGTTGCGAGAAGGGCTACCCCGCCGCCTTCACCCGCGTGACCAGCTACCTGGACTGGATCAAGAGCAACACTGGCATCTAAAAAGGATCCGTCAGGGACTTTCATCCTGCACTTAAATAAAAAATGTTTCTATCGAACTTGAATGTGAACTAATCATTGGGAGGGAGGAATTTCCCAGCACTCAAAATGTAACGATTAATGATTAACCTGGTGGTTATCATTTAAAAATAGTTTTGATAATGCACTTAAAACTCTTGGATTATCTATGTTTTTATTGTACTGAAATAAGATAAGTAATCAAACTAAAAAAGTTCTTCACAAAGAGTTTAAAAATAGTTAGCAAAAACAAATCGATAAGAATGTGATACTTATTTTCAGTAGGCTTGCCATAAAGTCAGTTATAAAAATTCTTGTAACATTTGGCTCTACAAATGAACTTAACTTTATTTAACAAAGAGAACAAAACATCATAAATCTCTATATTTTATAGGGTATTGCATTTGCTGATTGAAGCCATAATAAAAATATGAAACATTTTTTTATAAATAAGACAATGCCATAGAAGGACAATTAAAAAGGAAAGGTGGGTGTTTTCCCAGTCAAGCTGCTACTTGCTCTCAGCGAATAACTTCTCATTAAAATTCATTAAATTGCCAAGCGGCACAATAAAAGCTCAAAACTTTACAGGCAGCCAACAAACAAAAAAAAAAACAAATGGGAAAAAGTTTGGCCCAAGTGAAAGTTAAAAGAAAAGCGCAGACAATATGTCAACACTTGAAATATTACGAGGCATTCAAATAAACGACTAAAGTTGTTGCTTCATTTGCAGCACTCTTATTTTCAGGCAATCAACTTTAATTCAGCAGCTTTTCAGCACGAATTAGGGCCAAGTGCGTAGTTCTTCCAGCAGTGTAAGGATTTCACATGTGGAAGGATAGCAGGTGGCGACTAAATCCAGTCGAGACCAGATGGTCCTGCGGTGCCGCATAAAAAGCATTTACTCAACACGAGCCAAGCGACAGAAAGGCACAAAAACGGAGACACAAACAGAAACAGGAACCAAAAACCAAATCCAGAGACACAACAAAGTCAGTCAGGGAAAATGGCAGCAGCTGAGCTTGAAAGTGGATGCGGGAACGGGGAACAGGAGACCCCCAACGCCCACCGACGGGTTAAGGGGTCCGGTCGTGCTGATAAATGTTTGCATTGCGGAAATTTATGACAGCACAAAAAGTTTCCTGCACTCGTATTCTGTGGTTTAGATATGACAAAATATCATACATAACCCCTGAAATAAAAAAAAAAAACCCAGAAGTTACTATAGTTGTCACAGTCTGCAAAATGCGAATGTGAATGCGAATGTAGGCAAAGTTAGTTAAAATGTCAACCCGGAAAACGGACGACGAGTGTTTATGGCCAAAGTTTTTTATTTAAAATCCACTTTGCCCAGTTGCATTGCTCTGATTGAACGCCCAAAAAGTTCGTCTCCATCTTGGCCACAAACTTCGTTGGCCTGCTGATTGAACTGAAGTTCGTTCGTTTCGCAACGGCAGTCAGTTGGTCAAGTGGTTTTGTTTGATTCCCTTTGCTGGCTAAATATTCGGCCAGCCTGGGGATATAGACATCCGGACTTTGCATCGACTTTAAGTCACCTATTTATGTCATTGCACCTTTGGGCCAAGTCCCTTGGCTTCTGACCCAGTTCGCACCAATTAAATATTGAGCTCCGTTTCATGTGGCACCTAATAAAATCAATTCTCGCATCGAATGCGAGCTCTAATCAGAGGGCAAAATCAATTAACGAACTGTCAGCTCATCAATTATGGCCAGTTGAAGGGGCGGGGCGACGGGACTTTTCGACTGGCGAATCAACAACGCAATCCTGGCTAATAAATGCCAGCCAATTCAAAGCAATCAACCTAATTAACGATTTTTGGGTGGGGCCATGATTCGGCTACATAATTAATTAAGTGGAGTCGGAATCGGCCAACCGAAAATATCGAAAAAGGAAAGCCGGCGACTGCAAATTCGCAAGTTCAGCATTTTGGGATCCCCACATGGTGGAAAACCCAGGGCCATCAAATAGTTTCAGCCATAATGATGATTATGATAATGTATTTCACTGGGAATGACCAGCAATCTGGGAGACAAGTTAATTAAGAAATAAGTGAAGGACCAACTTTGATTTAACCCATCAGTTTGCTAGTAAAAGTTAAGTAATTATAACAGCGGTTTAGATATTTTAATTTAGTAAAAAACTTTGTTAAAACCTTTCTAAACTTTTCTCAACCGCTAAGCGGAATTTCCGGATAACCACATAGGTAAAATAAACCCGAATTATACCAATGATAGCTTTGCTTTAATTGGGATACATGTTAGCTTTGAGGATGAGTTAGACCAAACTTTGATTGGCGTCTTCTTAACCCCTTAGTTCGCCGCGTGCCTGTGACACTTTGAATGATGTTCGGCTAATTAAGCGCCCAACAATTACTATTGCTCCAGCACTTAACAACCCCGAGTCACTTGCGATGACAGGCCAACACAGAAAGTGTTTCTAACAAAAAGGGCCCATGGCATCCAAGCCGAAAGCCAACAAAAACACACTCGCCCTGCCAGAGTATCGCACACTTAATTCATTTAACTCAAACATTTTCATTTATTTATCGCATTACTGGCGCTTTCCCACCCGGCTGGCTGAGCAACCCCAGTTGGAACCGCCATCACCAGAGTTTTTTCGGCTAATGACTTCCTGCTTTTCCTAACGCGCTCAGCATCCGGCTTCCCCACATGTGAGTGTGTGAATCTTGTGGAGATTGGATTCGGGTTGGGGTTCGTTTGGGTTGGGTTATGTTGGTTCGGGATAGCTGACTGACTGACTGACTGACAGTCCAACGGAATTGGAATGGCTGAGGGGTAAGTGAAGTGAAGTGAAGGCGCATCGGGCTCATTGAATGCTTTTGGCATGTTGCCCGGCCCGACACCATTATTTCTGCTAACAAGATAATTGTATAATGAAATCCAAACAACACTCGGCTCTTGGCGAGGCAGTGGCTCTGCTCCGTTGGTGGCTCTGCTGGTGGCTCCACTTGAACCACCAACGCCCAAAACAAGTTCACTCAGCATCCACCACAATGACTTGACGGCAAAGTTCGCTGGTTTTTTGTTTGGACCCGGAGACAAAGAGTTTTGGCTGGTTTGCCTTCTGACTCGACTTCTGATGGAGAGGCGATACTTGTTCTGGGACAAGTGGGTTGGCCTGATGAGCTCGGCAGTCTGCAGATTTCCAACAGGGTACTTATTTTCCCATTTAAAAAGAAATACGCAAAACAAACTTTCTTATATTTTTATCGAAATAGCCACAAATAGTTGTTTGTTCATTGACGAACTTAATTGTTGATAAGATACAATTTGGTTTAATGCAATTCATTCAAAGCTAGTATTAAAGATAAGATAAAATATAATTTTAGCCAAATATTTTTAATTCCCCTAATAGTTTTATTAATATTTATTAAATTTTAAAAGATGATATTGAATTTGTTATCAGTCAATGGGGCCTTTGCATAATCTTTGAACCTTTAAAGCTTAAGTATTAAGTCCCAAACGAAATGCCATTTATCAGGTGCAGTTGTAATTTTCCTACTGATAAAAATGGCTACAAGGTCGTTAGTGTCTTAACATTCCTATTTGCTTGAGTAATTTAACACAGCACACAAAAAGTATCCCCAGTTGTAAGGGCAATACTTAGTCAACAATTTCATCTGTCGAAAACAGAACTTCCCCTTTTCTCTTAATTTCATTCCACTCACATGGAAGTAAAATGTCTTGTCATGGTCTCGTGCCTTTTGTTTCCATGTTACTTTGTTGTTTTTTTTTTTTGTCAGCCTTTTGTTTTCCCTTTGGGAGTGACAATTGATTGACGGGAAAAGTTAATGGCTTACTTTCTGCTATATATAGAACTCGAGGAATACTTAAATAAATGCGTTTGCTTTCGGGCCGAGGAACGGTAACAATAATTGAAACATCTCCGGCTCTTGAAAAATTTCGGAAAAGCTCCGAGCACATATCAAGTAGATAGTCCACACACTCACGGCCAACAAAATGCAAAGCCGCTCAGAGAGCACTCACCGAAATCCCCGGGCCTCCCTCCCAGAGTCCCAGAATCCTGGCATCCTGGCATTACCTAGAGCCTTCGCTCGGTAAAAAAGCCGAAAGGAGAGCAAGAGCAGCCGGAGTAGGGCAAAAAATAATAATACTTTGCTCCTCCGGCAGGGCACAAAATAAAGACATAAAGCAAACAAATGCCGGCTCCGAGGAGGAAATATGGGAGGAACCCGTCCACAGGAAGGTGGATTGAATGGTTGACTGGCAGTGGAGTGGCTTTTAGTGCGTTCAAGCAGAAAAATATATAGAAAACAATAAACTGAAATTACAACAAGAGCGACGGCGGCACGAGCCAACCCAAAAACAAAACAAAAACAACACAAAAAACATTGGCAAACAAAATGTTTATAAGCCATAAAGCATTCGCCCGACCCAACTGCATATTCATATAAATATTTGCATGCTAAAATTTGATGAGTAGTTATATATTTTCCGACACAACAAGGGCCAAACATTACAGCCCGCGGAATGTGGATATATATTTCAAAAGGGGATCGCATAAATTTCCAGGCATTAATGAAGTCTCAACAAAAGAGACTGCCGACTGAATGAGCAATCTGTGCGGGATATTAACTATTCCCATTCCCCCGGCTAAAACATCAGACTGCATTCAAATTCTGGCAGACAAGACTGCAAATATACAAAGGAAAAGTTGCAATATCCGTTGCCAAGAATGCCCGGAACAAAAGGAATCCTCGGTGAGTATTCAGAAGTCATTGATACGGCCCGAGCGGAATCATTTTTTGGGATGTGCCAATGCCAATAAGCAGACAAGTACCACCTCCAATGGGGACACGTACTTGTTTCCGCCCAACTTTGTCCTTCTCCTCCTCGTGAAAATCCAATTGTCGTGGTAGACAAAAATCCTTGGCGTTGGCACACAATAATAAAAGCGACGGCGGCGAACAAAAAAAAAAATACGAAACGGAGAGCCAAAAGCAATCTATCGAAAAGGATTTGTTTGCATGGCAGGAATTTATATTTATATATTTCGAGCTGGAAAAAGACTGAGCCTTCTCATATGCAAAAGCCGACGGGACGCCGTCAGCTTATTGATAGAAAATCACAGAGAAAGCAAAAAATGTCCTCGCTCTGCGTTTTTCTCAAATATTTGCCCAGTCAACTCAATGTATATATAAATTTATATACATTTATGTATTCCCATATAATAACTTAGTTTGATCCCTGCGCATAAAATTTAATGGTGGCCACTTGTGTTTGTCGTCTGTTCGTTGTTAGGATTTGTGTCAGAATATTGACAGTTGGGCAAAGTCACTGTTATGTGGGGTGTATCCCAATATCCCAATAGCGGCAACATGGCGTATGCGCGATGCTTACTACCACTTTCCATCACTCCTTCGATGCTTTATCAAGTTTTCTGGTTCAAAATTGCACTCAGGTGGAGTTGTGTCTCGGGAAGAGCTCCTCGGTCTGCCAGCTGTTCCCTAATCAAACTTTTTCAATACATCGCGCATTAAAAACGAGTTGACAAACTGCAACACAAAACTTTGACCAAGTCCCAGGACCTGCTAAGTCCCGGGTTAACTTGGGTCACACAGAGAGTTGAGGGAAAGCGGGGGAAAGCTAAACGTGAGTCACGCTAACATCTCCACTTACCAAAGTGCAGTAGCAAATTGCATTTTGCAAAAAATAAAAAAAGGAAACCAAAGTTTTCCAATGCATTTTCTGCAAGGGTTTGGGTAACATCTTGAAAATGGGATGATATAAAATGAGGCGATAAGTTGTTGGCAAGTTACGAACCTGGAAAAAAGGTGGCTGGCGAGCACATTACTCATACGCAATGTGAGACAATCCGGGGAGGCATGATTAATGAGGCGGCTGCTGTTGACATCCCCGAAAGCAATTTGAATTATAGCAGGAAATAGACATAGTTCCCTGTGATAAGTCATCAGCGACAGGGCCAAAAGGAGGATGTGGGGGCGGCCAAGACGGGTCAGCTGGGCCAGACAGTTGTCATTAATTCTGGTCAACAAGGAGTCGGAGACGGATTCCTTAAGCTGACCGCAGGCCCAGCGACATTTTCATCACAATTTAACACAAAAAACTCATCTGACCGATTCTTGCAGCACTGGGCGTAAAAGATACAAAAAGAAGAAAAAAAAGTAACCTTAAACCACTTTAGGTTTTATTTTTGGTCTTTCTAAATTCTTTAAAAAATATTACAAATTTAATATGTAATACAAAACTTCAGTTTAAATCTTTTCTTTATTTTACGATATGTTTAATCTTTATAAACCATTTTTCCAAGTGCCTCGTACACCATTACTGGATTGGGCGAATAGCGACAGCCAAAACACACAATTTGAGTGGCAGTGGAAGCGTAATCGATGCGGCTCACATTAGACGCTTCTCCCGGAGAGCAGCAAACTCGGCTGAAGTGAGCCGGACGGAGTCCTTGGCCAGCCACCAGCATCTCAAGTGCTCCCCAACTGACCTCTCCGGGAACTGCTCCTTTCGCTGCTCCTACTGCTGCTGCTGCTTTTTATCCCAAGCTGCTGCTTCGTTTATCATTTGTTGTTCACTTGTCGAAATTTTATTGCTGCAATCTTGTTTGTCGTCGTCGTCGTCGTCTCGTCCTTTTCCTTTTTCCTCGTCAAAGGAGAGCGCTCGCTGGGGGACATTTCAAATGCCTTCCTAAGGACACTTGTACACACATACAGCTTAAGTCGGAATATTAGCAGCATTGAACTGACAAAATAATCAAAACTCGCAGCATCACTTTAATTGAAAGTTCATGACTATAAAATTAAGTTTTAAAAGGTAATTAACAATTTAATAAGAGTAAAGTTATGATTATGCTATCAATTAAATGGTAAATACCTTATACTTTTTATACTTCGCCTTTTAATTACTTAATATATTAAGCTGCTTATCAGTAGCAAATAAAGCAATTAATAGCTAAAACTAACATTCCAGAACACCACATATTTATGGCTGCTATTAGTCAGCTATTTAGTCTGCTATTATTCCTACCCCAACTGTATACATAACCACTTGAGCCAGAGGCGTAGTCGCATCCTGATGAATATTCGGGTCCTTTTCCCATTCGCCCCCTTCTACGCAGCTGGCTGAGCAGGATCAGAACTTGCCTTCTATTCGAAAGGACTGGACATTGTTGTTCAGGCAGTCGTTGTCGTTCCAGGATATGCGTCTAATAAGCGAATGTGTGTGTGTGCGTTGGGTGAGCGCATTACGTATACGTAATATACATTTATATATAAGTATGTTACATACGTCTCTGCCAGCAATTTAAAGTGCGACCCTTTTTTTCGGGACCCGCTTTAAGAATGCTGCTCTGCCAGCAATGAGAGCAAATATTTCAAGAAAATTAGTTTCCTTTGTTCCTCCTGAGAGACAGAGACAAAAGAAGCGAATTTTCCCGCAATCAGCGAAAGGAGCAACGATAAAAACGCCCAGCAGTGCAGAACAAACAGAACGAACGGCGAAGGAAAATCAATAAAATGCAGTTAATATACGGATTAAATAAATGAAAAGTTCGCCAGAATTCCTCCAGTATAGTAAGTGTTTTCTCCTCTTTAAGGGAGAATCTATTTTATGCCCGGCATTTATGGCCCAGACACGCACAGTGGCCCACAAAGTCACTGCCTAGCTGGCTGGCTGGCTGGCTGGCTGGCGGGAACTACACTCTACATGTGTCAGCATGAAAGGCAATGAATTGTTTTTATGTGCTAATGTCCGGCAGGAGCTACTATGGATTGAATCCGGTTTTTGCTTTGCATTCGCAACACGTAAGGCGATTTGATTTCAATTTCCGAGATTCAACTTGCCACTGTCATCTGGCCGACCGCCCGCCTCGCCCCAAATGAGTTGGCAACTTTGGCACACCACTGCGTATGGTTAATACGATTTGGGCCCGACCATCAGATAATCACTGGGTATTTTTGGCTCCTTCAAACCGCTGAGAGCTGCCGTAAAGCATTTCTGATCGATGGCTCTTAAAGGAGTATCGGGTAATTCGATTAGAGCGATTCTGTTCAGCGGGTTTTCCCTTCAGCAGTGCAAAAGTCGGCCAAAGTCGTTCGTTTTTTGGCCAAGCAGGCAGCCCTACCGTCATTCAGGCCAAATCTATGCTTATCACTTATCAGTTCTCGAGTGCTCGACGTCTGCCGCCTGTTCGCCTCTGAAGTGCGTTTAATTGAAAGCCTGTGCCGTGTAATCTCAGCGTTTTTCCACAAGTTTGATAACGGAAGATACTTTTTTGGCTTCGGCCAATCAAAGCCGATAAGTCGCACTACATCCTTTCTGGCCGAAATAAAAAAAAAACGTAGTAAGAGCCATTATTGATAAGCAATTTCACGCGCATAAACAAAAATGACTTGGTCGAAATACAAGTGACCGGCACTTGATTACCCGGCCAATTCAGCGGTATATAAGTGGCTCCTCGGCCGGTGGAGAATCATTCGTTCTTCGACCATCATGAAAGTGCTCGTAGTCTTCGCTCTGGCTCTGGCCACCGCCTCCGCCGGTCTGCTGCCCCAACAGCTGCCGATCCACCCCCGTGACCTGCCGGCCACGCCCTCCATCCAGGGTCGCATCACCAACGGCAAGACCGCCTCCGAGGGCGAGTTTCCCTACCAGGTGGGACTCAGCTTCGCCAGCTCGAGCGGCAGCTGGTGGTGCGGTGGCTCCATCATCGGCAACGAGTGGGTTCTGACCGCTGCCCACTGTACCGACGGGTGAGTAACCGCATTAACCTTGTTTTTTATTTTTAAAGTAAAGCAACTCAACAGAAGATAAAGCTTACTAAAATTCTTGTGGCTTTCCACCCAAGAAAACATTTTGTTAAAAACAGTCTTGTTAATAACCCTTTTTAATTTTTCCTTTTTAATATTTCCATACTTTAATATTTGCAAATCCATTCCGATATTTTGATACTTTAATATTAAAAAATCCGATCCGATATTTCAATAATTCAATATTTAGAATCCCAACCTTTTGATAACACAATGCTTTCTATCAACCCGATTCAACAATTCTACTTAGCAGTGCCTTTATCACTAGGGATTCCCATTTATGGCTTAAACTAAAATATATTTTCCCGATTACAGTGCCTCCGCCGTGACCATCTACTACGGAGCCACGGTGCGCACCAGCGCCAAGGTGACCCAGACCGTCTCCAGCTCGAACTTCAAGCAGCACGCCAGCTACAACTCGGTGGTGCTGAGGAACGACATCTCGCTGATCAAGACCCCCTCGGTGGCCTACACCACCTACATTAAGAACGTGGATCTGCCCGCCATCGCCAGCAGCTACTCGACCTACGCCGGACAGAAGGCCATCGCCTCCGGATGGGGCAAGACCTCCGACGCCGCCACCTCGGTGGCCAGCACCCTGCAGTACGAGACCTTCGAGGTGGTGTCCGTGGCCGTCTGCCAGAACACCTACGGCTCTCTGATCGCCACCTCCAAGGTGATCTGCATTGCCACCCCCAACAAGACCTCCACCTGCAACGGCGACTCCGGCGGCCCCCTGGTCCTCGCCTCCAGCAAGGTCCTCATCGGCGTCACCTCCTTCGTGTCCAGCGCTGGCTGCGAGTCCGGCGCCCCGGCTGGCTTCACCCGCGTGACCAGCTACCTGGACTGGATCAAGGAGAACAGCGGCATCTAAGCGGCTTTTCTGAATAAAACGACTATTGACTTGAAAATGAAAACCTTTTGATTTTTCTATGGGAATCATTTACCACTAACCCATTTTTAATTGGAGAACCAAAACCTTTTTTTTTAAAGAGCATACAAACAGAAAAGTTTCAAGCTTAAACCAACTAGAAATACTTCTTTATTTAACTACTTTTTAAACATTTTTCATTTCATTTCATTTTCCAGGAAGTAAAGATTTTCTAGCATACTATTTGGCTTAAAAAAAAAAATAACAATCAAGACTTTTTTTAGATTAATCGCCAGGTGTTGGATTATATTCTGTTTGCTTTTGTTTGACACCTGATAATATTATTTTTTTTAACACGGTAAAGGCAGGGGATTAACAACAATGTAGCTTTTCTTATCATTATTCCCATGAAAAGTATGAACCCCAATTAACAACGTTTTGACCTGCTTTTAATGACTGTACGAAAACAAAGAAGATGGTTTAAGCAATGCGCAAATAGTATTGGTTAAATTGGTATAAATAAGGCAGAAAATCTTGAAGAGACTCAATTGGTTTTAAAATGAAAGTGATTGCTGTGCTAATACTGTTCGTGGCCTGTGTCGCCGCTGGTTTGCAAGATTTTAAAGTGAAGACAGTCCATCCTCGAGACAGGACAAACGCTTCATCCTTCGATTCCCGGATAACCAATGGCCTGGATGCCGCAGCTGGTCAGTTTCCCTATCAAGTTGCCCTCGAGTTCACCGGTCTTTTCAGCAGTTGGTTTTGCGGAGGAGTTATCATCGATAACTGTTGGATCCTTACTGCCGCCCACTGCACTGATGAGTAAGGATAATTTGGACTCCCTGGTTATATTTACCCATATGCTAAATAAAATTCCTTTATTGGTTAGAGCTCTCTACGTTAAAATCTTCTATGGTGCTCTAAGTTTAAGTAGTCCCGCTTTCACAGAGACTGTCTACGCATTGTCCTTTAAGCAACACATCCTTTATAGTTCAAGCTCTTTGAAATACGACATCTCACTGATCAAAACGCCTCACGTGGCATTTAATTCGGCCATCGATAAGGTCAAGCTGCCTTCGATTTCTGCCACTCCGCAGACTTACGAAGGAAATATAGCCACCACTTCGGGATGGGGATATACATCAGATTATAACCCCAATCTGGCTGGAACCCTGCAGTACATTGACCTCGAAGTTATTTCCAACACAGAATGTGAATCTGTTTATGGAGCTGTAATCTCCGACTCAAACCTGTGCTGCAAAACAGACAATGGAATATCCACATGCTCAGGCGATTCGGGAGGTCCTTTAACTTGGTATGATGGGATAACTTGGCTTATTGGGATAACTGCGTTTGGATCGAGCGAAGGTTGCCAAAAGAATTATCCAGTGGGTTTTACACGAATTACCCAATACTTGCATTGGATTAAGGATAATTCAGGCATTTACACTCCTTAAGCTTTATAGATGTTATATTTTAAATTTTTATAAATTCAAATATTCTATTATAAGTTCTAATCGAAAAACAATAAAAGTATTTCCCGTATCACCTAACAATTTTTTGTTAATCAATATCAATAAATGTAGGCATACTTTTCGGCATAAACTTCAAGTTTTTGGCTAAAAAGGTTCAATTTGAGCCATAAAATTTAATCTTGTTTTACCTCTTGACTCTCGAACGTTGAACGATTAGGAATTAGTCAAATAAAGAAAAAGTCAAGATGCACATTAGTCAACAATCTTCAGACACCGCAGAGCATTATCGCTAGCTGATAGAATGTCCTGAACCTGGACTAACCTGGCACTTAAATTTATGGCCACCGTAAAGTTCCGCCGATAAGAAGCCGTGGGAATGGGTATATAAAGCCCGCCACCTTTCAGGGAACCACATTCATAGTTCGAAATGAAAGTGTTCGTGGTTCTTGTCCTGGCCTTGGCCACCGCCTCCGCCGCCGTCCTGCCCAAGGTGACCCCAGTGCACCCGAAGGATAGGAAGGCCAGCGCCTCCTCCATCCAGGGACGCGTCACCAACGGCAGGGAGGCCGTCGAAGGCGAGGTCCCCTACCAGGTGGGACTCAGCTTCGCCACCGAAAGTGGAAGTGGCTGGTGGTGCGGTGGCTCCCTCATCAGCAGCGAGTGGATTTTGACCGCTGCCCACTGCACCAGCGGGTGAGTACCAAGGATCTTATTTATGTACCTACGAAGTATCCCCCCTCCAAAAAGTTCTTCATAAAAAGAAATTCTTAGTTTAAAAAGGTATAGTTGATAATCCCTAATATTCCTAGTTAGTTTAAAAACTGTTTGATTAAAATCAAATGTGAGTGTCCAAAAAATTCAAACTCTACAGCAACTTTTAAAATAAAAACATTTTTTGTTTTGATTAACCATTATCGGTTAGTTATGAAATATTTAAAGCAATATAAAAAATTAAAATTTTATAAGGAATTTCAGGGAAACAGTTGACTTGAATATTTAACTAAATTTAATGTTAAATCCTTTTCTGCAGAGCTTCCTCCGTGTCAGCCATTCTTGGAGCCACCGCCCGTATCGCTCCCCTCGTGACCGTTGTGGCGAAGAGCTCCGAGTTCTCGACCCACGCCAGCTACAACTCGATCCTGCTGCGCAACGACATCGCCCTAATCAAGATCCAAGCCGTGACCTTCTCGAGCCGCATCAACGCGATCGCCTTGGCGAGCAGCGACGCCGGCACCTTGGAGGGCGAGACCGGTAAGATCTCCGGCTGGGGCCTGACCTCCGACCAAGCCACCACGGTGGCCGATAAGCTCATGACCGCCGATGTTACCATTATCGCAAACTCGGTTTGCGCATCCACCTATGGCACCATGGTCGTGACCGACAGAAACGTATGCATCGACACCTCCAACGCCGTGTCCACCTGCAGCGGCGACTCCGGCGGTCCGCTGGTCGTGAAGAATGTCCTTGCGGGCGTCACCTCCTTCGGAGCGAGTGCCGGCTGCGAGCTGGGATACCCTGCTGGCTTCACCCGTGTCACCTACTACCTCGATTGGATAAACGCCATCACCAACCTCTAAGCTTTTTCAAGCCTGTAAACCAAATAAAAGCATTCCCGAAAATCAAGAGTTGTGTTATTACTTGTAAAATAGGGGGGCCAATATAAATACTACCGAATGTTTGACAAGAAATAAAAATAATAATCTTTCAGGAATAAAGATTATTTTAAAAAAACATTATTTTTAGCAAAGCTTAGAAAAGGTTTATCATGCCTATTAAAAGACTGTATTACCATTATAAGCTTAAAGATTAACCTATTTTCTAAGATTACCATCAAAATCAATGTGATAGCATTATCAACCTTTTGAATCAGCTAATCTTTGGGGATTCCTAATTCATATTTGATAAGGGCAATCAAATTATATTGATTCGTTTTCCAACGTATAATATTTATACTAATTTAGTACCCTTTATCATAAGGAAAGAAAGGTTAGAATCTATATTAAACACCCATAAAATACGAAGGCATTACCTCAAAGAAAGTGACAATAAGTGGAGCAAAGGTTCATAAATTTTAGACACCGCCGATAAGGAATATTTAGGACCTGTAGATACGCTTCGATTCAGGAGAGTATATAAGGTCGTGCGGTATTCCTATTTGTACGTGACAAAAGTGATCGAACGATGAAAGTGCTGGTGGTTCTGTTAATTTCGGTGGTTGCCTTGGCAGCTGCCTTCGAAAAGCCCGTGCCCGTAAAGGACATGCCGGCGGTTGGAAGGATCAGCGGACGCATCACCAACGGATATCCTGCGTACGAGGGAAAGGTTCCCTACATCGTGACCCTGACCTTTGATAATGGAAGTGGCAGTGGCTGGATCTGCGGTGGCTCCATCATTGGCCACGAGTGGGTCCTCACCGCCGCCCACTGCACCTACGGAGCCAGCTTCGTGACCATTGGATACGGAGCCGTGTGGCGCAAGCAGCCGCAGTTCAGCATCGTCTCCTCGGACTTGATCACCCACCAGGACTACGACACCAGCACCCTGCACAACGACATCGCCCTGATCCGCACCCCGCACGTGGACTTCTGGTCGCTGGTGGACAAGGTGAAGCTGCCCAGGTACGAGGATCGCTACAACAACTACTACGGCTGGTGGGCCCTGCTCTCCGGCTGGGGAAAGACCACCGACGACAGCGGAGTGTCCGACTACCTCAATTGCGTGGACATCCAGGTGGCGGACAACTCCGTCTGCGAGGCTTACTACGGCAGCACCACCATCACGCCCAACCACGTCTGCATCGCCACCCCGGAGAACAAGGGCTCCTGCAGCGGCGACTCCGGCGGTCCACTGGTCCTCCACGACGGCAACCGCCAAGTGGCCATCGTCTCCTTCGGCTCCTCCGCCGGCTGCCTCTCCAACAGCCCCAAGGGAATGACCCGCGTGACCAGCTACCTGGACTGGATCCGTGACCAGACCGGCATCTCCTACTAATGAAAACGCTTTTCGCAAATAAAGCACAAATGCAACAAATCGATATTGATTTCATTTTTTCCCAAAAAGCCCTTTTTCGCGTTTCTGACATAAAAAATGTGAAATAAATCGACCCAAAAATCGAAAGCAAACTAATGATGCAGTTTCTTAGGGGACTATGACACAAGCATTTTAAGGTATACCAATCTGAAATCGGACATTACTTAGAAAACTTATGGGGTTTTAAGTGATGCGTAAGTGATCCAAAAAAGACATTTTTTGGATATTTTACAGGATTTTAACATTATAAAAATGAGAAAAAATCAAATAATGATGCAGTTTTTTTTTTTTGGAGCTAGCATTTTGAGGTATGCCAATCCAAAATCGGACATTATTTAGGAAAGTCATGGGCTTTTAAAAGCTGGTTTAAGACCATTATCCGAAAAATACATTTGCACTGCGTTGCAATATTTTGACTGTAATCGAAATACCCTCGGCAAGGATTTAAATTTTAGGAACCAAAAATCACATTTTTTTTAATTTTATATAATCAATCTGTATTTAGTTTTCCCTCTAGTAGGAAATGCCAGTGTGGTCGCGGATCCAGTCCAGGTAACTGGTGACGCGCACCATGCCCTTGGGTCCGTTCGAGAGGCAGCCGGCGGAGGAGCCGAAGGAGACGATGCCCACCTGGCGGTTGCCGTCGTGGAGGACCAGAGGACCGCCGGAGTCGCCGCTGCAGGTGCCCTTGTTCTCGGGCGTGGGGATGCAGATGAGGTCGCCGGAGAAGCTGCCGTAGTAGTTCTCGCACACGGAGTTCTCGCCGATCTGGACGTCGACGCAGTTGAGGTACTCGGAGACGCCGCCCTCGTCGGAGGTCTTGCCCCATCCGGAGACGAGGGCCCACCAGCCCTGGTAGTTGTTGTAGCGGTCGTCGTAGCGGGGCAGCTCCACCTTGTTCACCAGCGACCAGAAGTCGACGTGCGGGGTGCGGATGAGGGAGATGTCCCCGGATCCGTGCTCGATGAAGTCGCCGCGTCCCACCCAGTGGGTGTACTGGGCCTGCAGGCGCCACAGGGCGCCGTAGTAGATGGTCACCGACTCCATGCCGTCGGTGCAGTGCTTGGCGGTCATCACCCAGGTGTTGCCGATGATGGAGCCGCCGCACCAGGTGCCGCCGCCGTTCCGGCTGAAGCCCAGGCCCACGATGTAGGGCACCTTGCCCTCGTACGCCGGGTAGCCCATGGTGATGCGTCCCTCGATCGAGGCCTTGCCCACGGGCACATCCTTCCAGAACACCGGCTTCTCGAACGCCGAAACGGAGGCAATCGCCCCGAGGAGTAGAACCGCTAGCACTTTCATTTCACACAAGTTTGGCAAACTTAATGATTTCAAACTAATAGTTGCGCCGCTTATATACCCATGACTTGGCCGGAAACGATCAAATCCGCTAGGAGCATAATTTACAACTTAGATAAGAAGCGCCTTTGTTTTGACGAAATCTTGTGAATGGAAGTTGGCAAATTAGATAAGATTTAAATGGGCTATTATCAAGGAAGGCGTGTGTGGCTAAAATTTATTATTTCGATTTTTTTTTTAATATTTTAATTTATTTATTATATTCTTTATTTTATTTCTACAAAAGAAACATGGAGATTTATAGGCCTTTCCAAATTTTAATGATTTATGATTTAATATAAAAATATGGTGAGTGCCATTTCACTTTTTCTTTAATTAAATTACCAACAAAATAAACCAAGTAGTCTTGGGTCGTTCTTATACATCTAATAGATCCAATTTCATCAACAAATTAAAAAATATTGATTAAGTGAATCTTTTTAAAAAGTAACGACAACAATATTTGAACCCAACGAAGTTGAAAACACTGAATAGCAACAGTGATGCCACCATATGTGTTAGCACGTACAACAACCATGTGTTGCCACCTTCCGTTAGTGAAGATGTCAACCCCCTCTAGAGTTATCGATGGTATCAACATCAATATTTTCCACCTCTATTATTTAGTAAAAACTTTAAAAAATATTTCCATTGAATTTATGCATTAAAGGACGCTAAAAATAAAGGGTTAATACAACAGCACTGTTGCTGTATCCTGGCCAACGAAGGGACAACTTAAGAGCGTTGCATTAGACCAGAAATACCTGTCCTTTGATAAATTACCCCCCGGAGTGAGAGAGATCAGCTTTTTCAGACAGACGCCTTCAGCAAAAGATTCTAGAACAAGGTAATCCGCGGTCTTCTTCAGGTAAGTAAACAAAAGGTAACAATTGCTTTACTTAAACCTGTAAAATGTTTCTTTGGTAACAACATCTCTCAGAAAATCACTTCAAAAAATGTCTAACAAACAATCTATTCGCCGTATTTGCAGGCATGATTACAAGGACCAAACGGTCAATATAATGGATAACATTGTCTACGACTTTGCCAAGATCACGTTTCAGGAGGTTGGATTGGCCGGGAATCGGTGAGTTTTTTCCATCAGCTCGTAAACTCCCCCTAACACTCTAATTTCAGGACATCCTCCAACTCGAATTTCTCGTTGAAACTGGATAAGATGGCCATGTCGAGCATGGAGAAGATGCAGGATGCACCCCAAGCAACACCGCCCCTCGACTCCGATGATGATGTGAGCGACTCCGACGATGTGGACTCCCAAATGAGTCGCTGCGAGGACAATGACGATGACAGCGACTGCATCAGTGGATCCTCCTCGAGTCACAGCTCCAGTTTCGGAGCGCGGGCGGGCGTGGCTCGACGGAGGATGCCAGCCAGGGCGTCCAAGGATAACTTCAATCGAGTCTGCAGCGCCATCATGAAACCCATCAAGAAGAAGCAACGCAAAGAGCTGAATACGAACGCCCAAACCCTTAAGAGCATCGAGAAGATCTACACGACCAAGCGGATGAAGAAGTTCACGCCGACCAACCTGGAGACGATCTTCGAGGAGCCCAGCGACGAGAATGCCGCCGATGCGGAGGACGACAGCGAGGAGTGCTCCATCAGCAGTCAAGTGAGGATCGTCAAATTCGGCGGTCGTAAACTCCGCAGGGCCATTTCCTTTAGCGATGGCCTAAACAAGAACAAGATCCTGTCAAAGAAACGCCGCCAGAAGGTGAAGAAGACCTTCGGCAAGCGCTTTGCGCTCAAGAGAATCTCCATGACCGAGTTTCACGACCGCCTGAACAAAAGCTTCGACAGTGCCATGCTGGAGGGCGAAGAGCACGAGACCGGAGCATCTGGAGAGGCGCCCGAGATTCCCAAGACGTCCATGACCATGGAGGACATACAGCTGCCGGCAATCCACGGCCAACAGCAGTTCCTCATGCAACCGGCGGGGTTCGAGTAGAGGAGAGACTGAAGGATCCATTTAATGCACACCCACTCTTTTTCACTGCATTACAACTAGATAATAGTGCCCAAAAAGAAATGTACTGATACCAATTATAAAGCTAGGACTTACGTTCGTTCGGTTTACTGTACACCGTAGTAATAAGCCCATTAAAGTTAAAGTTATATCTGTCTGTAAATAGCTTGTAAAAGAAATAAAGTAAGTTAAGAACTATACCTAAAGCTAAACTTATCCAGCCATAGAATACGATTCTGTGCCTAGCCATTAAGCGTAAAATAAAGGTTGAGAAATACATATCTACCAACTGCCGTTTCAGAATACGTTTTAGGTTGTATTTCATTTATTTATTATCATATGTTTTATAAATTCTCATCAATATATTGCTCTTTATTCAATTACCTAAATACTTGTATTCCTTATTGGCTTTGGACGGATACCCAGTTCCTCAAATTGAAACTACCGCGAAGAAAAGGTGCCAATTCCTCAACTTAATGCGTTACGAGGCGCAAATGGGGGCGGTAAAATGGCGCACTAACGAGGAACAGTGCAAAACAATAAATAAACCCAATTCGAATGCGAAACGGAAGCGAACGCACAAAGGTGGCCAAAAAGAGCAGACGGATTTTGCGAGCCGGGTGGCGTTTGAGCTCAATTAAATAACGGCAGCCGCGTGATTAGCAAGTGCAATAAAATGCAGTAACAAAAACGCGCCCATTATTAATGAGAGCAACATGCAACGGGCAGCGGGCAACGATTATGCAGCAATATATAGATATAGACGCACCACCGCACGATATCGAGCCGAGCTGCACCGCCGCCTAAGAGAAGGGGGAACGGTGGGTGGTGGTGCTGGTGGTGTTGGTGGTGTTGGTGCAATGGCGCATTTGCATAATCAAGTTGTTGTGTCTCGACTGTTGTTGCAGCCTCATTACATTCGGCTCCATTTCTATTCGATTTTGATTCGATTCGAACATATCACTCCGGCGAACGCGAGACGATTTGATTTATGTGCTTCGCTAGGCTCACAAACCGCAGTAATTTCCTAAATCGACAACAATGGCCAGGTAACAGAAATACTTTCAACACCGAATAAAGCTGATTATCTCAGGCGGTGCACGAATTAATTTAATTAAAAACACATACATATTTTATGCTGCATTTCATTTCCTGCTAAGAATTCTGCGCATGCCAACCATTGCTGCATGCAACCGAATGGCAAACTGATAATTTGTTTATGAGTCGGCTGCTTCCCTCCCACAAACCTCACCCACCCATCCATCCCAATATGCCCTGGCAATAACCTTGAGCTTTGAAACCGTCTGCTAGGTTTAATTCGAATAGGCCAACTTCATCAACGTCAAACTCTGAAGTTGGAGCTACTGCGGTTGGAGAAGACTAAACGCACAGTCAAGCTTCACGAAATGGAATAGTAGTTTTTAAAGAGAAAAATGGGAAAATTGAGATAAGATTTAGTTAAGTATTTCACGAGATATTTGCAAATTAAACATAATTCAGAACTGATTGATTAAATAAAATATTACTTGAAAGAAATATCTTTTTTCCTGAAACATTTTAACTTTGTTGGTATCCAGGAAAATGGTTTTATGGAGGCTTGACTGGGAAATGAGAAAATTATATCCCTACTTAAGGAAAAGCCGAAGAAGAGATGGCATGCAAATATAACTGTAACAACTTGTGTGACTGATTCACTTACAGCAACCCAACCACTGGAGCTCTTTTCTCAATGAAGGCCTCTCGTACCGCAAAACCCCTCTAAACTAAAACCAAAAACCAAAAAAACACGCTCGCGAATGCATAATGAAGATGGAGTAAAGCGAGAAGTGAGTGAGCAGTGATGTAATAGCGCCAAAGCGGGCGGATAACTAGAGTTACAGCTTCGCATTCAATTTAAATGGCAAAACCACAAGACAGAAGCCGAGATCCACGATGAAATGTAACCTATGCGGCACATATTTTCAATTTGCAAGTAAAATGCGAACCAGTGATCGCGGCAAAGGGCGAACTTGGACTGAAAAGTGACAGTTCCTCAATGAAAAGAAGGGCCATATATTAATACATACAGAGAGATCGGCAATTGATGGAGAAGGCAAATTAAGCCAAATTGATGCAACTGCAATTGTGCGCTGCCAACTGAATGCAGCCAAATAGATGAAATAATTAAGGCGGCGCGCAATTTCATCGGCTGGCAAAAGAGTTTATAAAAATGCTGGCAACCAACGCGCCGGCGCAGTGGCTAACGAGACGCGAAGAAAGCAGTACTGGCGACTCCAGATTACGACGCGAAGTGCGATTACAACTGGTGTTTCGGAGTTGCGAAGTGTCCAGCAACCAGCGTAACGGCTTTTCGAAACGGGAAAACAAGTGACCAGTGGGTGAACGGGGCGCGGAAGTGGGTTAAAGGAGGAAGCAAAGGAAGTCAAGGAAGTGGACTGATAAAATCGGTTTCCAGGAAAGCAGTTTAACCTGTCAAGGAAGCAGGACAAGAACGCGGAAAGCAGTCTAGGAACACAAAAATACGGAATACGGAATTCGTTTCTAGAAAAGGATTTAGCAAAATAATATAACGATCAAACCAAGCTAAGAAAGAAGAAGTTTTAGATTGCCAAATAGATAAAGTTACCAAAAAAAACCCTAATAGGTATTAACGAATTAAAGTTAAGCAGTTTAAAAAAGTGTAATCTTCAAAGAAGAAGTAAGAAAATTAAAGCCAAAAAGTCATATAAGGTCAACAGAAAACCAGTGCAATAAAATAAAGTCTAAATAGTTATATCCTAAACGTTACAAGCAACAACAAAAACAGGTTTAGTTTAGGAAGTGGACATAGCAACAATACGCAAAAAAAACAGATCAATTACAATTAAATACATAAAATTAGCTTTAAAGGCTAATAAATCAAATAGAGCTTAAAAGTAAGCAAATAAATCCTTTACATTTTTCGAAAGCAGTTAGCAAGAAAACAGGTTTCAGAAATTTGTAGGCTTAGTTGTTATCAAAGTTTGGAAAGCAGTTATATCCGCAAGCAGTTTAGAATACAAGCAAGCAGTTCATTCGCCCGGAAGTAAGCAGTCTTAGAATCCCTAAAACCAGCTTGAAACCGGAAACAATGCAAAGGAAACACAGTTAGCAGTGAAAGCGGTCAAATAATGCCATTAGTGCCAAAGTGCCAGCAATTGCACTCGCAATTAAAAATTAAATGCGTGCGCGAACAAAAGCCAACGGCAATGTGCAAACAATCCGCAAGTGCAAGTGCAAGTGCAAGTGCAAATGGCAGGCTGCTGCTAATCACATGGCTCACCTGGTCGTGGCTTCTCATGATGCACTGCACCGCGCTGGACTGGCAGAAGGTTAAGCCGATGTACCTGGTGTCCATGTACCCCGGTCCCATGGGGCTGTCCAGCGCTGCGGCCTCCCCCTTTTCCTCCTCCTCATCCTCATCATCATCACTGGAATATGATGCGGAAATGAGTGCCAGCAACCTGGACAGTCGTCGCATGAAAGGCAGGGGATTCGGCTCGGAAGTGGGCGGTTACAGCGAGGAGGATTCCGACGATCGCCAGCCACTTGTCCTCAATCTGGAGACGACGCCGCTGATGGAGCAAATGCTGCCCGAGGGCGCCATGGCCATGGATCGCATCTTCGGCGGCGACGTGGGCAATCCCCACTGCTTTCCCTACCAGGTGGGCATGCTGCTCCAAAGGCCCAAGGGTCTCTACTGGTGCGGCGGCTCCCTGATCTCCGATAAGCACGTCATCACCGCCGCCCACTGCGTGGATATGTATGAATGGCTAGAGTTGAACTGGTGAACCAATCTCTCATGGGTTTACACTTTTGCAGGGCCAAGAGAGCCTTGGTTTTCCTGGGCGCTAATGAAATAAAGAACGCCAAGGAGAAGGGTCAGGTGCGACTAATGGTGCCCAGCGAAAACTTCCAAATCTACCCCACCTGGAATCCAAGGAGACTAAAGGATGACATTGCATTGGTGCGACTGCCGCATGCCGTCAGCTTTAATGGTGAGTTGAGTGGAACTATTTTTTAAAAGGAATAAAAATAAAATCATAAAAGACAATAGTCATGAAAGAGGAGGAAAATGTGTAAGACTATTTTAAATTCTGTCACTAGCAATTATGAAGAGCATAACACCATTTCAACATTCATAAACGGCAAGAATTCGTTATCGAAGTTATTATTCTAAAAAACCTTTCCTTCTAGAGCGCATTCATCCCATTCAACTGCCGAAGAGACACTACGAGTACAAGAGTTTCAAGAACAAGCTGGCCATCGCCTCCGGCTGGGGTCGTTATGCGACCGGAGTCCATGCGATCAGCACTGTGCTGCGTTATGTCCAGCTGCAGATAATCGATGGAAGGACGTGCAAGGCCAACTTTCCGCTGTCCTATCGAGGCACAAACATCTGCACCAGCGGAAGGAACGCCCGGTCCACGTGCAATGGCGATTCCGGAGGACCCTTGGTTCTCCAAAGGAAACACTCGAAGAAGAGAGTCCTGGTGGGGATCACCTCCTTTGGCAGCATCTACGGCTGCGATCGCGGCTATCCGGCGGCCTTCACCAAGGTCGCCTCGTACTTGGATTGGATCAGCGATGAAACAGGAGTTAATTCGCATCAGGAAACGACGGAGGCGATATTCTTCGATCAGTATGTCAGGAACTACGGAAAGCCGCGACAAAGTCGTCGGTTGCAGAGGGAGGATCAGCCGGAGGACGATGTGCCCGACGAACTGGACGTGCATCCCGATTCCGCTTCTGAGGAGGACATCTCCGAGGATGTCAGCCCGCGAACCCGTCTACGCCCGCAATCCGAACACGAGTTCTATTTCTTGTAACCCAAAAATAAACGTTTATTTTAAGTTAAAAAAAAACGCTTAGTTGCCGTAGTTGACCACACCGGTCTTGGCCTCGATCCAGTCCAGGTAGGAGGTGATGCGGGTGAACACACCTGGCCATCCCCGCTCGCAGCCGAGGGCGATTCCGAAGGAGGTGGCTCCAATGAGGGTGTTGCTGCCGTCGTTCAGCACCAGAGGGCCGCCGGAGTCGCCGTTGCAGGTGGAGATTCCGCCGGTGGTCTTGATGCAGATGTTGGTGGAGGCCACCAGGCCGAGGTACCAGGGAGAGCAGCCGCTGTTGTTCATGATGGGAACCTCGGCGTACTGCAGAATGTCGGTGGCACCGGTGGCAGCTGCGGGTGAAATGCAGAAAGTCTTATCAGAAAAATGCTTTTAAAAGATCTAAGGTTCTAAGACTGGAAGATTCGAGATTAACTTTTTTTCACAGAATCTAAAAAAAAAAAATTTTCTAGTAGCTCTGATTGACTTCAAAGTAGGAAGAAAATAAATATGTTAGGGCAGTAATAACAAATAAGATTAGATGTCTCAAAATATAGTTGTAGTTATCTTTTCCAAATATACTTGAGCAAAGGTTAAATAGAGTTGGAGTTGGGTTTTCACATAGTAAATTATTGAATGAATTCAAATCATAAATCAGTAAATAACTTTCTTGACTATTTTTGTAATCCTAATAATAAATAGTACAAACTAAATAGAAAATAGGTAGGGAAATTTGATTTTTAAAACCAAAAAAAACTTAAATACTTCGAAAACGATAAGTACGTGCTACTCTTTTTGAAGCTCCACTAAATCTTTGGCAATTTAAGGTTACTAACTTTTAAGTTGTACTATGACTGCCTAACTTTCTCTTTTACACACTTTAAACTCTTAATTTGGACAAGGTTTAGGGGTCACTTACTGTCGCTGATCTTGCCCCATCCGGAGGCAATGGCCGACTCGCCGCTGTAGGTGTTGTAGCTGTTGGACTTCACGGGCAGATTAGCGGGCTGGATGTACTCTACAAAAAATAGAAAAACTGTTAATAACTATTTCACCATCAAAAAGAAACAAATACGCACCGTTGAACTCGATGGGAACGGGCAGCTTGATCAGGGAAATGTCGTTGGTGATGGTCTCGGCGATCCAGTCCTCGTGGACAATGACGTTCTTGGTCTCCACGAAGATGATCTGCTGGCCAACCTCCTTGGCGTTGGTGCGATCGTGGGCGCCCAGGTAGACATCCACGCCGGTGGTCAGGCTATCGGTGCAGTGGGCGGCGGTGATGATCCAGCGGTCGCTGATGATGGTGCCTCCGCACCAGGCGGCGCCTCCGTTCACGTAGAGGAGGAGTCCCACCTGGTAGGGGAACTGGTTGGGCTCGGCCAGCTGGCCTCCGGTAATCCTTCCGCTGGGCAGAGTCTCGCCATGGACCTTCGGGATGGGGGTATCGATGTTCAGGTTCTTCACCGACTGCCAGTCGACAGCCTGGCAGCCAAGAATGGTGGCCAGAAGCAAAACCGTAGCACAGGCGAATTTCATTTTGATCGCTAAACTAAACGTTTCGCCAGGAATCGTGGCACTTTTATACGGATTCCGGTGGACGCGACGGGATCATAATTCATCGACTATCTGTGCTGGATGGCCTAGGTGGGAATAAACCGAAGTGATTTATAATCGTCTATTGACCACTACCGATAGGGACGATGCTACCGATTAACTTAGTGATAAGGTGATAAGGAACTCGCGCCAGCTAAAAAGTGTGAATCGAATTGGCCGACTATTGGCAATAAAGTCCAATCGTGGCTAGATTAATCGGTTCGTAGTAGGTTTATCTAGGACACTAATGACGAGCCCAGTAATTGAACTTTCAAAAGTCACAATCATTTCTGTCTTTAAAAAGTTCTTACGCATTTAATTAGTTCATTTGCACTAGTACTAAAATTTGTTAATACTTGTTAATATTTTTGAGTAAACCAAATCCCCTTTTAAGAAGGTCATATTAGCCAGCATTTTTTTTTAGATAGTATAATCGTTTATCTGCGCAAAGCCTTATCGCAAATACTTGTATTGGCGGCGATAGCAAAACCAAAACCGGCGACATCGATTACCGAAGGGGTTTGTGATTTAATTGCATAATTTATAGAACCCACAGTCATAATTCTCGCAGTTTAAACTGCGATGTGCCTATGATATGAGTAAACAGCCTGAACTCGTACGTGCGAACTTCCTGCCGACTCATTATGATGTCATGACAGCCGATGCACTTCCCTCGAGCCAATTAAAAGGTTCGGAATTTTCAAAACAACTTCCAAACTTAATTAAAGCTTAATACTTTTCGAATCAAATGGAAATAAAATAAGTTAAATCAAGCTGAAACAAAGCGGAGAGCTAAGCGAATGAATCAAAACGGAAATGGATTTATTGCAACAATTTTGTTTGCTCAATTGAAGGTCGTCTTAGAGTCGAGCGGGCCCAAACACAAAAGCCGTCACAACAATCCGGTCGAGACGAAGTCTAACCGGCCACAAGTTCACAGTGAAGAGTCGCAGAGTAGCCCGCACCGCGTCCCATAGAAGGACAGATTTGCCCATTTAATTAGCACAGCTTTCTAAAAATTATACAATTTAAATGACACCTGCCAAGCGGCTGGTCGGTAAAACCGAATTACCCACATGACACTATCTCGTTATAAATCTCCCCAATTGCCGTTCTATTAGCTCTCCAACAATCGTTGATAGATACATTTAGCAAAGTTTATTGAAAAAATGGCAAAAGTCCTTGAAGCAGGCCCAAAGCAGAGCTAATTAAAACATTAAATGCGTAGCGAACTATTAAATTGTAACAAAAAGCACATAGCTGAATGAATTCAAAACAAACAGGGTGTGAAGTTAGTTTCAGAGGGTCGAACACTTGAACACTCTCAGAGGTTTAACAAACACGATTAATTGTTAATCTTCAAATTAAAATTGGAATTTTGTAATTTATTACAAAACTTTAACCCTTAACATCCATCAATTTTAGGAATGTTGATCCAATTTCCACACATCCCCACATGATAAAAATATCTTAATTTAAATGCACGGCAAACTCCTAATCTTATTTATGTTACATACACTTAGCAGAGTATAATAAAAATTTAATTTATTTAGCGAGATTAAACTGGTTTGAAGCGGCTGCGGTCAAGAGAACAATATTTTCGTGTGCAGTTGTAATGAGAAGCGAAAAATTTTGATTTGGGTGCGACTTCATAATTAATATAAATGCATACATGCGCCATGTAACATGCGTATCTTAAATTGAACACACGAACATTTGTAAATAAATAAGATAAGCGTCGCATAAACACATCAAAGTAATAATTTAACGGTTAAGTCCTGAATAAAATATATGTATCCTTCTAATTGCACACACGAATAAATATAAAAAAGATAATTAAATGCAAAAGTTAAATTGAATGAGTAAAAAATGAAGCTGAAGTGTCAATCTTTTAAAAGTGTGCCTCAAAAAGGAAATTTTATGAGTTCTTCTTTTAATACAAGGAGTGATTGGATGAATGATAACCGTTTAAATAAGATAAGCTTGAATTGAAAATAAGCAACATTTCCTTTGAAACAATTTATGATACAGTACAGCTTTTTAAAGGGAATATTGTCACAATTTTTTTATTAGTATAGGCTTGTTAATAAATGTATTTTGAAAGCCTAGTTGCTTGGCCAAGGCAAGGAGTTTTTGAAATAAATTTTTGCAAAGGGAAACTTGATCAGCTGATCAATTAATAGGAATATGTTAATCAACATGTTGAACAGAAAAAGGAAGACAAACACTGTTCTGGAAAAGTAATTTTCCACTGCTAATTTATTTTTTCAAGCCATTGCGAAATTCGGATTTAAATTTCAAATGAAGAAGTACTGCGTTTTAAATACGAGTTATTATAAATATGTTAATTAATACAAAAAGGCATTTGTCCACAAAACCTAACGGTTTTTAAAAATAGACGTTTAAGGTCAAACAACAATAAGTCATGGAAAAGTACTGTCCTACTAGTGAAAAAAATAAAATATCGAAATATGGCGAAATTCGTATTACATAGATGTTAAAAAAGATGTTAAACAACAAATAAATATCACTTAAATTCATTCTGGAAAAGCAAAGATGTTGTTAATTTTGTTTTTCAAACTTTTCGTAAGTGGTGAGCTCTTGACAACCTGTTAATCAGTAAGTCAACCTATAAATAAATTCTTTACAGTATCATATTACTATCAGTGTTAATTAAAAGCACAAATTTGTTTTGGGAAATAAAATCTCAATTAAAATATATGGCGCCTGCTCGTTATGAAATTTGTGATATAAACTTAAAACATTTTTATGAAAATAGGAAATAAAGAAGTAATTGCCTGATAATAATAGCAATTGAATAAATGAATTGGAGCTACGACTTCGGCTCTTCGAATCACGCAAACTCGTTTTGTCAGATAGCTTGATCCGTTGCCGAGTTTAATCCCCTCTCGAAGCTCAATTTATGAATGGGCCGTGACGTATTTATAAATATAACAAAATCGTTTGGCTAATTTCCTCAATCTCGGCAAGTGTTTTGGGCATGAATCATTGGCGTTCTGCCTCCTTAGTCCCGGTGGGGTGCTATTAATAAAATCGGGACCCAGCTGGGCCCCAAAAGATGTGCACCGGGGCACCTTACGAACTTCTGGCAGTCATGGATTTCGGCAGGCTTAAAAATAAGCGGGCAAGAGCTCTTAACACAAAACGCCGCCATAAGATCAGGGATTCCGATATGAATGTTCGGGGCTCGCCTGCCGATTCAGCAGATTCAGAGCCGATTCAGAACGCCGATCCGATGCCAACCGGTTTGCCAGCTGTGTGAACCAGGCGGCGAACAGCTGCTCAGCTGCTAAACTTTCGCTGCCGGCGGTTTCTTGTTCTTGTTAACAGCAGCAGCAACCAGCAGCAGCAACCAGCAGCAGCAGCGCGAAAAAACAAAAACAAAAATCAAAGGCAAGTGCAGCGGGCTGAAAACGGTCAGAAGCCGCTTCAGAGCTTCTTGGGTCGGGCTCATATAAAAACGGCTTTTGGCGCGCGTGCTCAGTCAGTTGCAGATTCGAAACGGAAACGCGCGCGTGCGCCGCAATCGAATTCGATCAAGTAGTTGGATTTCAAATTGGATTTAACGCCGTTTCGGTCAAGTTCTGTTTTCTGTGTTCTGAATCACTTCGGAGTGACATACATAAGGCAAGGTCGCGGATTAGCTCGTAGCCAAAGTCAAAAATGGAAGGCCAGGCCAAGCAAGCGTACTTCGTAAATGAGGCATTTGCCCACGAAGAACCGCCTACTGGAGGTGGTGTAGGAATTGGAGCTGGAGCTGGGGGAGATAATCTACATCGCCGGAAGAGCGGTGGCAACAAGGAACTCCAGCTGGAGATAGGTGGCCTCAAGAAGGATGCCAGTGGTGATCCACCCAGCATGGACTTCGATGACATACTCCCCTTGATCGGGGAGTTCGGTCGTTACCAGAAGCTACTTTTCATCTGCATGATTCCGTTCTCGTTCTTCGTGGCCTTTGTGTACTTCTCGCAGATATTCCTCACCTTGATACCCGAGCAGCATTGGTGTCATGTTCCCGAATTGGATGCCTTGGATGTGGAGGCCAGGTGAGTTGGGCTGAAGATGTGAGGAAAATCTCAGGGGTTTTCCCTCCGAGCCATGGAAAAACAAAGGCAAAAGCAGGCAATTTTGGCTCCATGGTTCGGTTGAGCGCGGCTTAACGCGGCAATTCACGTTATGTGTGCCATAAATATTCAAATGTGATGTGTAAAATACTAGTAGTTGATTAGTGGGTAGCACACAGTATGCTGAGTGCAGTAGTAGTCGACGGCCAAGTTAAGTGATCAACTATAATGAAGACTTTGCGGCTATTCAAATGATCATGAATCTATTAACGCGTCTCAGAACTTTATGATCCCATGCAGCTGTGGGTGATAAATGTGAATGACTGAATTAAAGTCAGCTACGGTATGTGGTAATGCCCCTATAAATTCTTTGATATAATTGCTTTCAAGTCAACGAGTTATTAGTTCTCAGAGATTTATGAATATGGGGAACTAAATAAAAATGTTATACAATTTAGTGACATGCCAAACAAAATTCAATTAGCAGGCGATAAATAAATAAACCATTAACGGATTATCTTTTTAAATGATATTTTAATAACCAAAATAAAACCAAATGAAAAGCAAATACCATGTTACTCATTCAAAGGTTAAATATAAACCAATTTATAACGATGTTAATCTTAACAATCATAAAACGAAAAACCTCAAAGTTCAAGGTCTTTGAAGAGATCAATTATTTTAAGAAATAATCAAATCATCAGCAAACAATAAGCAAAGCGAAAAGGTTTAGCAAATAATTGTCTAATAATTGTATATCCGATCGCAATTAGCTACCCGACTTGACTTAACCCCTTTCGAATAATCTGTCCAAACAATCCCGATCCGGAAGTACTATTGTACTATCATTGTGCGTAAATGGCAATTCGAAATATGCGGTTCCGTTTTAACTTTCACAAAACAAGATCGATCATTATAACAACCAATAGTACAAATCACCTTGGAACCGAAAGGCTAAGGCTAATACCGGTTAAGCCTGTGAACTCGTGCGTGTTTTTTTTTTCTGCTAGCCAAAAAACTGGATAAAGCCATATTAAAAGAATTGGCCAACCGAAAATATTTAGTCCGCTCTAACCCCCATTCCCAAATTCTCGAATTCTAATAGTCAAATTATAAAAAGTGCTTGCAAAGTCTTAAGGCGTGCAGCGCGATTTGAATTGAAAACGAATGAATCGTAACGAAAACGAGTGTTCTGACCAAAGTCATTAGAGCCGAGTTGGCATAGAACGGCCAGTCGGGACGACCTTGGGCCATGATTGGGTTTTCCAGTCAGAGCGGCGGCTTAATAAGGCAAAGAACCTTACTGCGAAAAACGTTCATCTGTATAATTGCCGGGCTGCCTGCCCAACGTTCGGTGGCAAGGAGAGCGTTTTCCGCCGGCCAAAAGTGGGTGGTGAGGCGGTGGGGCGCCGCGGGGGACAGTTAGATAAGCCACGTTGGCCGGCCAAATTGTTTAATTAGCAGCAGCGCAGCGTGAACATTGCGACAACGCAGCAGGCAGCAAGCAGCAGTAGCAACTAAACACAGGTAGCAACTAGCAACTAGCAACAACAATCATCAAACAGACTAATGTTGTGTGGCGGCGATGATGTGAGACCGCCGACTCAACGATGGATGGACTGCAGTTGGGTTAATCGAATTTCGGACACTCTTTTAGAGCAATCATAATCTACTTTCGAAAACCTTAGTTTTAAGAGGGAAGCATTCAATTACAACATGTTTCCTTAGAAAAAGATATACACAAGATATTCCACTATAGTATTAAAATACCCCTTGTTTAAAATCAAAGAGAATATCTTATATCTTATATCCTTAGACAATACAACTTCTTCTTGCTATATTGTTCAGTACATGCTCATTAATAAATAAAAAATAAATCATCAGCAGCTTCTTTAACAGAATATGCTAAAAAAAAATAAATCGATTAATGTCAAAGTCTGCACTCGGAATGATATGATAATTGATTCTTTATGAGCGATACAGCTTGACGTGCTAAAAAATTTATAAGCTCTAAGCAGCTGATGACATTATAAAATCAAGATTTGCTTAATATAATCACGAATACCGTCACACTTAATGTTTGCATACATTTTGGGTATCAATAAAAATAATGCTTTTAAAATGTATATTTAGCGTGGGAACAAATAATTGTTTAAAAGTTCAAGTTGTAGTTATTAATATAACTGTAGATAAAAGCAAGCGATTAAACTTTTGCTCCCAATACGTACGAGTTTTGAGATTTTGTATAATCGCATATCTGCATTTATTATAAACGCACAGCAATCAAAACTATTAATACACCAAAAACAAAAAGCATAATTGAATTCAAAATGGAGCAGAAATGGACAGTTAAAGTGTATCCGAAAACGTTTAAGTTTTAGCCGCGTTTTCGAGTGCCCCTCAAGATCACGATAATTAAGTTGTCTCGAATACATTTTGATGTAAAGATATACCATACATATGTACTTAAGCTGGCTGTTTGTGTTTGCAGTGCAGAAGTGTTGGCCATGGCTTAGAGCGTCTGAGAACTGGAGACAATTCCACACGCCTGACCCTGAATGAGTTAATTGCACCGACCGAAAAATGACCCCCGCTTTCCCGCCTCTTTTTTCCCCAGGCTGGCGCTTTCCATACCCATGACCAATGGGGAGTACAACAATTGTTACATGTACGACGTCAACTACACAGAGATTTTGGCCCAGGGCAAGGTGATGGCCGATCCGAAGTGGCCGCGGGTCAAGTGCCGCCACGGCTGGTCATACAACTTCACGGAGATCCCCTACTCGACGGTGGCCACCGAGCAGAATTGGGTCTGCGATGACGCCGCCCTGCCCACCTACGCCCAGTCCATATTCTTCCTGGGCGCCATAGTGGGTGGTCTCCTCTTCGGCTGGGTGGCCGATCGGTTTGGCCGCATTCCCGCCCTGATCGGCACCAATATGATGGGTCTGCTGGCCGGAGTGGGCACCGCATTCGTGACGAACTTCTGGCAGTTTGCCGCCATGCGATTCTTCGTGGGCTTCGCCTTCGACAACTGCTTCACCATGATGTACATTTTGGGTGAGTGGTAAAATTAATTTTAAGTCGTTTTGCATCTGAAGGAAAAATTAACATATTATGTCTTGCCATCTATTAATGTTTTAATAAAAGGAACATTTTTGAAAGGAATGCAAAATGCAATGCAAAATATTTTAACGATAGAATGAAATAAATTAAAATTCCAAGAACAAAATGAGTCACAGAGGTCATAAACCTTTTATAATTGGTTAGCATTTAAAACAGTTTCATTGTTTTAAACTAACATACATACCTCTAAATTGATTTAGTACAAGCATTAACCTTTCCCTCTTGTGATTAAGAGCTATCTAATTAAAATTCTAACCATTTTGGCTAATTGCCTCAAAAAAATGTGATAGTTAGTTTAGTCGATTAGCTTAAATTAAATTGTTTCATTTTCTTTTCTTTTTTCTGGTCAACAGTTCTGGAGTACGTTGGTCCCAAGTACCGCACCTTTGTGGCCAACATGTCGATTGCCATCTTTTTCACTGGAGCCGCTTGCCTTCTTCCCTGGATCGCTTACTTTTTGGCTGATTGGAAACTTCTGGCCATCGTCACCTCAGCTCCGCTCCTCCTGGCCATTTTTACCCCCTTGGTCGTACCAGAATCCGCACGTTGGTTGGTCTCCCAGGGAAAAGTGGACAAGGCCGTTGGAATCCTCAAGAAACTGGAGAAGGGCAATGGCCGCCAGGTGCCACCTCAAACCTATCAGATATTCGCAGACAGTTGCAAGAGGATGCAGGAGCAGGAGGCCCAGAATGGAAGTTATTCCGTACTGGATCTGTTCAAGTCACCGAGATTGCGACGAACCACTCTGCTGCTGATTGTCATCTGGATGGCCATCTCGCTGGTCTTCGATGGACATGTCCGGAATGTGGGTTCCCTGGGACTGGACATCTTCTTCACCTTCACCTTGGCTTGTTTCACCGAACTCCCGGCAGATACTCTCCTGACCGTGATCCTGGATCGCTTTGGTCGCCGTTGGCTGGCCTGCAGCTCCATGGTTCTGAGTGGAGTGTTCAGTTTACTGGCCACCGTGGTGCCTGTGGGCATCTACTCCGCTGCTCTGGCCATAATGGGTCGGTTCTTCGTGAACATCAGCTATAACATTGGCTTGCAATGGGCTGCGGAGGTTCTGCCCACAGTGGTTAGGGCCCAAGCGGTGGCCTTCATCCACATCATGGGCTACGTGGCCAGCATAATTGCTCCATTTGTGGTCTATCTGGCCAATATTTCCAATGCTCTGCCACTGATCATCCTGGGGATCCTGGGAATCGTTGGTGGCTTGCTGGCGCTGCTGCTCCCCGAAACCCTCAATCATGTCCTGCCTCAAACCCTTAGCGATGGAGAGGAGTTTGGACGTGGTCAGAGCATTTGGGACTTCCCCTGCTTGGCCAAAAAGGTGGACGACGACGAGGACGAGAAGAGGAACGCCGACGTGGAGGTGCGATCTCAGGCCTTTGTGAGGGGAACCCAGACGGGCGCATCCCTGAATGCCTCCACGGGTGGTGAACTACGATCCAGTATCTTGCGTCGATCGGTCAAGTCACGCAACTCCACGAAGCTGTAGGTGATCAGCTTTAGAACCCACTGATAGGTAGCTAATTGTTATAGCGGCCTGTAATCTGTAGCTCTGCCTTGCATTTTTAGCATCAAATAGCCTCTAAGTGTCCGTTAAAGACTTTTGTGATACTAGAAATAAGAAATTCTATGCGTCTCCCAAAACAAGTGAATAAAGTCAAAATATAAACGAACTGAAGATCAGTACACTATTTACTGTACTATATAAGGAAAAACTTTCCTAAAAAATGGTATATCATTCGCGAACTGAAAAGTAAATATGTATCAATATAATTCCAAACAATGATTCAATAATACATTAAAGTTAAGGGGGAAATACAATTAGAAAATTTTTTTTTCGAAAAATTTTTTTTGGCTTAATGTACTCTAAATATATCTGGAAATAAGCCTATAAAAGCTTAAAGCCGTCCGGTACTTATTTTCAAAGTTATAAGCAATTTAGTGAGGGTGTGTCATATGGCGGACATGGACAAAAGTAAACTTCAAACGCTTCTACTGAAAAGTCGTGTTTTCAAAATCGCCGTGCAATGTACAGGTCAGAGATTTTATTTAAATCGAATGCGGTTTTTTGCATTATGTTTGAAATTAAATTCTCCACACCATGAATATAACGGTTTTTCATATTTGTTTGTTATAACATGTTTTTTTACAATCAAAGTCAAAAAAAAACGTTTTTTTTGAAATTTTTTTTTAACCTCAAATTTTTTAATGGAAAAATAATTTTTTTTAAATTTGCTTTAATTCATGGTGAGCGCTGAACCTTTAAGTTTAAAGCCCAGTTGCTGTTTTTTGTTTAAGTCGTGATCCTGGACCTGGAGACTGCACGGCGCAAAGTCCTTCCCTAAAAATACGACTCCACATTATTGCTCATAAATGGGCTTAATTACAATATTTTTCAAAAAACTTGACTGATTTTTATTGCTCAATAATTACCTAATAACATGCAAAAAGAATCGCTAAGATTCATTTAATACCCTACTTGCAATCCACTCCCAAAGATGGCCCTCATTTCAGGCCTTCTAATTGTATTTCCCCCCTTAATCAAATGCGCTACTAGAATCAAAAAACTCAATTGCTGAATAATTAGTATTTAGGGCACAAACTTGTATACTATTCAGATCATGGTCGTTAAAAACAAACAAAGCATGTTTTTTATCTGTGTTAACAGAAAGCAAATGCCTATAAAGATTTAAATATATGTGATGCAATATATAGGTATGCCCAACCGTTTATGATCGTCGTGTTTTTCAGCTTGCCCGCAAGTGCAAAATGCAATTAAACGTTGTGTGCATTTATTGGCACAAGGGTCAACAACCAAATCCGCGGGTAAATATCCGATTGAACTACAAATAAGCGCCGATTCGCCACTGGGCTATAAAAGCTTCGCCCTTTCGAGGGCATCCAACCAGTACAGCCGGAATGGCATCTTTCTCCGCTTGGCTTGTCCTCATCCTGGGGCTCGGGATCGCTGGCGCCCTGGATTATAACATTCAAAGTAACAGCAGCAAAATCCTCACGGTCCTCAATGGATCCGCTCCGATTCAAGAATTACTTTACCACATTGATGTCTGGCGGAATGAAGCAGCTTCAGCTGCTCTAGAAACTCCAGCTCCTTCCAATCTGGAGTCCGTGATTCGCTCTGAAGTTGGAGGCGATTGGGAGCGGGGTAGACTCGTCCTGCAACTGGCGTATAAAGCTAGGACCTTGGAGCTCAAAGAGGCCATTTACACGGCTCTCTGGAAGGAGCTTCAGCAGACCAAGCAGATCTACGATCCATCCAAAATCCTTGAGTTCTACAACGAGCTGTCTCAGCATTCGGATGTGCCACTTGAACTTTTGGAACGTATCTACAGAGCTTTCATTGATCGCAGCGCCCAGTTGCTGGAGGCACCATTTCACACCAACAGTCGGGAGGCAACTTTCCCGTTGGTAAACTCCCTGGTACATCGTCTTACCTTCAGCACATTGGATTACCTCAGGGACATTCTGGAAGTTCTCTACGATGCTGTATTGGCCCTCGAAACACCATTAAGTGTGGTCGAGCGACTGGGAAACTTCACGGCCAGTTTGACGCAATTGGCTCAGGCTAATCTTCAACTTCTTAGCAGGGAGGAACTGAAACGAGGCGATCTACAGGTGCAGAAGGCCCTGCAAAGCAACCTCCGTAATTTGCTGCAACAGCCTGGTTTTGAGCAGGAAGTGGGATCCGCTCTGCAAGCGGAAATCTATGCACACCTTCCAAGGGATGAGCAACTCCTGTACACAGCTCGCAAAGTTTGCATCCGCAATGTGACCGATGGAAACTCGTATATTTACGAGTGCCCGCAGACTTATCTGATATGCAGTAACGCCCGCGATCCCAAAAAGGCTGCCTACTTCATCCAACGTGGCCACAGCAACGACAGCCGACCGCAGTTTGCCTTCTACAGCGCTTTCTGGCGTAACCGCTACATCCTCATGGAACCTGCCATTGCAGCCGCTGGCAATATCAGTCACTCCATCACCAAAAACGTCTACAGCCGGACCAACATTAGCTGGTGGCGAGTTAAGTACGAAAATGGCGGAATCTCCTTGCTCGATGCAGCCACCGAGCATTCCGTCCTTTGCGGTGGAGACCCGTCGCACTGGGATGGCGAGGAGCACCATGTTTACACACGCAACGCATCGGAGCTTTCAGCTTATCAGGCGGAGTGCACCTGGAGCCTGGAAGACTGCAGCGATGCCGCCTAGCCGGAAAACAGAGAGGGAATGTGGTGCAGCCTCAATAACTATAAATTATTGCTATGTTTATTTTGACTAATAAGGCACATGAGAAAATCCAACTACTTCTGCTTAAAATCCCAGGGTATGCACACAACGCCGTCGGTCAGTACCGAATAGTAGTGGGTTATGTGCAGCTTCCCTCCCTGCAGTTGCTCCACCTGCAGCTGGGACAAGTCCCTCAGGGCGGTAATCATCTTATCCGGCGTTACGGCATCATCTTTGGTCAGGGATTGCAGCTGCAGCTGCTTCGTGCACGAGTCCATTAGCTCCTGCTCGACGTGCTTGTCCTGGGCGTACTTCTTCATTCGTTCTCTAGCCAGTTCCATGTTAACGCTAATAAAGTCCACTAGTATGGAACCCGGACAAGTGGCTGGTGTGATGAACTGACCTGTGGGACTGACCATCAGTGGACCAGCCTCCGATTCCACCACGATGGTGAACTCCTTGAGCGTTTTCGGCCATTCCGCCGGGTATTTTTGCTTGCCTATGTAATCACTAAGCGAAGTGGTCACCTTCATGAGGTAGCTTGCGTATCCCCTCGCCTGCTGCTTGGGCATAAACTTCCGACGACCAATCTGAATCTCCAGTAGAACCTGAGAAAGTGTCCGTTCGTAGACGGGCACTACTTTTAAATAAGCATCATGATGCGGAATGTTCTTGATGAAGTCAATCCACGTGTTCAGCACATCGCCGGTGAAGAGCATCACATGACCCTCTAAGCTAATGCCAGTAAAGGGGGCAAATACCACAATTCGACCTTTTAGGGGAGACATTTCCTTTAGGTGAGTGTTGGCCAGTCGCTCGAGGGTTTTTAGGCAGCCACGATAGTGCTCGATGTTCCAACCACACTCGTAGCGGGCATCCTGCAACTCCAGTTTCTCCACCAGCACCTTCTGCAGCTTGTCAATCTCCGCCTGCAGGTCGGCGGTTTCCTTTGCACGCTGTTTTGCTATGTCTGCGTTCCCATCCAGCCAAGTGGTCAGTACCGGACGCTTGCTAGCGCGGTCCTGTGAAAAAATCGTGGTTAATAGCCATTATTAAAAGGAATCTGTAGTTCCACAAACATTTTTCAATCGAGATTCAAATTCGGCAAACTCCGAATCGTAATGGTAATCCTGGCCCGGTTTAAACTCCAATCCAGAGCTCTTCGGCTGCTCTGGCTGCGCCTTGATGTTCCTGACAAATTCCGTAGACAGGTTGCAGGACTCCAGAAGACCCTGAATGAAGGTCTTTGGATCCCTGGTGCTCTGCCAGTCCGTACGGATCTGGATAAGCTTGAAGGAGTCCCTTTTATCCGCATCGGAACTGGTGCGCACATAGAACTTGAGCACCTGGGTGTCGCCACTTCGCTGTCTGCGTTCATATAAAGCCTCCAGATGTTCACTAAGCAATTTCAGCGAGTTCTCGTTAGTGTTCCGCTGCTCAGGATGCTGTGCAAAGAAGTCCGGATGTACAGCGAAGTAGAATGGCCTCAGCGCCGTGGTTAGATCTAAAAGGAGTCAAATCACATGATAGCTATCTTCATATGAGTTATGGCATACCAAAAGCACTGACCTTGGTTCAGCGATCGACGCAGAAGCAGGAAGTGCCGCCTGCTGGTGACCAATTTCCGGACCTTGGAACCCAGCGACAGGGACATTATGTAAGCGGTGATCAGAGGCACTACTCTGCCCCTCCTTCCAGTTGGCCAGCATACGGCGGCGACTGCTGAGGGCTCAAATTTTGAGATATATAACTTCCTGATCTTGAAATTATGAAAGACGGTGGGACCGTATGAGTAGAATGCCAAAAATCCGCTAGTGGTAAGTTAACTTTTTTGTAGCTAGATTGTTTTTGTGTTTTCCTTTTTGCCAAAAAAAAAATAACAAAATAAAATATTATTTTTTAAAATGATGCTTTCTTTTGATTTACATTTTGGTAATAAACAGATTTACATGGGAAAACAAATGTAATTCCTCATTTTTGGCTAGGAAAGAACTGACAGCACTATCCACCGTAAACCGCCGATAGTTCTTGGTGTGACCAGTTGAACGACAGAATTCCGCATTGTTTACCTCGCTGCTAACAAGTTTTTAGCAGAATTCCAATTATCTCAATAAAAACTAGTAAACAAATATCAATCAAAGATGACTGCCGTTCCTCCTCCCTCTAACATCTCCACACTGATGCCCTTGGGTAAGAAAACTGGCTGAAATTCCAAAAAACAACAGCTTCTTAACTTTGCCGGCTGGCCTGGCTCTCCTTGCAGAATTGGTGGACAAATGCATTGGCTCCCGGATACATATAATCATGAAGAACGACAAGGAGATGGTGGGTACTCTTTTGGGATTCGATGACTTTGTAAATATGCTCCTGGATGATGTTACGGAGTACGAAAACACACCCGATGGACGACGCATTACCAAGTTGGACCAGATTCTGCTTAACGGCAACAACATCACAATGGTGGGTGCTCCCACTTAATTAATCATGAATTTATATTAACTAAATTATTTGTTTCAGTTGGTGCCTGGAGGCGAGTTGGCCGAGTAGCTTGGATTCATTTGTAAACATAAATACAATTGTAAAATAACAACACAAATGTTTTAATATTAACCATATGTTAATGTGCAGAGCTATGCAAAGTGTTAACAGTTGTTAAACGGTTAACAGAGAATAACTTTTTAAGCGGTTCATTCAAAAAAAATTTAAGGGTTCATATAAAAAAAATTAATTACTTCGAAACCGGTATTGAAATCAAAAACTTTTACAGATTTTGTGTTATTTATAAGTACGAAATTCTAAACTGCTAACAAATGCAAACTTGAAAGCATTTGGTTAGTTGCACTTGGGTCAGAATCCAAGGCCAAGTTGCTCACAATTCTTTTGGCAACTCTTTCGATTTAGAAAACTGTAAATATTATTAGACAAAAGTTTATCATTTAAGACCAATCCGATAACATTAAACCGCTATTTATGCTCTGCCGGACATGCTAAGTAGGCGCATGCGCTCCACCACTGCGAGAATGGTATCGGCGATACAGCAGTCAACATGTGCCATAAATATTAACCGCTTGGCCCTGCTGGCCGAGTGTGTGGGTTGTGGGTGCAGTGTGCTCTCCGCTCCGCAGTACCGCTCTGAGTTCTCCCGCTTCCGTTCGGCACCTCCAGAGCACTCAGTACGGCACCAGGCTTCGACGGAAGTGGAACAAACCAAGCGGAAACGGACTCACGCGACAACCAAACCGAACTCGAATATGGAAAACTTTTCCCTCAGCCAATATAGCACTGATAAACGCAACTCGGAGTGAACTTTATGAATGACTATTGTAGCCATGACTAATTGTGGCCCTCCGACATTCGTTGTGTGAGCCCCAAAGGTGGAGGTTGCACCGTTTTCCCAAGCAAGATTTCAATATTTCGGTATCTGTATCTGTCGGTGTCTCATTTGAGCGGCTCGAATGATCCGCCTGTAATTATGACTGCGTGAAGAAATCAATAGCGAGGAGGATGGCCAGCAGCAAGCCCATGAGCACCAGCTGCCAGAGCATTGCGACGGCGGCCAGCAGCGCGGCGACCACGGCGGCAGCGGTGTCCATCTCGGCCTCGAACGCGACCTCCGTGGGATCCCTCATCGCCGCCGCCTGCCTGCAGCAGCAGCAGCAGCATCCCCACCAGCAACAGCAGCAGCAATACCTTTATCAGACGCAGCAGCAATCATCGCACTATGTCAACGGCACCGGCAGCCTGGGAAGGCTCAAGTTTCACAAGAGTCTCGATGCCAGCGACGAGGAAATCGAGTATGCGCAGGTATGTCCAAGTGGCCAAGTATCCAACTGCTGCTGGTCCGAATCGTCGAGAAACGGTTTCAATTGTCCCCCCCAAACTGAGTCATAATAATGCGACAAGGTCCTGCAGTGCTGGCTCAATTGAATTTGCCTTGTGGGCGGTGGGTGGTGGTTGCTTGTTGAGTGGGCGTCTCTGGGGGTGGTTTTTGCCACCCAGCTCCCATCTCCCAACTCGTTGCATTTGCCAAACCACCCAGCTGTTTAACCTCCCGGCCGGGTCGTTATGCATAGTTTACGCTTCACCAGGCAACCCCAACAGCCGCCAACAACCGCCGTCGTCGATCAAGTGTTAATAATTCAATGCCCCGGAAATAGTCATATATTGAAATGTATCGCAAGCCACTGAGCAGATGAGGCCCTGAAGGGCCGTGACTTTGGCCGAGGCAATTAGATAAATTAACCAGTTGGATTAATTTATGGGTCGCTGAAAGTTGGAAGGGGGTGATTAGGTGCATGCCTTACATAGTAAAAGTGGATCACGCACTGTATCCACAAACTATTAAGTCACGGAACCTTTGAAAATGTAGCTTATATTTATTAGGTTAGATAAAATTTTTCCTTACTTTTCGTTTAAGCAGAAACAGTTTACACGATTTTGAATAAAAGTATCTTTAATTTGCAACACGCAACTTTAACAATCTTTAACTTTAAAAATTTTCTTATCCTTTGTTCCTTTTTAATGAAACCCCTTACAATTTCAATTTAAATGCGCACTGTATTTTTATATAGAATGCCGCACAATTTGCTCTTCCTTGCTGGAGGCATTATAACCGGCGGGAGGTCTATTCCAAAGCCTTTCAAGCCAGTTATTACGCTTCGCACAATAAAGCGTTAATGAAAGAGCAGTGCGGTATATCTGTGTAGGTTATACGCTGAATCTAAGCATTAATTTTTGCAGTTCTATTATTAAATTAGAAAGGGAAAAATAGTTGTAATTATATTATTTATTTTGTAGTCCTATAATCTTTTTCTATTGGACAAACAAAAATTATTTATTCTTTTAAAATCACAATGGTTGTCCAATCTTGTTTGTTTACTATACAAAGTATGAAAATGTACCATTATAATATTTTAATCCAGAATGTTGGCATATGAAAAGGGTCTTCGTGGCATTATCTTGTCCGCACCTGTATTCGTGGCTGGTTTGCTTTTCTCTTTTGCCACCCGCTTTCCTTTTGGGGGCAGTGAAAGTGTTGCCTGGCGGGGGCCTCATCCTGTATTCATAGAAACGCTTTCAATAAAAACAGGAAGAGCAGTGAGGACGAAGGAATGGGCTTGGCAAACATCATTTTGATGGTTGGCACCAACCACCACACCTGGCGGCCATTCGGTGTGCCACATTGCTCAGACGTGCAAATACCCGGAAGTGCTAACGATAGTTAGCATACAAGCTTTTCACTTTCGCCGCAAATCAACACATTCCTTTCACCCGAAAAGGATACGGCGAGATAATGGTCTCTCGGGTCTGGGTGAACACAAAAACTCTTTTATTTCTTGCAAAGGGACTATTAAAACTTAAGTCATGTGATTAAATGGATACCAATTTATTAAAATATTTTATTTATAGTTATCTCGCTCCACGCATATCCTGGGACGCCATAAGTCGGAGCGCTTTCTGGCCTCCAATCCGGATGAGGACCGTCGGCGCCGCACAATAATCGTCGAGAAGAAGAACAACTCGTATGGGTTCACCCTGCAGAGCTACGGAATCCACTACAAACGGGACGAGGAGCTGGAGATGATCACGTATGTGGACTACGTGGAGTACGGTGGCCCGGCCTATCGATCAGGGATGAGGGAAGGCGATGTTATCCTCTCCATCAACGGCAAAGATATGGAGAAGGCGGACCACAAAACCATCGTCGAGTTCATCAAGCAATGTGACACCAGAATGCGAATGGTCGTCCTCTTCGAGGACTGTGTGCGGAAGGTAGAGTATCGATTTGGATAAAGGAAGGTTGTTTGATATTCGTAACTAATATCTTTTCCATCAGGTGGACCTCCACATGCGGTACATCCAACTGCAGAGCTTGCTGCAGCAGAAGATGAATGAGTTGGAGAGAGTTCATCTGAGGGAACGCGAGTTGCTGGAGGGCAAGTGGAAAACGCACAGCTTGCCGGCGCGAAAGAAGGCCAATGCGAACACCTCGCCCAGCGATGGGGAAGGTGTCTCACCCACAGAAGCAGGTGGAGAAGCCAGCTTCTATCGTCCCGCTCTCTCCACCGAGGATGTGCCCAACATGGCTGCCCGCCAGCAGTCGGTCGGTGGACAAGGGATCATCCCGCCTCCCGCTCAATTTATGCTCACCTACCACTACCTGGATCCCACTTACCGGTACGTTCTGCGACCCACCCACGGCAGCTCGGAGGATTACATCGATGGACTGGGTCTGCAGAGGAGCAGCAGCGATCACCAGCAAACCGCACAGCGTTACATCCTCCAGCGAACCGAGTCCATGGATACGAATACGATGACTCAACCGACAGCATCGGCTCCCACTCAGTACCACAGCACCACTGGTGGATCGGTAAAGCCACCGGCGCCACCACCTCGCACCTGTGAAAAGCACAAGCCACCAGCCAAACCACCAAAGACGGAGAAGGAAAAGTCCACTGGGAAGCACTGCCACGTGGGACACTCGTGCAATCCCTGCTTGGGCCACTTCCGTTGGAAGTCGGCGGAGAAGTCTGCGATTCCGGCGCCGGATAACGTGAGTTTGGATGCCTACGATCTGGCCAGTCCCTGCTGCGATACGCATTGTGTGCCGACGAGGAGGCGACATCGCCAGCACAAGGAGCATACGCATAAGCACAAGCATCGCGAGCGGGAACGGGTGGACAACAAGGAGCAGAGGGTCAGGCCCAAGTCCACATCCAATGCCTCGCCCAACACCAACGGAGGTGGAGGTGGAAGCTCGGGATCTGGGCATCACCACCATCATCATCATCACCATCACAGCCACGATCAGCAGCAGCAGCAGCAACAACAGCAACAACTGCAGCAGCAACAGCAGCAGCAACAAATGCAGGCAGTTCCCCACCATCATCACTATTCCCACCAGGTGCAGAATCCCTGCCAGGTGCAATCCCAGACTGGCAGCACTCGATCTCGATACTTTGACTTGGCCTCCGGATTGGCCAGTCACTGCAGCCTGCATTCGTGCACCTCCAGTGAGTTTGCAACAGGAGATACCGCCTCGTACACCACTTCCATTAGCACGGATACCTTATTTTGGGATCCCAAAAGCGAGGCGGGTCAATCCCGACAGCACTCCACGAAATCCAGGCAGTCCTACGAACAACAGCAGCAGCAACAACAACAGCAGCAGCAGCAACAACAGCAACAGATGCAACAACAACCAGTTCAGGGACACCATCATCATCACCATCACCAGGGGGACTACCACCAACGATATCATGTGACCGCCAACCAAATGCAGCCCCAGCAGATCTACCCGAATACCATAGCTTATGTGCAGAAGCCCAAGTCCTGGGACAATCTGGCCAACAAGGCGGGCTATAATGTGGGCTATGGCTACCTTGACACAGTGACCGTTAAGCCAGCCATAAAAATGCAGATTGCCCAGCAGCGACACTCGATGCCGCGAAGGAATCCGTACGGCAGATACTCAACCTACGGCGATGTGGAGAACTACGCCCCACCGCCCACCGAATTCGTGGGCGAGCTGACCACCACCACAACCACTACGATTACGGCCAAGTCCACGGAGGAGCTGTTGGCCGCCTGCGATTGCCTGACCCCGCAGCAACAGGCTGCCATCAAGGCCGCCCAGTATCAGCTCAGCCAGAATCAGAAGCTGACCCACCAGAACTCCTGCCAGATGGGTTACTACTCGCACCTGCCGCGTCCCACCACCGATGTGGGCACCTCCACCACCAGTCAGCAGGTGCACGGAGCGGGAGATGTCCAGACCACGTCGGAGGCCACCAGGTTGTAGGTTGCAATCGTCTGAAAAGGAATCACTTTGCCAGGAACCGTCTAAGAATCGTCTAAGTGCACTCAGAGTTTTTAAATGGGTATGGTTTTAAATGAGTATATGAATATGAGAATATCGTGAGCAGATTATGAATATGATTCAAACTTTTGATAATCAATCAAAAAATAATACTCATAAATTTAAAATTAAAGCGGTAATTTTTATTAACTTATAAACCAAAGAATGAATTTCTTAGTTACTGTTTTAGAGTTTCATTATAGAAGTTTATAAAATAGATAATTACATTTTTTTAGGTAGATAGATCGGCTCCAATTTGAATAACTCTTATTTCAATATGTACTCATTTAACTCACTTCTAACCCGAACGCTCACCAATGAATAACTAAATTCATCCTCTCGTGAGTGCACTAACATTTAGCTCCATTTGCGTCTGACAAACCAAACATCGAAATTATTTGGAATGGTAACCAAAGCCAAATTTTAAACATATAACTCAAATTGACAAAAATCAAATAGCTTAACTATTCAAGCATATGTAGAGTGAGTTTTGTAAATGTAAGATAAATGTTTAGGATTCCAAACCCTCAAGACAATACACTGCGATAAGCCCGAAAGAAAATACTTCTAAGAGTAGATGATTCCAAATTTAATACACTGTAAGATCTTTACAAATTAAACTTGTAGCTATCTTATAAGTATGAAACTCACTTTATATGTACGCGATATAACTAGGACGCATTGACGTTTAGATTTTTGGATTTATTGAAAGACTGAAAAGCCATGCGCATATTCCAAGTGAGAGAAAAATCTGGCGTCTTGTAATGATAGTTAGAGGATTATATAGTAATGTATATGCCATATAATATGGTTACCTATCATTCAACTAGATACTGTTTTACATGTAGCATATACACACATATGTAAGCATATATATTTATTGTATACTGTATCCGATCAATGTAATTTATTTCATTGTGATAGTGAAAGAGCAGGCACTAAAAACCGCAACAATTTTAGTCGCAATTTTATCAAGCAACCAACCAAATATAATTTAAATGCTTTTATGTAATGCGAAATGTAAATGTTATTGTACTTTATGTATTGCAATAAAACTTGAAAAATGTGTTCATGTAGTGTGACCCCTAGAAAAAATTAGAAACCAAAAGTATTTGAGCATTCGAAATTTCTACAATTTGTTTTTCAGGGTTATACAGTTTCTTAATTATTAATGGAGAAAAATAGTTAAAAGTGGATACTACAGATTCTAGAGGGATTTATGTTTTAAGAATAAACATATTTTCGAATTTTTATTAATTCTACACAGATCCTGACCTAAGGGTTGTTGGAGAGTTCTAAAAGTCAGTCAGCTGGTTGAACTGAAAGTGCCGCCACCTTCCGTTTTGTTTCTGAGTTTTCCAACCCTTGGAGATTTTTTTCTCCCTTGGAAATCGTCAGTTGTAACGGCTTTCCTCGCTCAGCTGTTCAACCCCCGCAAAATTGGCAACTGTCCGCGACGCCCTCTGTTGGCCATTGTCGGCACCAGACAACTGTCAAAGTGGCAAAAAAATCAATACCAACCCCCAACCCTCCTCGTTAAAAATGTAAATGCGAAAAAATTCAATACTGTGCAGCCAAACGCGACGGTCGCAGCGTTCTCCACTCATAATCGCTCTCCCCGCTTTATCCCCCCAGCACGTAATGCTCCGGATCCGAGGATATACCACAAAAATCGGTTAAAGATTGAAAACGGTTTTCAAATCGCCCCCGAAAACCCCTTGTGAAATCCCCAGTGAGGGCAACTTGCAAACCGGCAAAAAAAATAAAAAGTGCACAGCCTGTTCAGTGAGTGAAAAGTGCAAAGGTGTTTGAGCATATAGCTACATATATAGTATACGATCTTGTGCAGATCCGGCGAAACATATGTCAAGTGCAGGGCGCCAGCAACAAAGCTAAGACGGCGACGTCGACGTCGGCAGAGGCAGCAGCAGCGGCAGAGGCAGCAACAAAGACGGCTAATTTAATTGATAGACGGCGGCAACGCCGACGTTCACGGTGACGACAACAACAACTAGCTACAACGGCTGCGTCGGCGGAGACGTCACCGTCGGCAGCGGCAGAGGGCAGCGACTGCTAGCAGAGGCTGCGGCTGCGACTGCGACTTCCGTATCCGCTTCTGTTTCTGTTGTTGTTGTTGGTGGCAGCAGCAGATACAACAATGATAAGGTGAGCAACTGTTAATTCCACAAAATAATTAAAGAAATTTAAAAAGAAAGAAATAATTAAAGAAAATTTTAAAGTAAAGTAAGAAATTTAAAAAAAAACCAACTATGAAATATTTATATTTTTTGAAAACCAGTCAGATTTTACTATCTGTATAGAAGGATTTTAAATTTTTATTACTTCTTTTTGGTTTTATTGGTAAACAATTTACAATAATGCCTTTTTAAATTAAATGTACCGTCTTCAATTTGTACCCGTTTGGCAGCTAAAATACAAACTTCCTTTGCCCACTTTGGGGCGAGATCAATTTCGATAAATAGAAATTGCCAATTAAATGTGAAATGTAAATTGCCCCCGGGCGACAGTCGAACAGTTCACAGAAAGTGTCCTGGGGGCCAGGAGAAAAGTTCTGCGCTGGTCACTCGCATCCGGTTTTTGGTCCTGACAAAGTTTTTGTGCAGCTTGTGATGTCTGCTGCGAGATATGAGAATTGTAACTTTCAGACCGACTGTCTGTATCATTAGGGCAAAGTTGGCCCACTCAAGTAGTTGGTTTTTTATATGTACGAGAATTCCAGGATATTTTTTCCCCAGCTGCGCTGCCATTAATTATGAAGGCTGAACTATGCCAAAGTTTTGCAGAGAGCCTCCACTTCCTGCACTTCGAGCTCCTCAATTGTTAAACCGAAATTCATAAGTCCTAATGACTGGCCGGCCGGAGGGGAGTTGCCTTTTTTTCGGGGGGAGGGGTGGGGGACAGACAACTTGAAGTTTGCTGCGGATGCGGACGTTGCATGTACGACAACATCATTATCAGCGTCGGCAGCGTCAAAATGCCATTAAATGTGTAGCCTACAATGCCTTTGAAGGATTACACACTCCACCCACGAGCGCCTCCTTGTTTGCCCACACACTCCCACTTGCAGAAAGAAAAGGAACGAAACGGAAAAAATGTGCAGCTTTGTCAAATAGCAAAGAGCGCGGAGCAGCAGCAAATAGTTGGTGCACCGGGAGAAAATTCGATTAGTTGTTCATTAAAATCATGAATATATTAAATGTGCAAAAATTTATGAAGTCACAAATAATATTAAATTATATTATTCAGCAATGGTAATGAAAGAATGTATTCCAAGTTTTTAATCAACTAACTTATCAGAATAGCGCCTCGATGTGCCTATAAACATTTAAAAAATTACATTGATTTTAAGAGGTATTTAATTCTTTCTGTGTAGTGTTGCTGCTTTTGGAGTTGCAGTTGCTGCTGTTGTTGCTGTTGCATGAGTGCTGGCGGGCATTGAAAAATACACTCACCCACACAAACACGCACTGGCAGTCAGTCAAAAGCGCGCTGCCCGCTCCCTGCCCCGCCTACTCCGCCCGCGCCACCCACTTTTTCCGCCCAACAACCGCCCTCTTACGTTGGGCGCCAAAGTGCGTTGCATACTCCACTTTTGCTTCTTCTTTTTTTTGCACGCTTTGTTTGACTGGGATTGGGATTTTCCCCAACAGTTGTACTCACTCTCGTAGTTGTTGTTGTTGCTCCTGCTGTTGTTGCTGCTGCTGTTGTACACATTGTCACACAGGCAACAACGCACACGCAACAACAAGTACGACAACTACAAAAACACAAGCAACAGCGCAAAAAAAAAGAGGAAAACTTTGCCACGTTAACTACTGACTGACTCCGGCAAGGCGACAAAAATGTCCTTTTCATAAGAAGGCTTTATTTATTTTAGCTTTTACACTTCCTAAAAAATGATTTCGAACTATTTTCTTCTATTAAACTTTATAATGAGCTTAACAAAATGCAAATAATAATTTTAATTTGTTATGATTTTTTTAAGAGTCAAAATTATTTAAAGCCTTTAGGCTGTATAAAATAGGTTTTGTCAAAGAACTCATTCTGTTTTTTTTTAATATTTTTTATAATTTGTATAGCCTACTTAATTATAAATGTGACACTTTTGCTGGTGGCAGGACGACATCCTGACGAAGCCCTGCACCAACTGCGAATGTGTGTCGACATTGGGAAAGGGGGGAGGTGGGGAAAAGGACCATGAGGAACCCAGCCAGGAAGGAACAGGACAGGCTAGGAGTTCTCTGGCGACGGGGAGGGTGTTAATGAGCAACATCGCAGTGGCAACGACTCTGCTTAGTATTTGTGTTTCTTCATTTCCGGCTTCCACATGTTGACATGCTGATGATGTTGGTTAACTTCTGCCGAGAATGATGGCGATGATGAAGTCAGCAGCAGGATAAGGAGCATGAGCAGGAGCAGGAGCAGCAGCCAGCCTGTCATTCAGTGAGTGAGTGGGCGAGCTGGTTAGTCAGCTTTGTTTTGATACTCCACTCGCTGCTTGTTTGTTAACGCTGCGTATGCGTAATTTTCATATTATGTAATTTTAACGCGCTAAATGGAAGCTTAATTTGATTAGGGCGCCATAAATGTGTCCCGTTCGCAGTGTGTGCCCCAAATTGACTTGTTGGTTGGACCCTCGCAGAAGGTGACGCATATTTGACGCAGTTTCCCAGTTGGCCCCAAAAAAAAAGAAAGAAAGGAAACTATATTTACGCCATCTCTCAGCCATCAACTCACATCTTCAGTTTCCAATTTGAGCTGCACAGAAAGAAAATATTAAAAAATATAATAAATAAAATTCTAGGGGCAGTGCTTTTTTATTTTTATCTTAAGTTAATTAAACTTTGCTCTTTATAATTAATGGTTGTTGTTTATAAGCAGTTAAAATACATTTATAAAAGAATAAATGGTTTTATGACCTTAAAGGAAATGCCCCAAAAATAGGAGCTCTTTAAAGAGGAGGAACTTGAAACATCCATAACAAATTATTACTAAGTACCACAGTTTTTGTTCTATGTGTAAAGGGCTGCTGGCTGATGAGCTCATATTGAAAGTTTTTGTGCTCTGAGGGACGACCTAGTTTGGCCAAAGCCAAATCAATGTGGCCGCTGCGGCGCCATTTGCACTGCCGACCCTTTTGTGCATTTACTCTGTTTTCCGCTCTTCCCTGCTCGACATTTTCCGGGTTTTTCCTCCGATTGTGTGTGTCTGTTTTTTTTCTTTCTGTGCAAACAATTTCGCCCGGTCGCCTGGTCGGGCGTTATTAATTGAGCTTTTGATGCATAGCCAGTATAACGATTGTCCCGTCCCATTTCATCTCCATCCGGGCCATCTCATCCATGTGTTCGTGTGCACTTAAAAGGCTACATAATTGTTTTTACCAAATTGAAATTTTAATTGAATTCGTATTGAAATCGAAATCGGAATCGGGGAATCGGTAACCCCGCAGTTATGACTTAAAAATAAAGTTGCCATTCCGGCTTAGGAAACAAAGACGAAAAGCTCAACGACAGCTGAACTTTCCATTTGATTGGGGCCACATAAAAATTAAAAATTTAATACGCGCGTTCTCGTGGAGTAAAAAAGCCGCATAGGCATTTCATAGGCATTATTGTAAGCAAAGCCTCGGCATCGACATCGACATCGACATCGGCATCGAGCCCATTGACATCATCCTCGTCATTATGCACATTATCCACATCAACAATGGCTCAACGAGCGGCTGAATGAATCTCAAGTGGGCAGTCAGCCCCGCCCCCTCATTTGGTATAGATACGTGCACCGATAGATGGATAGATAGATGGGTTTGGATTGGGATAGATGGATGGGTAGATACATATCGAAAAAATTGCATGATTCAGTTTGTTTATTTACGGCACATGGGGAAATCTCTCCCCGACTGTGTCTGCTCATTTCAAATGTCGAGAGTTCGGAGAGTGCGGAGTTAACCGCATCCACTTGAGATTAATCAAATGAATAATTTCCATTGCAGCAGAACCGATTCGCAGACATAACACATTGCGGTGGCGGTTGAGAAGAACGGCATGGTGAAAATGGAATCCACGGAAGAACAGGATCGAAAGCTAGTTTTGGAGTTCTGTCACCTGCTAGAGAAGTCCAAGCAGCTCTTCAACGGGCTCAGGTGAGTGGATTGGATTGCCATTTTGAGTTAATATCTAATTCAGGGAATAAATATCCTTTGCAGGGATCTGCCTCAGTATGGCCATCGGCAGTGGCAAGCTTACTTCGGCCGCACCTTCGATGTGTACACCAAGTTGTGGAAGTTCCAGCAGCAACATCGAATGGTTCTGGACTCAAAGTACGGCCTGAAACGCTGGCAGATCGGAGAAATAGCAAGCAAAATTGGCCAGCTCTATTATCACTACTAGTAAGTATGGGAAAATTAAATAAATAAAGTTAGTTTAGTGGAGGGAATACCAAAAAATTCATTACTTCTTCAGTCAGAATTCATAAGGAAAGTAAAAAGCAATTTTAAATGAATAAAAGTTTTAAATTAGTAACACTATTTTGTATATATTTCAATGAATTTAAGTAGTTCAAATATCCGAAATATTTCTTAATCCCTTTATCGCTTATCAAAAGAGAACTAAAAACTTTTCCCAACCATCAACAGGTTGGTTTTACCAGCAAAACCTAAGTTAACTTAAATAGTATCTTTACTAAGAAATCATTAAAAGGAAAGGAATAAATCAGATTAGAAATTTATGTAAATAAAGTAAAATAGTTACTAATTATCTCATATCTTATCGCACAGCTTAAGAACCAGCGAAACGAACTACCTGAATGAGGCGTATCAGTTCTATGCGGCCATTAGGGGTCGGGCGTACTACTCCCGGGCGGCCAAGGAGGATCGTCCGGATCTGATGGTGAAAAAGCTGCGATACTACGCCCGGTTCATTGTCGTTTGCCTGCTGCTCAAGAAGATGAAGCTGGTGCGCGAACTGGTCACCGAGCTGGAGAAACAAATACAGGAGTACACCAACACGTAATTACTTAGTGGCCCATCAATTTTGACTCCGTATTAATCCCCAGATTTCCCCGCAGCTACGAGCCGGAGGATCATCTGGAGTGGTCGCTGGTGCTGGAGGAGATCAAGGGCTTCATCAAGGCGGAGGCGGCGGTGGCCGTCCTGCACGCCGACTCCAATCCCATCATCCTGTCGCACAGGTGAGTCGTTATCGCAGGTCCTGTCCGTAATTGCCCGTGCTTTCGTCGGCGGAGGAGGAGTTTGGACAGCTTGTGGGTGGGCAAGTGTATAGCCCGTCTATCTATACGTATATATCTGTCCGCATATATGTCTATATGCCCTGTTCTGTTTGCGTAGGTATACGAGTTTTGTTTGAGTTCCGTTTGCCGTTGCTTATGTTCATTTGTTGTGCTTATCACAGAAGACTTGAAACACCAGAGAACACTCACCGTTGTCATTTTGTCACGCACTTTATCCATGATCTCTGTCCCGAAAGAAAAACACCCGATAAACCAATCACAATCCAGGTTGCGGTAGTAAAACTGTTGAAATTGTTGAAATGGAAATAATAAAGTAAAAACTAAATGGACTTATAAAACATAATGCATTCTAAATTCAACTGTCATTTCATAATAATATTTTAATATTCCTAAAAACTTAATAGTTATTGTCGTTCCAACTGATGAAGATACTTTAGTCATGCAATTTCAAGAACGAAATTTTGTAATATCGTTAAGATGAAAGAAAAATTCGGACACCTTTACATTTAGAAAATTTTTAAAAAATATACTTTCTTGACCGAGGACCAACAGTTTTATTGCCCAACCAAACACACACTCCACAGAAGTTATCATTTCATTATCATTTGGAGCCCGATCCCCCGAGACACACTTCCCCACTCCCGTACCCTTGTCACCTCATTAGTGCGCCGCATTCTCAATTCTTCTGTGAAAGCACGGGCCCCGCCATCCGTTGGAGGACGAGTGCGACTACCCCGACTGATGTGTCCAGTGGTTCCGGTTCTAGGTTGTCCCCGCTGACGACGCCGCCCTGCGAGCGATCGCCGCACATGACGCTCAGCCTGCAGGAGATCCTGATCGTGGGCTCCGCCTGCGAGCAGGCCAAGTTCTCCGAGCTGACCATGGACATGTTCCGGATGCTCCAGACGCTGGAGCGGGAGCCGACGGAGTCCACTACGAATCCGCTGAGCATGGCCCACGGACTCCATGGGCACGACGCCAGTCCGGCGGCCAGTCGGATACCGCCGTACGGAGTGCCCGGGTCCAAGGGCTACATGGAGAACGGCCGGGCCTTTCGAGACAATCCCCACAAGTATCTACTGTACAAACCTTCGATTAGCCAGCTGCTGGTGTTCCTCGCCAGCGGCACCAAGGAACTGCCGCTCGGCGGAGCGCTGCTCCTCTACATGTCCGCCGATGGCTGCTTCTCCACCACCAAACATCCAGAGGATTGTGAGTACTTAGAGATTATTGCTTAAAACCCTCCTTAGATTTTATATATTTTCAGTTAATAAATAAAAAAAACCATTAAATTTCTATTAATTAAAATATATCGTATGAATATCATTTAATAATTCTTTATGTTTTTTTCCAGATGGTTATGAACTGGGCGGCCTGGCCACCAGTGTGAAGCGGGACAGCGTGGACGGCGGAGGTCTGTCGTGCCGGGGCAAATCGTACAAGGAGAACCACTGCCTATATCCGGGTGATCTGTATCCGTTCACACGGCGGCCCATGTTCGTCGTGATCGACTCGGACAACTCGTTTGTCTTTCAGCACATACCACGCTACTTTGGCCAGCCGCTGGTGGTGCTGATGTCGCCGCAGGATGTCCCACCCGCATTCCAGGGTAAGCTTACCATATCCACCTAGGTTTATTTGTTTCTCATCATTTTGTAATCCCCCTTAGCTGATGTCCAGCATCATGGGTCGCTGTTCACATTGTTCCTTCACTCCCCGCTCACCGCCCTCTGTTACATCTGCAACGTTGGAGACGTGCCCATCCACCACTGGGAACGCTGCCAAACCTACGTGGATCGCTTCATCACGGAGGCCTCGAGACTAGTGACTCGGTGTCGCATCGATGAGATTGAACAGGGCATAGGATTTATAGGTGGGTTATGCTGTTTGATTGGAAATACTATAACACAGGGGTTTAAAAAGAGGTTTTTGAAATTGTTAAGCTTCCTTCATAAAATATTTAAAGTCAGATTATGAATTAATTTTTTCAATATTTTTACTTAATTTTGCTAATAATATTTTTTCTTTTCTGTAGACTCCTCCTATGTGCAGTTCTTCGGCGACGACTTCCTCCGCACCCTGATCCTCCGCTTCGTCTTCTGTGATGTGGTGCTGCGGCTGCACCGCGGATTCCGGGGGCGGCACATGCGACCCCGATGCGAGCCGCAGCTGCCGGCGAACGAGCTGCTGGAGCACCCCTCGCTGTCGCACATAATCTTTCAGCTGGCCTCGGCCCTGGATGTCCGGGGTCACTTCTCGGAGGGGCCGGAGTGCGACTGATGACTTTTCGTGACCGTCGTCCTGGTGGTGGCCATCGGGATCTGCCTGCGCCAGCAGCTGTTCTCCGTGATCGAGAGGCAGTTCGCCGGATGGATGCCTTCCCTGTACAATACTTTTCCGCTGGCCTGGAACTGGACGTGAAAACGGGGGGCGTGGTTCGTAGGCGTGGTGCGCGGTGCGTGGGCGTCGTCCATGGGTTTCCTTTCCTTGGCAGTGACCCGGCTGTCGGCGTAATTCATTTTAATAACGTAAACGCAACGTAACTGCATTATAATACGAATATAAATATATAAATACGAGTATAATATATATATATATAATATATGCATATATGGATAAAGGTAAATTAATCAAGTAGCTAGTTTTCTTATATAGTGCGTCGCGCAATGGAAATGGTCCAATGTTAGTTGCTTAGCATATACATAATTAATGATAACGAAGATATACATACGTGAAATCAATGATATTCAGCCGATATTGCTGCAGCAACAAGAACAACAACCACAAACATGTCAAAAGAACCTAACAAACGATAACTGCCAAAAAGAAGATGAAAAACTTAAAAATTTATGAAAATACGAAAACGAAGATCTAATCAAATTTAGTTTCGAGCGGTAGCGGGAATTTTTATGAGATTTGTAAGTGGGGAACTTTTTGTATCGGGTCTAGGATCGCCTGATCGGGAAAATAGGTATCTTTGTCATACGCAGCGGAAACATTTTAGCTTTTATACAACCGATATTGAGAGAAACCTAATCGAAAGTGAATTACGAACACGACACACTATATAAGAAAGGGAATGCGTTTTTTATGCATTGTACGCGGCGCTCATAACAAATTTAAATTACGAAACCAGAATATTATTGTACGTATGTAATATTGCATATATGTATCTATTATGATTACAAGATGACTGAAAGTTACTGTTTCAACAAAGGAAAAAAATGAAGAAAACAACCAAAAAGAAGGCAACGTTTAGCAAAAGTAATAATAAATATAAATAACTTATACATAATGCCCTAGTTAAGTGAAACATGGAAAATATACAAAATATATTTTGCTTATGTGAAAGTAAAATACAAAAGCCCAACCAACATTTTATACGAAGGAAACGCATACAAAATTTACACTTCAACTAACGAATGAAAATCTGTTCTTGAATCATTTTTCCAAAATGTCGCGAAATTCCGTATCGGTTTTCGGTTCAAACTGTGAATTGGAACAGGTCACCGTAATAATAAATAAATATGATAACATATAGTTACAAGTCACACTAACTCTATGGATTTATAGGCAAATGATAAACGCAATATTGAAAGTTACAAAATTATATATAAAGCATATATATTTCAATACGAAAATAAAACTAGTTGAACGCATAGTAAATTACTTGATCATTTTTACAAGACAAGCCGCAAACAAAAATAAAGCAAAAACTTAACAAAAAAAAAAAATGATAAAAACAATTTAACAATTACTTTACATTTATTATTTACTACGGATAATATGTGCATTTTTTATATATTTAAAAGAAAGATAAACAAATTTTACGCTAGTTACAAACAAATTTTTCTGAAGTCTTCAAGCAGCCGTATTAAAAAAAAAACTACAAAACGAAAAGAAAACTAATTTATTCAGCCGAGTTTCTTATCAACTTATTCGCTTTGTTAACTAACAAATTGTATAGCTTTTTCACAATTTCGTTTACACTTTTTGTACATATAGGACAAATACTAAAAAGGAATCGTTGAAAGAACCAAATTTATCACTCACACTCATTGTATCATTTCCATTTAGGTTTTTGTACATTTTGAGAACTGCATTTACGAAATAGCGAGAACAAATAAGGTAAATAAAACGAACGAATTGCAAATAATCAGCAACATTAACCACACACTCACACGTAAACAAAGCCCACAAACGAGAACATCTAAACATTATCATAAACAAATTGTTTAAACGACATGAAACACCGTCAAAGTCACAAATAACATACAAATCGAAAACAACATAAAGAAATGATAACAAATTTAGCAAAGCCACAAAAGAATATTACGAAAATGGAACGGAGAACGAGAAAGTGTATGGGAGTTTGTATGAAGTAATAAGAATAAAGCACACGTTTGAAAAGAGATTTGTTTTTTATTATTTAAGCCCATTTGTGTAGTATTTAATCCACTTCAAAAAGGACGAAACTCGTGTAGATATATCTGGCAGCTTCAGCTTGCATTCGGCATCGAATCCGTGGGACACAATTCCCACCAAGGTTCTGGAGCCATCGTCCAATACCATTGGTCCTCCGGAATCGCCTGAACATGGCAGACCCTTCTCGGAATTTATGCATATAAAGGTGCTGGGCACAACTTTCCTGCCCTTGTTCTTTAGTTGTTTGTTCCACTGACTCTCGCACTCCCTGTTTGTTACAATAGGGGCTTGGATGTACAAAAGGACATTGCTTGCGTTGCCCTGGTTGGTCTGACCCCATCCAGATATAATGGCCCTGCGACCTGCATAGGTTTTCTTCGCACTGGGCAACTTGGCGGGTTGAATATGTTTATTGTAAACGAGCTTTTTGGGAAGTTTGATGAGGCCAATATCGTTGAACACAGTTTTGCGATCGAATCTCTTATGCACAATGGTGTTACTCCTTTTAATTACGATTTCGTTATCAGGATAAGATTCAGTGCTGCCTACGTAGACCAGCACTTTAGATCTAAAGAGCGAAAAAAAGAAGTATTGGGAATAAAAAGTATTTTTAGAATATTTTTATAGTAAACTTACAGCTTAGATTTTGGATCTTGTAGGCAATGAGCTGCGGTTACAATCCAGCGAGGGGATAGGATGGTGCCACCACACAGATGGGGTTCATTCATGTCACCTTCGAAGTAGCTCAGCAACTGCGCCTGGTAAGGAAACTGCTTCTCCTTGGCCACAGTGCCATTCATGATCCGTAGAGAGCCTATTTCCTGGCATAATACCAATGAAAACTGAACGATAAGCACCAGCTGAAGAATCATTTTAAACAACATATATCTTAGGCCCTTCAACAGTTTATATATGGCCGGCAATCGTGGTGTACATTGATTGCCCTTGATTTACGATCGCTTCGTGTTGGAACCTATTTGCATTATCTGCGTGCTTTTGGTTTATTGGTTATTGTAATTACGAGTTAGACGGATACATGGCATTTATACGTATATATGGGTTAGATAAGGTGTTCAGTGCGAAACCCCGAACTTGTAGATTACTTCATGGTGATAGCTCTCTCCCGGTCGCAAAATGGTCGAGGGAAAGTTGCTGTGGTTCACGGAGTCGGGAAACTTTTTGGGTCTCCAGGCAGAAGGCTCCATGCTTGGCATAGGCAGCTCCATCCTTGCCGGAAATCGGAGCCTCCCCAGATTGCACATCTGGCATGAAGTTGGAGGTGTAGAACTGCACTCCTGGCTGATTACTGACCACCTCCAGCCATCGTCCGCTGGGCGGATGAGTGGCCCTGGCCACCTTGGCCAGCGTTTGTGGCGGGTCAGAAGTCACACAGAAGTTGTCATCGTATCCTCGCGCTGGTTGCAGTTGTTTGAGACGTTCGCCCAGGTTGCTAGATACACGGAGATCGAAGGACGTTCCATCTACCGGTAGGATCTTTCCTGTTGGAATGGAAGACTGATCTGTTTCAGTAATGCCATAGGCGTTAATCTCGATGGTGTGCTCGTATAATCCATTTGCTCCGGCTTTGTGGCCAGCAAGGTTAAAGTACGAGTGATTGGTGAGATTTACGGGCGTCGGCTTATCGGCCACTGCATTCATCAGGACGTGGAGGCAATTGTCCTCGCTTAAGGTAAAGCTTGCCGTGGCTGTAACCTTTCCCGGATATCCCTCGTGTCCATCAGGATTGGTGTGGGACAAAGTAACTCCATCCTGACGCACCTCCACCACTTCCCAGTGGGCTTTATCGAATCCCACAAAACCGCCATGAAGTTGAAACTTGTTCTCTCGATTCTTGGACACCTGAATCAGCTTCCCATCCAGCGTGAAACTGCCATTTCCAATCCGATTGCACACCCGACCAATGGTGGCTCCAAAATAGGGATTCCTGTCACTCTGATAGCCCGCCAGATCATCAAAACCGAGGGTCACGTCATCTATTTTACCGCTGGCATCTGGAGTCTTTATGCTCGTAATTATTGCTCCGCGGGTGATCAACTGGACGGACATTCCATATCCATTGGACAAGGTGAACCTCTTGATCGTATCCTTGGATTTGGTAAAAGGATTCACTGCTCCAGTGGCAAATACATCCTCTGTGACTTTAACCATTTTGACTGCAGCGCCAGGTGGCGAATAAGTGCGAATACCAGTTGCGCTGCGTTTTTATCTGACCCTCCAAAAACCGTAGAGGTTAATCAGCACTCGGTGCGCATATGTGTTTGTATTAATTATCGCAAAAAAGCCGCAAACAAAAACACAAGCATATGTAAATAAATTGTGTTATCGCAAGGTGGCGATGGAAAAGAGTGTGATAAGGGGATCAGCGTCTCTGAGAACTTTCACAACTAAAGAGATTGCTCTGATTAGTTTTGTTTTTGCTTAATTCACTTTTTTAATCAGCTTGAATGAAATTCAAATTAGAGTTGCCACACCTATTTCTCGACGGCTGTTTGCGTGCATTGCCGTAGTTAAATAATTAAAAGGGGATACCATATACTAGTAATCTTTGCTTGAAGAAAAATTAAAAATTTGTTGTATTTATTTTAATTTTAAATGTTAGATTTATTTTATTTGTGTAATATATATAAACATTTTTTTTTTTGAAAATCTCATCTCTCAGCGAACAATTGCACCTTTTGACAATCTGGCAGCTCGGCTCAAAAAATACCAATATATACCAAAAAGTCCACCACTAAGCAACAGGTCGGTTGTTTATTGAATTTGGTTTATATTACTTTACGTTAATTTGGCAAATAGAAAGCTGGCTAACCGGTGCAAATTCGCTCTTTTGTTGACAGAGAGCGCGGAGGAAACGGCAGATAGTCGCCCCCTAAGACAATCCCCACCCACGCTCCAGGAAACCGTCGAACAAAAACTTCAAAATGCAATTGACGTGGCAGAGAGATCAGATAAATCTAATACTTCCCCTTGCCGTGATTTGTTGTTGTTTGCTAATCGACGTTAGCACCGCTCAAGAGGCCCAACAACCATGGTACGAGAATCTTCCAGCTGTGGCCATGGACTACAAGGTAGGTTTCGGGTTTGAAGGCTTCCAAAGGATCTTATTTATCCGAAATCTGTTTCATCTTTCAGGTTCACATTGATGCTGGTAAGGAGGATTGCTACCATCAGTACGTCAAGGCGGGAGCCACCTTCTACGTGTCTTTCAGTGTAAGTTAAGGGTCTTTGAAGAAGAAGGGGCTTTGCAACATCGTGAACTCCATTGCTCAATTTAGAAATCATTAAAATCGTTCAAAAATTAACCCAGTTAATGAAGCAGAAATGCTTCTTTCTTCATTATAATGGTACAAATTCAGTTCATACATATAAAAAGTACAGCTAATTATCTATAATTATATTGTAGAATATTTTTTCCCATCGATAGTTCGTTTATACTTGTTACGGTTATATACCGGATGTATTGATAGCCGTTGCCTATTTATATCTTATGGTTAGATTGATGTGATAAAATCTTTAATTATTTTATATTTTACAGGTGGTGCGTGGAGGCGATGGCATGGCTGGTTTTGCGGTTCGCAATCCTGCTGGTGAGGTGGTGAAGCCCTACCAATGGCAGGCTACTGCGGATTACACCGACCAGGTCTCGCCAGGTGGATACTATTCCGTGTGCATTGACAACCAGTTCTCCCGATTCGCTGGTAAGCTGGTCAACATCTATATCACGGTGGTGAAGTACGATGCCTGGGACAAGTACGCCAAAGAGATCGAGCAGCTGCAGCTGAATATGCAAAACTTTACTGTAAGCCAAACTGGTTTTGAGACCCACCCAAAAATCACATAAAAAAACTCATGCTGATCTATTTTTTATAGGCCACCATTGGAACCGTTGAGCGCAATATCAACGATATGATGGGCTACCAAGCGCACAGTAGACATCGCGAATCACGCGATTATGCTCTGCTGTTGGACAACAATTCCTATATTCAAACCTTCTCGATTAGTCAAATCGTGGTCATATTGATTACGTGCTCTATACAGGCAAGTATACTCTTTTTATTTAAATATTTTTTTTTAAATGATTTTCTCTTTTTCAGGTTTATTTTGTGCGCAAACTTTTTGAAGTCAAATCGGGCTCCAAAAGCCGAATTTAAGTTTGACAAGAAACTTTTCAAAGACTCTTCACATCTTTTTTGAATTCCATCCGCATTTCCAAGACATTCATTTTACTTGCTGACTCCCCTTTGCGTTTTTTAATTTATGTTATAAATGGCTAAACAGATCAAGTGCAACTGAGCAGACTTTCTTCATATTTACGACTACTTATGTCATACGAGTTGTAGACAGAAAAACTTAATGTGATAAGTGTACATTTGTGTGTTTTGTTCAATAAAATATTGAAGATTTTTGTACTTATATGGTTTATTTTGGTGTGATATTTGAAGGGGTGACACGTGGAAAAAAAATAATTATAAAAACATCAGTACTTGTATACTTATTTTCTTTGGGTTCGATTTTATACTAAAAGCTAAACAAGGATTTAAACAAAGCTTTGGGAAGCTTTTGTACCGTTAAATTTTTAAACCTAAAAAGGATAACGAATTCTTCAAAATTCATAATTGCTTTCTGAAAATGTAAATTTTATTTTTGCTTTTATTGTTTAAGACAAGGGCAAACTTTTCCAACTTTAATAGATAAATAAAAATGTGCGCCCCAAAAAGTTTTTCATTTTACTTATTAATAATTTTAGAAATCTCTGCATAAGCTCATTAGCTTAATCTTCGGTATAAGAACATTTCGAACGCATTTAACATCTTGTGGTGGTAAATTAATCACTCCCAAGCCAATCCGGCTTATCGCAAATTATCCTGCCCCATCCATCGCAGGACCTTAAATCATGTCACCGTGCGCGCCGCTTATCTAAAAGATGTTTCACGCGTGTGTGTGTGTGTGTGTGTGTGTTGCAGCATCTGGCATGTTAATTATATCCTTTTTGGCAGGCGCATCTGGGGGGATCTTGGGGCGCCTTTGTGGCCACTTTTGCTCGAAATTAAAATGTTATTATGTGGGGCTTATCTGCGGACCTTAAAGCGCCCGCAAAACTAAGGTCCTAATGGCCTCACACACATACACACAGACACACACAAAGAGACACACTCACTAGCAGCCACACGCTCTTTAACTGTTTTAAACGCCATTGTTAAAATATTGCTCATACGCACTTCCGCCCAAAATGGGGTCTTCTCTCCGTTCGGCAGCACTAATGATGCCCCAAGAACATGGAGCAAGGAAGGACTCGGCCGGAGCATCCACAACCACATCCACATCCACGGTGGAACAAAGTTGGCTCCGCCCATTTCGGCAGGAGCAGCAGCCGATGACAGTGGCAGATAAAAGGGCAGGACGGCAAAAAGTGGTTGGGGGACTGGCGGAGAGCGCGCCTGCGCACTGGCCACCGCAAGGAACGCAGGACGATGGGGTGACATCCTTGCTGATTACACCCGATACCCCCACCCCCAACCGCCAGGACACTCGCTTGTGGGAGGAGTGTGTCGCCATCTTTGAGCGCGGACTGGACGGGATGATCTGGTCGCCACATTAACTTGGAGTGCGCGCTACCAAGTGCAACACGTCGCGGACGACATAATAGCGGTACTTTGCGGTTTAGATTCGTCGGTCACACGTCGTCAATATCCCCGAGAAGAGGACCAAAAGCGAGCAAACCTTTCTTGGTCAACACACACAAAAACACAAACCGAAGAAGCAAAGGAGCTGACAAACACTAACACATTCATACGGCAAGGAGTGCGGAAAACTTGGACACATACGCCCAGCTTGTTGCTGGCTGTGGGCGTGGCAAACAACAAAAAAAAAAAAACAAAAATAACACAAACAACGACAAGGACACATGTGTCCTGCCAGTATGTCGCGGAAATTTTTGTGCGGAAATTATAGAAATTTCGCTTTTTGATTTCATTTTCGTTCCGCTTTCGTTGTTCGTTGAACACCCAACCCCGCCCAACTGCCCACCTGCAACTTTTGTGCACCTGTGCGAAAGAGGCGTCGAGAAATGCCCAAGGAGCTCGCCACCGTCGGTGTCCAGTTGGCGTCGTCCTTGCACTGACAAATTTCCTTGCATATCCGCTCCAGGACCACGACACTTCGACTGCAAACAAAACCGTCATTTGCGTGGCGCGTCGCTGTCGCGTTCACTTGTCGCATATCCGTCGCCATTTTGACAATAATTTCATTTCCGGTCGGCAATTTGTACGCACTTGAGTGAGTGATTAACTGCACGGGACTCGAGCGATTGTGAAGTGTTTACTGTTGTAAGTTGTCCCGCCGGAAGTCCGAAAGATAGTTGAAGGGGAGCCCCATTTTTGGATAAACTCAATTGCGAAAACAGGCACAATCCTGAGGTGAGTTTAGATTTGGTTGTAAGATGGTTATATTTGTAGTTCCCGTCGGAGATTTTTGATTTCTCGTTTCTGTGCTTCAAAGTGTATTAAAGAGATTTAAAATAATAGAATGCATGATTCTGATAGCTATCCAGCAACATTTATCCAACTATGACATTTGTTATTTAAATGTTTTTTTGTTTTAAATTTGATTTTATTTAAGGTTCAAATTTCAGACAAGTTCCTACACTTTTGAAGACCCAGACTTCTGTTAACAATTTATTTTACCAAGTGTTTTGCATCTCAGGTTTTTAGAACAGTATTATAAATACAGTACCATTTTAGTTAATAACTAGAGCTAAATCGAATTACCAGGATCGGAATAAGTAACAGCTTGGCCGAAGACAATGTTTTTGGTGGAAGTATTTAATATAAAATTGATTTTGTTCGTAATAAAACTGAAAAACAGACGTTTTTTTAAATACTTTGAAAAAAAACACGGCCTACACTTACTATATAGCTTATATTTTAAGTTATCAACCTTAAAATATAAGTTTCACAGCCATCTTTAGGTATTCCCCACAATGCTATTTGTAATTTCTGCTTAATGTTAGTTACCCAACCCCCTAAAAAGCTCGTTCCACCCCAAAAAAAGCATATGTTTCTGCTAATCGAATTAGCAGACGAAAAACGGAAGTATTCATAAACCAGCAAACAGAAAAATCCGCAGCAGCATCGGCATTAGCTCGACAATTAAACAGCCGAGCAGTTCCATCAGCCAGCGAGCAGTGAAAGCATTCAAAAATCCAAATTTCCGAATAACGCATAAAAATCTTACAAACCATTAAAGAGCAGGCAAACGTGTGGCCTCTTAATTAAAGGATCTGCCGTTCGACAAGGGGATTACACCATTAACAGCTGCTAGCTGGCGACTGTCGAAGAGCATAAACTCGGCAATCAGAATACACGAGCTGGCATTCAAAAAATCAGCACGCGTTTGGAGAGCGGGACGAGCATTCAGCCCATCTGCAGACCGACATCCTGGCATCCCGCTCGTATTTCCGGTGTGCGCGCGTTCGCTCGCCGATTGTGATAACTTGGGAAATATAGAAAGCAACAAAAAAGCAAAAAAAAGAAAATGTCTGCCTGCTAATGTTTGCTGGTGAAATTTGCTTACATGCAAAAGCAAAGTCCTCGGCCCAAGTACAAATAATAAATAATAAATGAGGCGTGTGCAGGCCGTTTATAATGTCTGACAAGGCAAAAGTTGATGATGTTCTGTAGATGCGACCGTTTCGATAACGAAATCTATTCTCCCCCCGAAAACTTAAAGCTGCAAGGATTCGGTTTCTGTTCCTGTTACGGGCTTTTTGGCGAACTTTAAGCCCAGAGACAGGACAAGTCGCACTTTGTATGGCATAAATTTCGTTGGCATAAATCAAAATCCAGTAACTTCCGACGAGGGCAAAGTGCAAAAATTTGCATGCCCTGTGTGCTAACTGCAGACTGGTCGAAAAGGGCCAGTAAACAATACATTTCGCCTCCCCCGACCAGCTGGACATTAGAGAGCCACGCTCAAATGGCCGCCACCCACGCACAGTTCAGCGCTCATACGCAACGTTGGCCCAGTCCAAAAAGCGGGACTGTACACACAATAAATAACGAGCCAGATAATTATGCACGTCGTGCTTATATCTAAGGGAGCTCCGCAGCTCCAAAGCAGCCACCATTAATTATGCTCGGCAATCTGGCTGCTTCGAGGGGAGCTCGCTTAACGTGTTGGAGCCATGGCAATTAGAGCAATTGTTTGGCCGAGAGGCGTTTTAAAATTGCAGTCTTTAATTGAGGGGCCGGGCGTTATGATTTATTAATATCTAGTTCTATAATTTGCCATGAGGTGAGTGGTTGAGCGTACTTGTTTAAAGGCAATTAAAGTTCTAGCCAAAAGATAATTTCTTGACCTCCATTTATGTCTCATATTTTTGAGTTAGTTGGGTTTGCAGTAAGATGACCCAAATTTGACCTTATAGTACCTATAACTTTTATAATTTTTTACCGATCTCAAAGTGACATACCTCTAAACGTTTGTAATCGAATTCATAAAACACTTGCATTTAAATTTTTCATTTTGGAGAGTGATGAATTTTTTGAAACTGTTCATGTCAGATTTTTCCGAGTTTCTAATGGCTTACTGTAAGATAACCCTAATTTTACCTTCTACTACCCATAATTTTTATAATTTTTATGCGATCTCAAAGTGGCATACCTCTTAACGTTTATAATCCAATTCATAAAAAACGTGCATTTAAATTTTTCATTTTGGAGAGGGCTGAATTGTTTGACCCATTTCATGTCAGTATTTTCCAGATTTCGGATAGTTTACAGTAACACGACCCAAAATTTACCTTCTAGTACCCATAACTTTTACAATTTCTATCTGATCTTAATGCAGCATACCTCTAATCTTTTTTGGAATTGAATTAAAAAAAAATAACGTGCATTTAAATTTCTTATTTTGGTGAATGTCGATTGTTAAGCTTCTTTTTCTGTGTAATTTAACCTTCATTCCGAAAGGACACCTCAAACAGTATCTGTTTTTAAATCATTTATTAATGTGTTATTTATTTTATTTATTTATTAATGTAAAATTTTTTTAAATATTTATTGGACAGAGTCAAGTGGAATCCCTTGTGTAGCCAACAGCCAGCCATAGAGGCTCCCCCGGCGTGCGCCATGTACGAGAACTCGTGTTCGTATCAGACGGCGCTGGACCTGAAGCGAGTGTCGCCGCCCTCCCTCGCCCAGGTGAAGACGGAGGACTGCCTGACCCTCGGACAGTGTTCGCCGGACTGGACCTCCTACCGCTTCCACCAGTCCACCTTCGAGCAGCTGAAACAGAGCGTCGAGAAAGCCAAGGCGGCGCTGCAGGATCGCAGCAGTTTCTTCGGGGCCAGCAGTGCCTTCAGGTGAGGAGATCTTAATAAAAAAGTTAAAGGCATTTATTTTTTCGATAAGTAA